TTGCATTCTTTTCCCCTTTATTCCACGCAATCCCATTTTCCAGCAAATCCCATTGGCTCTGCTGCCAAAACATAACAGCTCTTCAATCACCCTATCTAAATCAACATCTCTCTTACCTTGTCTGTGCTGGTAGCCTCCTAACTCATCCCCCTGCTTCCACTCTTGCCTGCTTAAAGCCCACTGGCCACACAACAGCTGGAAGGGTCTTTCTAAAATGTAAATCAAATCATGTTATCCCTCTCTATAGAGTAGATGTTTAGTAAATACTTGTTGGCTCAATCAGTCAAGCAGTGAGTAATGGTGCTATAGCTATGGAAGGGTCAATAAGACAGGGACAGGAAAAACCAAAGATTCAGAGAGCCCAGATTATAAGAAAGCCTTGATTCATTGTGTATAATTCTGTCTTTTACTTGAAACTTCAGCATATGACTCTACTTCTATTCATTGGCCTGCCTGTGAACACTTGACAACTTACCCAGAGAATTCCACTGACGGCCAATCAAGGTTTTTTCTTGGCCACTTAGAATCAAAACAGCTGCCCAGGTTTAATTAATATTCTACAATTATATCTGGAGAGGAGCCAGTTGGAGACAGGTGTCTAAATGAAAGGGAGATTCCTAGCTCTTTTCATGAGTCACCTGTCTGGGTCTGGTGAGATGGACTCAAAGTTCTCAGGGGAACGGAACTGTTATTTTACAGAGTTCACTCTGGTTGAGGTTCCTGCATCGTGTTCCAGTGCCCACTTTATCTGCTGGTGTTCATCATAGAAGGAGATCATAGGTTTGATTCTGTGAAGTTTGGTTTTAGGATTTTTAAGCAGTGTCCATTTGCCAGGAATCTCGAACACAGCAATAAGAAACACAGCACTGATTGTTATGGTGCAAATGTCACAACTCATTTAAGGGGATCATCAAGTAATGGCAACAGGGATTCAAATGGGGGCTTACTCTTTGATCCACCAGGAGTTTAAATGGCAATTATCATTCATTCTTGGATTCCCTCAGTCCTGATAGAAATTCAAGTCATCAGAAACTATCATTTCGCAAACAGACAGCTATTAAAAGCACGTTAATAATCTATAGAGGGCATAGCATATGCCTTTTAAAAAGATTTGCAGCTTGCTTCTCGTAGCGAAGACACAGGACTTCTCCAGTCTAATTACAAAGCAATCAAACACTTTAATTAATCTGGAAATCACTTTCTTAACAATAGCTGCTGCTAAAATGAGGCACCCTGTGTAGTGCTGTTAGGTAAAGTATGTTTTTCCTACACTGCTTATGTATTAGCCATGCTGGTTCCCCATGGGGATCATGGAGTTAATTACCTGCCTAATGCCTGACCACTACTAAGGTTTACTTTACCAGGTCAGAAACAGCAGCAGTGATACCAGCAGTCTATAAAGTATCCTAGCCCTCAAACATCCAAGAGCCAGCAAATCCCTGGGAGCAGCAGGATTTTAGTTATAAGCAAGTGCTGCACATATGGGCAGAGAATTAACTGGCACCAGTTTTCATTTGGGAGTCTCTCAGGTATTGCTTTGCAGATGGGTGGATGAATTCAGAGAGCAGTGCTATGAGGAGTGAAGGTCATGTATAGGACTCAGGTTTCACTCCTTCTTGCTCTCATCCTGGGAAAGCACTGCGCATATGCACAGCAGCCAAGTCCTCATTGCTGAGTTTGGAATGTATAGTATGTGCTTTATAATTTGGCCTGTTCTAAATTAGCAGTATTTTGATCACTGCATAACAAAATAGTATTGCTAAGTCTTCAGAGACTGAGTAGGAATTAATTTTTATTTCAAATAAGAACAAAGACTTCAAAGATTGACTTCTACCTGCCAAATCTGCTAGTCTTATAATTCCTCCCTAAGGCAAATGGAGGAATTTCTGTAATACATAACACAGAAATCTATAGAATGCTCATTTACCCTTTTCTTCTGTTACCACCACCACTCCATTTCTCTCCGAAAATTTCCTATTAGGGGATCAGTCATTTTCCCAATCTACGCACATTGGAAACATCAGTCACTTTTTTAGCCTGTATTCTTTTTCACTTGTTTCTAATCCGCTAACGACTATACTTGGTTTGCCCACCAGAATATCCTTTCTATTGGCCTTCCATGTGCTAGTCTAGGTCCCTCCTCCTCTGCTACTCCCCTGGCCACCCACACCAAGTACACTCAGGCCAGCTTAGAACCTCTGGCATCTCTCTCTTGCCTCCAAGTATTTCTTAAAGCCTCTAACTAATCAGTACCAATAAACACAGCTCGTTGGCTTTCCCAGTCCCCATTCCCTTCAGCCAGAGAAACTGTCTCGGTTGCTTTGCCCTACTGTGTTTGGATTGTTTCTGACTCCTTCCTGAAGTCGCCTTCTGTTTCTCCTCTTACCTAAAACCTGCTAAACTGCCTTCAAATTGAGCTAGAGTCCCTTGTCCTTAAGGAATTATCAGTTTCTCTAGCCCACATCATTCTCACTCATTTTCTCTAATATCCTCTGACGGTTAAGAGCCTTATGATAATTCATGTGTGTATGTATATGTGTGTGTTTATGTATGTGTGTATATGTGTGTGTGTGTGTTTAAAGATATGTATGTATATATATTTGCATTTTAATTTAGCTTTTTGGCCTGACATGAAACAGAAGCATCTGTGATTAGTAAGCTAGAACCAACACCTCTATAGTCTTGAAGTTGAAGATGTGGGAATTTAAGTTAGATTTTACAGCAGTGTAGTAGATGAGAAGAAAATGAGGAAAATGTTCAAGCGATGGACCTAGAAATGCAGCCTAAGATGCGAGGGCAAAATCTGAATATGGAAAATGGTTAATGGCATCCTTGTGTGTGTGTGTGTGTTTTTTTTTTTTAAAGAGCAGAGTTAAATTCACCTCTTTATCTATGTCTCTGCCTGTTCATCCTGAAGATGATGGGTCAGCATGGGAACCATTCACTAATATCCCAAAAAGTGAAAAGGGTTTTAAGTCAATTCCTTGTTTCTTCCTTCTTCAGATTAAAAAATACATGTTAATAAGCTCTCTATTGTTCTGGTTGATCACATTAGAATCTCCAGATATAGTGTTTTCTTTACAAAGCACACAGGGCTAAGAATTTGGTGCCAGGTTTCATTAGCCTTATGATTTCATTTTAAGTGAATAGGTGTAGCAGGGATTGTTCTTAGAATGTCTTGGCTTCAGATAATCAGTTGTTGTGTTACGCCTAATTATTTACTGGTGGTTTGCTCTATATGGTGTGTGAGCAAATTGAACACTTTTCCCAAATGAAAAAAAAAATTTATGTGAATATTTCTGGCATTAGATTATTTCCTTTAGGAAACAAAATTTTTAGCCATCTTGAAATTTGAGATTTTTAAAGGAATATGAAGAGAAATATACAAGCTAAATTAGGGGTGTCAGGAGAGGGGATGAAGGCTATTGAGAGAAGTTGAAAGAACTTAATTTAGCTGTGTAGATAAATGGACAAAATGAATCCTGGGTTACTGGATGGCAAAAGCAGAATTCATTTCTCCAGGGGCCCAAGGAATAACAGATGCAAAGCCATGATAAATTTCATTGCAGCAGGGGGAAAAATGCTTCATGATTCTCTATCCATAAAGAAATGGGCTTCTCAGCGCTTCCCAGTTAAATGGCTGTGATTGTGCTGTCTGTCATAAAGTTAATGGCATTTGTTGAAGACATCACTATAAAATTTGCAACCTTAAGTTAATTGAAGAATTTCAGTTGAGATACAGTCAGTCCAAACGTCCTCAAGGTAACACTAAATGTATCTCCTTAATGTGTCAGTCTATTCTTTCTGCACACTGGTAATAAATTGTTTACCTTTTACAGCCAGATACTGACTTTGACATAAAATCTTGTATTCCTTATACCCAATTACAGTAGTCACTTTCATTAAGAAACCAGTAATGTGGCAATTGACTTGCTGTTAGGGATTAAACGTAGCTTCCTGATTTATTTTTCCTTTTTCCTTTTTCTAGAAGGTACAGGATTGCTTTGCAGCCTTTCCTTACCCACTTATTTAAACCAGCTACAGTTCCATGTGGTCCTCAGACAATTCTGCCAATCTAATTAAACATGCAGAGGGAAGCAGGGTGGTCTGGAGCATTCTGAACTTGCCCTGGCCAGCTGCTGGCCAAGCTTTCTCAATGAGCAGCAGCAGGTTGAGTGGGCTAATGGAGAAAGTAACAAGCCCCAGAGGAGCTGCCCTCCTTCCAACGAGCAATCACTGCTCCACACCACCCCTGAAGGCCTGGGGAAGATGAGCTCTGCCAGCCTTTGTGTGGCTGTGGCTTTTGGAGGCTGCCTGGTCAGTCACAGTCCAGCTGCTTAGGAGCAGAGGGATTGTTGAGGAAAATATTGACAAGGGGTAATCCTGCTGAGCCACTTGGCAATGCTGAGATAGATCTGGGTCATTGAGAAATAGGTCCAAACTGCTGTGGTCTTCCCAGTGTTTTACAACTAGTTCTGACACATCCACCTTTAAAATATGTGCTTCAGAATATGAGGATTTATCTTCAGGAACTCAGACTCTTATTCAGTCTACTATAAACAAAAAGTACTAAGGCTGCCTGCTAAAATGGAAAACACCTCCAATTGAAGCATATGCTTACCCTTGCATCCTGCTCATTGAAATGTTCGCATCTGGAGGGTCACAACGAAGACTTGTATATATTCATTACTCTATCAGATTGAAATATTTGTATTGTTATATCCATGCAGGACTCCTGGTTGGTGATATAGCTGAATGTGTTTATTCATGTGTCTCGCACACTTAAGAAAGCTGTGCTGGAACTCATGCTCCCCCATCCCCATCTCCTCCCCTGGCCCACCCCACCATCCCTGGTCCAGGTAAAACTAAAGCATTATTGGAGGAAAGGACGTTCTACAGAAATGTAAATAAACTTATTTCTAAGGAGAGGATTCTTGAGGTGGAAATGATACAAAAACAAAATCATGTAGTAAAATTTTCTCTTTTCTCTCTCTCTCTAGGAAATAGCCCTCAAGATAGTCCAAGAAATTTCTCCCCCAGTGCCTCAGCCCATTTTTCATTTGCACGGAGGTAAGGACTTTATGTGAGTGGAGGCATAAAGTCTTATAGAGAGAATCCCATTTTCCTCTCCCGCTCCCCACTTTTCCCCCTCCCGACTTCTCCCCCTCCCCGCATCCTCCCGTCCCCGCTTCTCCCCCTCCGCTGCTCCGTGCCCTGCGAGGTCCTGCTCATTATTCTGTAAGGCCTTCTCCAAAGCCCCACTGGCCAGAGGAGCTTAGGCTGCCACAAAGCTTTGTTTTAACACACCTGCTTTAGCAGTTTCAAGCCAGCAATTTAGTGATCCCATTGAGAAAAAGCCATGCATGGACTATGTTTTCTGCTTTCTCTTCCTATCATGTTTGCAATTGTGCACCAGACGTCAATGATAGATGTCTTATAACTGGACCACTGAGTCAAGAGGAAGTGTTTTTGTTGTTCAGAGGATAGCAGGCGCACAATGTCATGTCACACCATGTTCATTGTGGATTTTCTACTATGACGTAGCCAAGTCAGAGGAGTGTGCACAGTCATGTCTTCTGTGTTCTGCATGTGGAATTCATCTGCTTCGCCCTGTCAGATGCAGTCCTTCACCTTCCTGGGCTCCTTCATCCCTCTCACGTGCATAGCTTGTCCTCTTCTGCCCAGGAAAAACACCAAGAAAACAAAATGGCACCTTTAGTCAAGTTTCTGAATATTCAGGAGAAACTCGGTTTATGATCTGAATGTCCTAGATATTTGCTCAGTTTTCGTCAGAGACCTAACTATATCCTGAAGTGGATTAAGGTAGCACTTAATAAAGACACATAGGTAGGTTAAAAAAAAATACTTGTTCTTACACATATGACTAACCAGCAAAACTTGGAGTGCCCTCACGACCGTTTGTCAGCGTGTCATGCATTTTACATTACTAAGTCTAAAAAAAATAGTTGCCGCATTTTCAGAATTCTGTGTAATTAAGATTTCATTATAAATCTGATGTGAAAAGGTTTGTTCTTTCATAGTTAAGTTGTTTCCCATCATGTGTTAAATGCCTTTATATATCTCACCATGGGGACAATACAAGAGTGATAAAAACATCATCTCCAGGGAACTTATTGAGACCCATACGCTGTTTTTACCCCCAGCTCCAACTTCTCTTTTTTTAGCTTCTTAAGTACTGTAAGAAAATGTACTGGTCCCAGAAAGCCTGTTTGCCCAATGAATATTAATTCATAATAGTGCTACTATTCCAAGTGGAAAAAAATCCTATAAAAATTAATAAGTAAGTGTTTACTATAGTCTTTAAAACCTATCTCTATAAAGGGGAGAATACATTTATTATAAATAATAAGAAAAATGGAAATCTCATGGAGTGCATTTAAACATGACAGAAATCACAGTATCTTAATCCTGGCAGATTTATAAAATTGAAGAGAATCTAATAAATAGGTGACTGAAGGACACGTGAATCTGGTTTCCATGCTATTAAAAAAATACATAAACCCCCCAGGCATGTTAATTTTTGACGAATAAACCATAAACCGTGACAGGAGATTATCACAGGAGACCTCTAGTTCATTTGCATGAATTTCCGATTGGAACTCCCTCCACACTCTTCAAAAAGTATTAATTTAGATTAAGACATGAGTGATCATCATTTTAAACTGTTATTCAAGTAAACAGAACCCTGTGTCATGAAAACTCAAATTGGTGTATTTTTATGTAACATCTGGGATATTTCTCTCCATTTTAGAGTTGATTTTTCCTCAGGCAACGTGGAGATTCCACTCCTAGGTCTCTGTTACCTTCCATTTGGTGCACATTGCTGAGCCTTTAAGAAGTAATGTCATTTTGAGACTCCCACATTTTATTGTTTTGTAAAATTTAGTCCAATTAAGGAAATATTGCTCTGTTTTTAAAAGTAGTCTTGGGTAAAGGGATAAAAGTCTGGCTTATTAATCTTTTCTGATCTTTCTTACCTTATGTGGTAATACTTCCCTAGTAACCATCCCCTGTAACAAAATAGTCCAAGTATAGAGTACAAAGTATGATGACACAGACTTGCTTTCTATATTTTCAAATGCAGATTTGAGAGTGAAATAATCGAATTAATTTTTTACTACTAAGTAAAATAAAAGATGAAAGTGAGAACCATAGTATAGATGTTGTCTGGAGCAAGGAAACATTTTCACATTGCTAATTGTGGTATTAATTTACAATCCACCTGATTGTGGACCTACTTAATCCTTTTTTCCCTGGTGGTAAAATGGAGGTAAAAATACTCTCCTGCCATTCCCAGAAGTTGTGGAAGTTTATGTATTGCAGATTGCTTTCACTTTTGTGGGAAACATAGAGCATTCCAAGAAATGCTGTGGGTCTCTCCTAGTTGCCTAGTTATTATGCACTAGGTTGAATCTCCAAGTGTATTTCTACAAGCCAATTACTACTACAAACTTCCCTGCTGAGTTCAGGTCATCAGACAATTGTTGAGTACTGGGCTGGAAGTCAGGCCTACTAAAGATCATTGGCTCTTGTTATCAGTTTCCAGATGAGAGTGTTTTTCCCGCTCCGTTTCTGTTTTTATGCATTTGAATCTGCTGAGTCTGATCATTGTAACCTCTCAGTTACACCTTCAGAATTCTGGAGTAGATTTGAGTTAACTATATTGGCATAGTTCAACTTTTTCCAACATCAACTGGAATATTCGGTGTATCACTCCAGGTAACTATAACAATAAATCTGCTTCCTCTTCATACAGTTAGAATAGCCAGGTTGATATTGGAACTGTTTATTCTTTCTTTGTTGTGTACCATATTAATCTAAATTTTTGTGAGTGGTATTGAAATAAAGGTTGTTATTTTTTTGCTGATCTTTTTTATGTCCCATGTTCCCATCAGATGTTTTTCTCTTCTTACTTTTTCATGTAATGTAACACCAAGATTCCCACCCACAAGGGAAAAGACTCTTTTCAAAAAAGGCTTGTTGCATTGGCAAGAATGTAGTCTTGTCTTCCTATAACATTTCAATGGTAGCTACTGCAAAGAAAAGACAACATTGTTAGCAGGATCCAAATTGCACTTGTGTGATAGCTTTCTTGAAAAAAGGGCATGTTCTCTCAAGTACTGTATATAGCATGTATAGTAACTTCTGATGTGCAGTTGTCATGGTAATGAAAATGCAGTGGTCCTTTGTGCTCCATTTGAGTAAACAGACACAGACAACTTAGGGAACTTTATGAGTTGTAAATTATTTCTGGTCCATGGCTGTACAGAGTGCTGAGCACATTCATGTTTAAACATCTTTCTAGTTGTGTGTTTTCCGGAGCAAGCAAATGTAATTTATGCTTCAGAACTAATAAGAACATGTCTTCTCTTGGCATTGCTCATTCATCTGAAATATGTTCATTGATACCTGAGGGGAAGGAGAGTTAATGAATCAAAACAAAATCATAGTGGGGGGAAATTGTGTCCCTCACTCTTTCCAGAGACTAGTTTCTGATAATTGCTATTAAATGGACTAAATAATTCTTTTAAAATCATATCCTTTTCTTACTTTATCAAATTGGAGGTGCTTAAAATATATAGTGCAGGTATGGATTCTTAACTCTTTAATAAGTGTCCATTTAACAATCAAGTATCTTTATAAACATGTTATATAATTACTTTCTTCTTAAATCATTAACATTTTCAGTTGTTTAAAAGTATTTCAAAAGAACATATAACTTATCTCAATTTATTTTATCTGGTGTATTTACATACATCTTATTTTGCTTCTTTTTTTTTTTTTTAACATACTTGATTCAATTGTACTCCAATCATGGTACAGAAATGACAGGTAAATTTTACTAAAATCTTAACATTGTGGTAGTTCTGTGATTTGTCCACTTGACTTTTTCCATTTTGTCTTTGTGGACCATTTGCATTTATTGGAGGTTATATCCATGGCAACCTATAATTTTATTTTCCCATGAATATAAATTTAGGCTTAAATGTCAGTTTTTTACATTAACATCTAATGGTGACATTTCTCAAATTCAAGCCTGATGCTGTTGAATTCCCTAACTTCAACTTATTGTGAATGTGTCTCTGGTAAATTTTGTCCACTCTTGTCACTTGGCAAGTTAACATAATTACAAACGTAATAACACAAATTACGAAATGTCCATATGTGACACTGCAGTCTTATTGATCTAAGAATGCAATGTTGCTGTTTTTAAAGTGTGTGTTTCCTTTTTTGCCCCTTGGCAGATTTGCATAGAACATTCAAAATGCTCTATGGCTTTTAAGGCACAATCTTATTCAAAATTGCATTTAAAGTAATAGCTCTGGAATGCCAGAGATTTCAGAAAATTTGCTTTCTGGTGTCCCCTTCCCTTTGCAGCGGTATTGTTTCTACTGCTGCATTCACTCATCTGAGACCCTTGTAATGACCCTTATTCACAGCCAAACTCCAACTGAGAAACCACCCATTCTGTCATCACTTGAAGATAAAAACCACCCTCTTCATGGCTCCTCCCAGCTTTGCCTCTAAGACTGAGGCAAACAACTTAGTCTTCGCATTAAGTTCTATCACTGATGGAGAAGGTTTCTTTCTGCCCCGACTGTTAACCAGCCAGAGCTGGGCTGCATGCTCAGACTCGGCAGGAGGCTTTGCTGTAACAAGCCAGGTCATGTCCGAAGGCAGTAACTCTTAAGAGATTCTAAGCATAAGGTCAGTTACTTACTTAATGCTAAAGTTATTTGACACTTCAGGCCTGAGCCAGCCATGAGCCCAATGATCCCTTCTTCCCTAAGCATGATGAGTAGAACTGTTCCCTTGAAAATCATAAGCAGAAAGTGTTTCAGATGCAAAGAAAGTCCCCACAGGCTCTTGTGCCATGCTGGAAGTCAGCCCCTTCCAAAGATCATTTGCTCTGGTTATCAGTTTCCAGATGAGAGTGTTTTCCTCCTCCCTTTCTGTTCTTATTCATTTGAATCTGCTGAGTCTGACCATTGTAATTATCCCTGGTATTCATTTTGTCAGAGTATATTAGTGAGACATCAATAATATGGATCAACCCATTCACTTTCTACTTATTTGGTTGTATTGATTCAGTTTAAATAAAAGTCAACCTACTGTATAATGTTTGTTTACCCTGACCCTTGCTGAGCATTTCCACATCCTCACAGACTATGTTTGTGTCATTTGTTTGACTAAAAATACTTAGTTTCCTTGGAGTTCCCATGTGACAGTATGCCAGCGTTTGCCTAAGCTAAACTCACTTTCTCAATAGGACTGATGGACGCCGCTGGTCGTTGGCTTCTCTCCCTTCCTCTGGCTATGGGACAAACACACCCAGCTCTACAGTCTCTGTAAGTGCCTGACTTTTCTTTTTTTTTCTCTTCCTCACAACAACAGAGCTATTACACAGGCAGTGTTTTCTCTGGGTGTTTCCTGGTAGGGAGGAGAAGATAAATTCTGCATGTCTGCCACTCTGAGTAAGCAACGCATCAAATGATGGCCTGACAGACATAAAAAGGACATACTTTCACTGCAAGCTTTTAAACTGTAGTGCATAAATTGAGTAAGTTCCAGGATCACACGTTTGGAGGAGACTGGAAGCTTTCATTTTAATAGCATTTGGTGTAGTTTGGGGGGAAAAACACAGTCTAGTTTTATTGCTTTGGTTCCATGCCAGTGACATTAGTGCTAAAAATGCCATTGAACTTTCACAGACTGGGTCTTTCTTCCTATGTGGCTTAGATAGAGGTTTGTTTTGTTCTGTTTTTTTTCTCTCCTTCAAAGAAAGAAAAGGCAAGTCTTAATTTATGCCTTCTAGGTAAGAACTTTCTTTTAAGAAGAAATTAAAACAACTTGGAAGAAGGTTAAGATAAATAGAGACATGGTGGAATTATGAAAATAGGATAGAGGAAAATGGATACTCTTGCCCCAAACTTAACATTTCAACAAAAGACCTAACAATTACTGGAAACAACTCAGTAGGTTAGATCTATGTTTTTTTAGTTTACATTAGTAATCCTATGGGATAACTGTATCTGCAGGGCTATAGAAACAAGGTGGTCATTTAGAAAGGCCTAGTAGGTTGCAGGTGTTCAATATATGAAGTGATCTAGCTCTATTTGTACCAGCGAGGAATGTGGACCTAGAGCCTCATTTTGTCAAAATCTCTGGTTTATTGTTTAGGGATATCCATCTATTGTGTTTTTTATAGCCCCCAGCACTCCATTAAGCACATAGATTTAGCCACTTAATAACACTTGAATGACAAGAAACTACAGTTAAATAGATAAATTCTAACTGGTATCACCTCTGCCTTATACTGATGTATTTCCAGAATTCCAAGTATAATAATATAGTGTAGATTTTCTGGTGTGCCTTTAAAACCAAATTGTTAAAAACTGTTGCATTATTTTTACCATCTCTTTTTGATATTTCATTGAGCAAAGGTAATTTATTTTTCTATCCAATTATTCCATTTTGTTGTGATATATGAGTCTATTGTCCATTTAGATCATATTTTTAGAAACATGCTAACACCCTTGAGTGATTTCAGAGGCACATCAGCATCAGTAAAGGATGCTTAAAAATCCTGAATAGCATGAATGAGTAAAATTGTCAGTAAATAATAGTGAAGTCATCCTTGATTCTTATGGCAGTCACTATCAGTGGTTATTGGCCAGTATTTTAGACGTGTCTTTTAACTCTTAATTTTTTTTTTTAATTTCAACTCTAACACCTTGCATTGCCTTCAGTCAAGTTTTATTATAACTTGGACATAGAAATCTCTCTTTTGCAAGAAAAATAGGGGAGAGTTCAGGATTTGTATTCTTTCCATCTTTAGTAAGTCATTCATTTTTAAAAGTGAATCCATAATAAAAGGTGAGCTACATAAAATTGGACCCTGTTTGGTAAAAAATAATTTTTAAAATAATTTTGTTTTATAAATACTTGTTATATGCCAGGCCCTGGTCTAAATTCTTAAAATGCATTGGCTCATTTAATCTTAGCAACATCCCCTATCAGGCAATTGCTGTTGTTTTGCTCATTGTATGGGCCAGAAATCTGAGGCACAGAGAGACTGTTTAACTGAGTGACTGTTTACTGTCCCCTTGTTTTCTCAGTAAGAATATGGTGAGCAGTTTTAGAACCCAGTCTCTTGGCTCTTTTAAAGGAATTTACATGGCATTTCTTCAGATAAACCTTGTAATTAATAAAGCTGACCTGGTCATCAGTCAAAATGGAATCATTGCTGTCTCTAAATTCTGTATATGCCTACAGAAGACACCCCCAAGACCGTTTTTAGTCTACACACATACTTTGTGTTTCTAACAGCTCTTCTCTGAAGTGTTTATTTGATTGAAGACATTAGTATCATATAATTATTGGGCTCAATATTCCTATTTTTTCCTCCCAAATGAAATTTGAGCTTCCAGAATTACTCCTTTTGCCAACAGACAGAAGGGACTGTTTAGATTATGAACTGCAGGTGCTGTAGTGTGAAAGTTCAATTATTTTTTCTCTTTATTGGTTATTGATAAAAGTGATGAGTGAAAAACTAGAAAAGCTACTTCTCTATTTTTCTCAGTTTCTTTGTGGTCCTACTCTTTAAATATTAGGGCAGAAAGTGTGTAAAACTTCTTAGTAGTTGGCAGGTTTTTCTTTTCTAAAGCTAATCTGAATCACTCTTAAATTCTCATTTCCCTGGGTTAACTGTTAGTCATTTAGCCAATCAGAAATGTACTTTAACTATTTAAAAAATCAAATGTAGAATATATACAAATAAAATTGCAAGCACTTTGAAAATATAGTTTAAACTTTACAGATAATTTCAGCTGTTGTCTGAATGCCAGACTGAAATGTAAACATTATAATATCTGTATCCTTTGGTTATTATGGAAACTGCAAAATTGCTAAATGTTAAAAATGCTATATTCTGAAATTGGAAAGATTTAGCCAGATGAAGTATATCAGTCCTTCCAGAGAATATTCAGTGTTGCAATTTCTTCTAACATCACAGTTTGCAGTTAAAATTAATTTGTGGAGCTTTTCCAATATATTCAGATAATTCTTAATTTTGAAATAAGTACTATAGAATTGTAGCAGTCAGAAGACATTCTCCCATATGTTTCTTACCAGATAAATTATTTTCTGCTCAGTGAAAGTACAGAAATAAGAATATAAGTACTAATAAAAATATGAGGTATGTCTATAAAATGATATGATTTAATAAAAAGTAGAAACTTGTATGTGCATATGAATACTCTCCTTTGCAAAATGGTTACCTGCAGAGACTAAATGCTTATTGAATGATATCATGACTCAGAACATGGTTTTGGAACTCTAATTGCCTTAAGAACTAGCAGCATAATTTTTTTGGTATATCTTCATTCTTTGGACCCTTCTCTGAAGTCAATAGATACTGTTCCTGTGCAAGTACAGTTGCATAATATCTTGAGCCTGGTGTGTTTTGGAATTTTCACTTTGAGAAAGGTAATATCCCTGTTCTGTACATAACAGACCAGCAACGGTGGGGCCAGCCGCTTATAATCAAATGTATTAGTATTTCTGCAGCAGCTTGAATCAACATTCACACTAAGTAGATTAAATAAATATTTTAAACAGCTTCACATCAGTTCAATTGGTGCTTTGCCACCAAAAGAGATTACTGTAAACTTAGGAATAAACTTCTGAGTTTGTGGGTTTTGAAATCTTGGATACAGGATTGTGGACATTGATTTACCTTTGAGACATATCTATAGATTCTTAATTCTGTTTTTCTATTTGCTAATTTCCTTATCTTTCCTCTGATCACCACTGCTTATCTCCTGCTTGCATTGATTTTATTTTTTTTCTTGATTTCTTGACTTGATTTAGTTCATGTGTTTTATTTCTTTTTTCTTAGTGAAAAGTGTTTAAGGCCATGACTGTACTTACTGAATAGAGCTTTGATTTATCTCATAAGTCTTTCTAGTAGTGTTCTCATTTTTTTTATTGCTTGTAAAATAATCTCATTACATTATAAAAATTCCTTTGTCTCCATATGTACTAAGATGTTTTATAATTTCAAGTTATAGGAATAATTTTTAAGCTTTAGGCGTTAATTTCTAGTTTTGCTACATTACAGTGTTTTAGTATTTATGGAGGGTACTCTTAATATAATGATTTTTAAAAAAATGCTTATGAGAACTGACATTTTAAAATAAGTAGTATCTTTCAAAATGTGCTTATTCTAACTATGTTTCCATTTACTAAAAAATTTCTCAGTCTCTTTTATTAGAATTACTTAGAGACTTTACGTCCAACTAAAAATGAAAACAATAGTTTCTTTGCTTTTTAGTTAAATGTTTCAGATTGATTAAAAGCAGGGTTATTTAGCTGTTCACCTTTCCTGTCTTTCCTTGTTCCAAATGTTGAATGACGATTTCTAAAAAGCAAATCTACAGGCGTGTAACAAAAAACTCAACACGACTTGAAAGGTGTTTTTTTTTTTTATTTTAAGTTATAGTCTCAACCCTTCACTCTCCCCGAGAAAAAGGAATAAAGACAATTCAATTCCAGATTTTAAAACAGTGGCTTTATTGAGAAAAGTATCTTCTTTAATCCTTCCCCTGTTTTACTCATGGCACACTCTGATGCATTATAAAGAGAGGTTTCGTTGCCTTATTGACCATCTCATATCATATCATTTATTTTATGTTATTTACCTAAAAGTCAGTATTTGATTTTGAGCAGCAGTAAACTTGGGGGTGCCATGTTCAGCTGAAAGCTAATCTGCGATACAGTGCTCCCTAATGTCACTCCAGTGATCACTTTCTTGCTTTGGCTTTGACTGGTTCTGATCCATTTTCAGAGCCTGGGTTTTCTCCAGAGAGAAAACTACCTTTTGGGAAATTATAAACAAATGAGGCAAAATATGGAAAGCATTTTGAACTCTGAGAGAGAACATCAAGTTATACATTTAGGCAGTAGGTCTTACAACTTTAACCTGAAAAAGAAACAATAAAAATGGTAGTATTACCCAAGTTTAACTCATCTATCTCTCCTATTCTTTTGAAGAGTTTCTTTCTGAGGTAGTTATGTGACCTCACTTTGGTTTGTTTCAGTCATCCTGTTCCTCCCAGGAGAAGTTGCATCAGTTACCATACCAACCAACACCGGACGAGTTACACTTCTTGTCGAAACATTTCTGTACCACCGAAAGCATCGCCACTGAGAACAGATGCAGGAACACGCCGATGCGCCCCCGTTCCCGAAGTCTGAGGTGTGTGGGCCTGGCTGAAAACCATTACTTAATTGAATTCTCTATTTTCAAATATTTTGAGTGAAGACTTTGGTCCTTTAGTTCATATGTGTGTGAACTGACTTGCAAACTATTACAAATATAGCGTGATGTTTCCATGTACACATAATATTGTTAATGACCACTGAAAGGCATCTTATAATTTTCCTTTTCAGTTCTCACAATTTGCTGATTGCAGCAGTGGTAGTAATCATGATGGTCTCAGGACTACCTATGAAAACGTCTAGCCACTGGAAATTTCAAGGCATTGCAAAAGCAGTTAATGTTGTTATGTTAAGAGGTAACAGCTTGGTGGGAATAGAACGACAACAAGAATAGGAGGATTTTTTTAAATTCCAGATTCCATATTACAAAATATCTTTTTATTCTTTCTTCCCGTCATAAGTCTTACTTTCTCTAAGACTGTGAACACATTTTTAGGAGTTTGTGTCACCTGAAGTTTGTGGATGCCAAATGTAGTCCACCTGACACTGAATAGGGCCAGTTTTACTGTGAGTTTGTTTCTTCAGGAAGCAGAATCTAAAACAGAGCTTCTTGTTCAGGATGTTTCTCTGGGAGTGCTTTTGAAATTAGCACCTGTGGGAGGGAAGGGGGAGGCAGGATTGGGCAGAGGAAGAAGTCCAGCAGCTTTAGCCAACTCCACAGAGAGCTCGGGAACGACAGGACTCAGCAGAGTTGCTCCCTTGGCCCAATTGTGCCTTCGTTTATATCCCTACCTCAGTCATTGTGTCCCTCACTGGATGTGGCACCCTGGGAAAGACTCAGCCTCAGGCGAGATGACTTCTTGCAGCTGATGCCATCCCTGCAGGGACTGACAGCTGAAGGTTTCTGTGGACAGCACTCCCAGCAGCCGGGCAACAGGTCCTTCTTTGAAGGAGGGATCAGGACAGGGCATCACCTTGTCCACTGCAGTATGAGATCTTGATGCTATAGAATTAGTGAACTTTGATATCTTAAGGTTTTATTATATTAAAAAATAGCTTGTTTATTAGGTGGTCAGTTGAATATCAAAGTTTAATGAGAAGCAATTTGCCTTTGTTCTTTTTGTCTTCACTTAGTCTCATAAGCTAATAGTAAATATAGCCACACTGGATAATTGTGAGACATGTTAGATTATTCTGAGATATGGAATTAACAACTGGTTTTACTATTTCATCTACAGGCACCGTGTTTTACCACATGGGTGCCATTTTTTTAATTAAAGGAATTCCTAAGATGCGTAGTATAAGCTGTATCCCTTTAGGAATATAAATACACTGAAGTTGCACAACTATATGCCACTAGGAAGGAAGATGAACCTACTATTGAAAGAGTAAAGAAGAATGCACAACAGTTGTATGCCTCTGTTTCATATTATACATAATGCCTGCCTCAGCATCCCAGATAAATATTTGCTAGGCTAGAAAATGAATTTCAGTCATGACACCTGTGCCATGGAAGACTCAGACCTTTTCAGTGGTGTGTGGCAGACCGCAGGTGTATGATAAAAGTGTGAAATTACACTGTTAAACGTGTCCTAGATGTTGCTGTTTGTAGCTACCCTATTTTGTTTTATTTTGCAGTTTGTTAATTGTTTTCCAGATCTTACGCAAGCTCACACTACGTGCAGAATATAATTTCAATTTACAAACACTTTCTGAACTAGTATTGTAACTATGATGATTTTGTGACATTCCACTTCTTGAGCTTTCTTTTTCAGTCCTATTCAGTGTCTCTGTGTTTGTGGGAATATATGTGTGCATGTGTACTAATGACTGATTTTGTAGTTTATTATCTAATATACTTTTCTTACAAAGGTTGCATAGTACTTTTGATGCAGCTGACTGTTTATAAATAAAAAGCTTATTTTCATTTCATGCTGTGGCAAGTTTAAAAGGGTAATTTGCTTTGCTTGCAGCCCTGGACGTTCTCCCGCCTGCTGTGACCATGAAATAATTATGATGAACCATGTCTACAAAGAAAGGTTCCCAAAGGTAATGAATTGAATTGAAGATGCCTAGCATCTAAACGAACAGGCAACATAGGTTTTTAGTCTGTAAGGTCGTTTTGTTATGGGAAGTAAGGGTCCAATCTGTGATGATTTGCATAAAACAGCTCCATAGTCTTAGAAAGAGAAAATAACTTTAAAAAAAAATGTTAAGCTAACAACTGCTGAGAACTAGCTGTGCTCTCTGTATGCTGAGCTGGCTCTAAAGTGGACCTGCCACTTGTGCACCACACATGGGGGAGGCCTGGTGAGGTGCCGTAGGGAGGGTCTACTTTGAAAGGCCTCTAGACTGTGCACTTTGTACCCATGTTCTGGGCCTGCGCCATATTGTTAAGTAGAGACTGTTTTTCTCCATTAGAAGCCTGTAGATTGGTGTGTCATGAGAGGTTTTTTTCTCCACATTACTTTTCTGTGATTTCCCATCTCTTTAGACATTGTATTTCTAACCCTATTAATTTAGAAGAGAAGGCACAGTTGTCGTGTTCTCCAGTTAGACCGGTAAAAGAACGTCAATTGAGAGAGCAACTGTGAAGAGTTGCTGCCAAGCCCTTGGCTGCAAGGACCTGGTCCCATTAACTCACCTTGTTTCCACATCTTTCCCGCCAAAGCATTTCTGCACATTTGAGAAAAGGCCACTCTCCATGTTTTTCGTGATCCGCCCCCACAGCCTGTGTTGCCCTAAGCTGGAGAACAAATGAAAATCTTTGGCTTCATAAATCAAGAGTAGAGTACTTATTATTTGCAACTAACCCAGCATTGATGTCATTGATTAAAGCTGTTTTAGCTATTTATCACATGTCACTTGCTCACCAGGGAAACAGATACTGACTGTTACCTAGTTAATGCAGGTTAGGATATTAGAGGGGAGGAGGAGAGAGGAAGGAGAGGGAGTCTCCCTGCATATATAATTAATGTAAGTAAGGAATATAGATTAGGCAGTGGGTGACCACAGAGAATGAAATGAAAGTTGGAAAGGAAATTTTAGATTTATTTTACCAAGGGAGTCCCCCGGGACTTTTGCATAGGATGTAGCTTTTTGGGAAAAGAAGATGATATAAGATGTGTGCTCCTGGCACATTAAAACCTAGCCAAAAAAGATACATTTTTAGCTTAGGTCATGGAACTCTAGCAACATGCTGATGTTTAAGTACAAAAACATAAAGAAATATTTGATATTTTGGACAATCCATCTGAAAGAGCCCAAGATCTTAAATGAAAGCATAACAATTCGCAGATACAATTTGAGTTACTTGAAGAAGCTTACAGGGACCATTTTACATTTGATAGAACACAGAAAAGGGAGATTATCATTCTGAAATATTGATTTCACTTATGTATCCTCATATCTTTATTTCACATGCTGAGGCTGCTGCTTTTTTGAAGCAACTTTTTAAGAACAGTTTTAGCTTCACAACAAAATTGAGCAGAAGGTACAAAGATTTCCCATGTACCTGGAAAGGCTATGTATGAACACCCCCCACATGCATTAGGGTTCATTCACCCTTTGTGTTGTACAATCAGTGGGTTCGGACAAATGTCTGATGACGTGTATGTACCATTATTTTATCAGAAGTGAGGCTTCTTTTAAATTTGATTTCTAGAATCCCATTTAATGACTTGTGGAGGTCTCTGAAAATGCTATAAAAAATGTGATGGTCGAATTGTTTACATGTGTGTTTCCTCGTATTACATCTGTGTATGTGTGTCTTCTCTATATAGGCTACAGCTCAGATGGAAGAACGTCTAAAGGAAATTATCACCAGCTACTCTCCTGACAACGTTCTACCCCTAGCAGATGGAGTGCTTAGTTTCACTCACCACCAGATTATTGAACTGGCTCGAGATTGCTTGGATAAATCCCACCAGGGCCTCATCACCTCACGATACTTCCTTGAATTACAGCACAAATTAGATAAGTTGCTACAGGAGGTAAGAACCATGCACCGTATAGTTTTCTGATTTATTTTGCTTTTCCCTGAAAAAAAATTCTTTTTTTTTTTTTTTTTTTGCTTATAAGTTATAACCATGAAATGGAGTTCACATTCCAGAGAAGCAAAGAAGAAGGAAAAAAAAAAAAAAAAGAAACTTACCTGATTGCTACTTGCTCTAAATTGATTCTGGTCATCATTTATAGTAATAGAAAATTAATGTAATAACCTTTACAGGAACCTTGGTACCCAACAATCTATGACTCTAGGATAAGTGGATTGTGAAGGATTTTGAAGCAGTGATTTCTTCCCCCTTTAACCATAAAGTTATAAATTGCCTGAGCGTATGTGTGTTATTTGATGATGCTATCTAGTTCTAATATCTGAAAAAGCTAAATGGAAAATTGCTGGCTTCTTCCAGGCTGTGTGTTCTATTAATTAACCTGCACGTGGTGCTGGGTAGTAAATGGCAACTTATATTTTCATTAGTGTCAGTTCTTTTTCTAACAAAATATCCAATTTCCAAAATGACAGATAAACACAGGTCCTGTCTAGGCCTAACACTTGCATGCCTAGCACCTGATAACACCCAGGACAGGAAGACAGTCTGTATGGGGGAATGGAATACATGTATAATATTGCTCTTCTGACTGAAATTGACCAGCCACAGCCTACAATGAAACCTATTTAGCCTATGTGTTTGTATATATTGTGTTTCTGTATCTCACAAGGCACAAATTATGCCTGTGTAAACATAATTATAGACACTTTTCTCTAAAACATCAATATGTAAATAATTGCAGAAAACTGAAGGAAAATATTAGCATCATAATTTTTGAGAACTCTAACTGTCCTTGCCCCTGCAGAATTTAGCTGGCCAGATAAGATCCTTCTCTGGCTGGCAACTGCTACTTTTCTCCCCTTTGCCATCTAGGCCTTCTATACTCTTTCCCAATTTCTCACATTGCAACTGACTGCAGTTCACTGAAGCAGTCCCTTTCAGACTATCCTTAGGGGTGAACACATTGTTTTGGGGGTTTTTCTGTTAATTTCTTACTTGGTATGGACCTGTTCTCTCCCGTAAACTAAAAGGAAAATGAATTTTACAGGAAAATGATCATATACTTGAGTTTCCTGGCAATGTAAAATTGCTAAATGAGTTACATTACAATATAAAATTGCTGTAAGAGTTGCACATGCTTACGCTTAAAATTGTACTTAGATATCTCATCACGCACAGATAACAGTCGTGGACTGGTCCCATTCCACAGGCTGCCCTTTGACTGCTCTACACTAGAGTATAAAGTCTCTGTGGGCACGGATATTATTTGCTTTGTTCACCTAGAATGGTGTGTGACACATAGAAGGACTTTAATATTTTTTGAGTGAATGGCTTCTGATACCCCTCAACTCACTGACATCCTCCTTATTGTCATATCCACTGAACATTTTACTGGAATATTACTGCATTCAGCAGTGTTAAAACCCTCCTTTTCTCTGTCTTCCTTTTAATTTATTATTTTTGGGACACCTCTGACCGTTTCTTCTCTGCCTCTTCCAGGGGTTTCTCTTCCAACACCTGTTTTCTATAAGTTTTCCCACAATCACATCCTTAGTCTACTCCTCCTCCTTCTCTCCTAGTCATCTTGTTGGCTGTCTTGGATTAAAGACCTATAGACTCTAATGGTTTCAAATCCTTATCTCAGACCAGTAGTCATCTTTCACATTTCAGAATCATGGATCCACCTGTCTGCTGAATCTCTTTCTACCTGGACAGCCCACTGAAGCAGCAGTCCCAACCTATGTAAAACTAGACAGCATTTCTTCAATCACACATGCTTCTCCCACATTCTTTTCATCTATCATTGGCACCGCCATCTACCCAGTCAACTGCTGGAACTCTGAGAATACTAGACTCCCTCTCTCCCTTCTTCAAGCAACCCATTAGACCTCATAGTTTACTTCCTCAATATTTCTACAACCCTTCTTTCCTGTTCTATAATCACTTCCTGGCTCAGACCCTCATCCAGCTCAAACCCTCATCCTCACCAATCTGCCTCCCTCCAGTCTTAACTCTTCAAATTCATACTTTTATGCAGCTGCAAGAGTATCTATCTAAAACTCTTTATTGGCTCTATTTTGCCCATAGGTATAAACCATAACATGGCCCGTTGCTGTGCCCTTCGTCTCAATGCATTTAGCCGTAATGAGTTGTACTGACTTCTGCAGTCTCACTTTACCAACAGACAGGGGACTCTTTGAGGAACAGGAGTCATCTCTAATGCTCTGGTGCTGAATTCAGTGCCTGGTGTTTATCAGTTCCTCAGAAACCGTGGAAGTGGGGAAGGAAGAAAATAGATACGACTGCATACCAAAATATTCAGCCTATTAGGATGTATCAAGTAATCTAATTCTGCTGTTGCTTTAATCAAATCAGAGTCCAGAAAATGCTGGAAACACTATGCATATTACTATTTATGAGAATATTTTGAAAGTATGTTTGCTAAATAGTACACTTTCGAACAGAAGAGGCAGACACAGGAATTCTGTAGTCAGCCTCTGTGAGATACTCCTAATTCTGCAATTCTGTCCCAGGATATTACCATAGTTACCAGCTTAATCCTGTGTTTTTCATTCCTTTATAGGCATGCCCTGAAAAGGGTAGGATTGCTATCCAAAGCTGTTTACACTGAAATCCCCTACTTAATTTTGTTTCTGTGACAGACGCAGCAGATTACTTCATGACAATTAAAATAAAATCTTAGGGTTTCACAGATCACATGATGGGTCCTATTATTATTTTTAAAATGCTGATTTTTAAAGAAATTTCTTTTTTGGCCAGAGAAGCATGTATACTTGTGGCATAAAGGTCTTGTTGGGTATAAATAAGAATGGTTTCTTGTTTAGCTTTATAGATAAAGAGCTTCCTTCAGTCCTTTTGTAAAAATTTAAACTGTTTGCCTAATCACATTTACAGTATTTTTCCAGAACATGGAGCTAATCCACTGCAGGGGGGCCTGCCCTTTTTAGATAGAGCCAAATTGTGGAACTTGCCTTGGTTTCCCCAGGATGCAGTTGTCAGTTCCCAACTGTGACATTCTGTGCTCTGTAGGCCTATCTCCCAGCCATTTTTCTCATTGTCTGTCTTTTCCATAACCCAAGTAAAATCCACGTAAGATTTCAGCAGCTTAATGCCTTTTTAAAGTCCTGAGGCCTAAGACAATTCCAGATGAATGCTTTTATGTCTCCATTCTTTTTTGCACTTACAGAAGTTTAGCCAAAGACAATAACATACATAGGAAGCTCTAACCTACTCTCAAATCTGGGTCATGGTTATGTTTTATAGTGGCCAACCCTTAAAATACAGACACAGGGTATCCGTTAGTGTTTCCCCTTTGGAGCTTGGTGGTTAACAGCCAGGAACCAATTTCTCTTCACGGGCTAATTGTGTCTTTATTTTGTGGTGTTTTAACAGGGCTCCTTCTCCCCACTTAAGTTAGTAGATAAAATACTGTTTGAGTTAATGTAAATTATATGTTTTATCCTTGGCTATGACTGATAATTCTTAGAACTAAGAAGTTAGAATGAACTGATTATGATTTTTGAAATTGAATTTATTTAATCTAAACTGACTTTTTTTAAGTTTATTAAGATAAAAAATTCTCATTTCTCTTTGAAGAGACAACCCAAAATGTATTTAGGCTTTTCAGATTTTCTTTATATTCCTGAATTTATAAAGCAAAAATTATTATAGTAAGAAGAAAGCTCTGTATCCTGCTCAAAGTGTTAACTAAGAAGTTAAGTGTTTTGTTTTTTTGTTTTTTGGTTTTTTTGCTTCATCTTTAAAGTTTTCTGTTTAGTTTGGTTGAGGATAAACCATAAGGAAGATGTAACCATATTTTTTGTCATTCACTGGATCTTCCAAAAATCTGTTTTTGTTGCAAAGCAAAAATTGGGAAGAAAATGTAAAGGCAGTTTCAATATTTGAGATGCATATATATGTGCATCGTTATATATGTCCTAGCATCCTTCCTGGGTACTAGGACCTGTCGTTATAGTTACTAGTTGGTTTTCTTTGAACACATTCTATTCTACGATTATTCACCGATGGTCATTTTTCCTTTTATTTTAATGTCAAAAGCTAACTGTTTTACTTTTGCTGGTATATGGTTTCTGTGCCTGTGTTTTGGAAAATGACTTTGGATTTGATGGTTTAAATTCAGCAGACATATTACTTCTGAGTACAATCATTTTTTATAAATTTGATCTCTGCCAGTTCTTTTCACGTGGGTAGGGGATTGGTCCTTGTCATGGTAAAGCACCTTCAAGAATGACTGTAAATGTTTATTACCGTGTCTGTGAAATTATATTGCACCAGCATCACAATGAAATGGTATTTTTTAATCCTTAGAGGAAAGTAAATCATAAAAACAAAGATTAAGAAAGTCTAAAAGTGAACGTAACAGAGAAGTTTACATTAAAACCTCTAAACTTGTTTTGTGCCTGTCTTGATATAGATTTATCTGATTTTTTTCAAGAAAATATTATTGAAAATTTAAGTGACTATTAACAAACAGCTTTGCTCTCAGAATATTTATTGTGCTTGGGCAATATACAAAATAAAAATTTTAAAGATTTTAAGTTAAATTTTACTAAGTTAAGTGCCTAGGTATTATTTATTCAATGTGTGAAACTGAATTCACATTTATATACCCAGGTATAGGTTGAGCATTCAAATTCCAAAATGCTCCAGAATATGAAACTTTTTAAGCACCAACATGATAACACAAGTGGAAATTCTCTTACTTGACCTCATGTGATGAGTGCACAAAATTCTTTAAAAATATTGTATAAATTTACCTTCAGGTTATATGTATTAGGTGTACATGAAACATAAGTGAATTTTTGTGTTGAGACTTAGATCCCCTCCTCAAGATATCTCATTATGTATATGCAAATATTCCACAATTTGAAAAAAATCCAAAAACTTGTGGTCCCAAGCATTTTGGATAAAGGATACTCAACTGGTATATACTTTATCCAGCTAACACTTGAAAAATGCATTGTACACTTTTTATGTGTGATAATATAATTAATTTATAGGCGAATCATATTGTATATGTGAAATATACTTCAAGAATGTGTTAAGTGTCCAGGATAAAAGCAGTCCTTCACTATATTAGTCATTTTTTATGTCTAAGATGTTCTTAACTGGAAAATCAAGGTTCTTGATCAGCTTCCCACTCTACTTGTACCGTGTGCTTAATGTGTCATAAACTTTTAATGTCTCCTTCATTCATGGTTCACATTAAGCGCCCTTTGATTTTTAGCACAGATAATATATCAGAGTTTTGCAATTAAGATTTAGCTAATAGAAAGATTTTGTAGATATAGGAGTTTAATAGTGTCCATTTATATACAGATAATGTCTGTTTATCAATCTTTTAACAGCATTTTCTAAATCACTTGAGTTTTGAACATTTGCAGTGATCTAATTAGCCTGCTTTGCTGATTTTCTTTTCCATTTAATGAAACAACTCTGCATCATCACTCTCTTTATTGCTTTTTCCTAGGCTCATGATCGTTCAGAAAGTGGAGAACTGGCATTTATTAAACAACTAGTTCGAAAGATTCTAATTGTTATTGCCCGCCCTGCTCGGTTATTAGAGTGCCTGGTAAGTTGCCCCTCGATGTGACTACATTATTTATTGTTAACTGGGAAAGCAGTTACCATCAGAAAGCTCCAGCTTCATTTGGTTTCCAACACCAGAGCTAAATGGAAAAAGTCAAAGGAAATTACAAGTTGTGAATGTTTATGACGTCGATATGTGACTTGTCCTTTCTTATTTTAAAGAGACTTCTAGACTTTTGCTCTACTAAGTGATAGTCATACGATATTCTAGGCAAACTTGAAGTAGAATCATAAAATAATGTGCTTGACCTTTTCTCAGCATAATTACTTTATGTCACAGCTAATTTAAAACTCTTGCTGTACCTCACATTTTTGGAGTTGCCAAGATGCAGAGAAGGAATAGAGATAAATGCAGGGATAAATAGTAACCTGTGATTTATAATTATTCTTTGTTTTAAAATGTGGCAAGTTAGAAAATAAGATGCTAACCATCCCATTTGGGAAAATACAGTAGAGCCTCATGCAGACCTGAAGGAATGAGACTTCTAGAGATGATTAGTTCATTTTAACAATTATATGTTTTTGGCTGGGTGTGGTGGCTCATGCCTGTAATCCCAGCACTTTGGGAGGCTGAGGCAGGCAGATCACCTGAGGTCAGGAGTTCCGGACCAGCCTGGCCAACATGGTGACACTCCATCTCTACTAAAAATACAAAAATTAGCCAGGTGTGGTGGCGCACGCCTGTAATCCTAGCTACTTGGGAGGCTGAGGCAGAGAATTACTTGAACCCAGGAGATGGAGGTTGCAGTGAGCTGAGATCACGCCACTGCACTCCAGCATGAGCGACAGAACGAGACTCTGTCTCAAAAAGTAAAAATAAATAAAATTAAAAATAAATACAATTACATATTTTTGGCCAGTGATCATTTTCCTGTTGAGAAGTTTTTGTTTTATGGAATTTTGATTTGAGGTTTCAGTTAAAACTGTGAACAAATATTAAGCTGTGAACATAAGAATTATTTTAAGGATCTACTAATATAGCATCAAAACTCACTTTTAAATTCCACTGGCTATTAAAGTAATTATAACACCACATACAATACAGCTTTTCAGAAATACACACATACATACCTACATAATGCACATATGGTTGCAGTGCTTTGGTCTTGCCCTTATTTTAACTGTCATCCATAATAATTTATAATAGTGAAATATTCACAGCACCAAAAATATATACTATTGCCTTGTCAGACACAGAGGGAAAATCTTGAGGAGAAAGGTAAGGAGTTGGGAGGTGTAGGGAAGGGCTTTCTGTCAATGGTGAGGACCCTTAGAATCATAGAATCAAACACACCATTTGGCATTGAGTGTCTCTGGAAGGCTAAAAGGAAAAAAACTTGGATACTTCAGGGAGAACTGGGTGACTGGTAAATCCAGGTAGAAGGGTTAGTTAACTTTTTACTGCCTCTCCTGTTGTAACTTTTGAATTACAGACCACATGTTTGTACTTCCCACAATTGTTTAATTTAGGGTAAAGTTTCATTTAGCATTAAAACTTGTTTTTCTGGACAACAGATATGCTAAGAGCAGATCTTGCTTTAAAGGAGGAAATCAACTTTTTACAGTAATCACTCATAATCAGAAGAGAAAAAGTATAGCTTCTCAAAGATAGAAACAAGTGAACTTAGAAGTAGCTTGGAAATATTGCTGCTTTCAAAGTACTCTTTAAAGCTTAGATGAAACTGGAGTTTCATAGTATTAGGGGATGCTTCCCCCAGGCTATCATCTTATCCCTATAGTACCCAGGCTTGCTCTGTCAGTCATTGTAGTAGGTGTGTATGTAAAAGACTCTGAGTATTTACATTGGTTTAACTTTACTCCATTTACAGCAAGTTTTTTTTTTTTTTTTTTTTTTAATGACCTTTAGAAACTCCAGAAAAAATCCAGGAAATATAACTGAAATTAATAACTGGGCTTAGGCAATAAGCATAATTGTTTACAACACATAAATCCATGGCATCCCTTTGGGCATAGAGGAAAAACCAAACTTGGTTTCTCCTGCTGTGCTCTTACAACATGATTCTGACACCAGTTATGTGGGAGCCCCACACAACAAGCAAGCAAGCAGTTCTGCAGCAGACGCCAGCTGGGTGTCCTCCAATTCCATTCCAACACTGTCTACCCAGAGATAGCATCAGATCCCACTGGTTGAGGGGTCAATTCCACAAGAGTGCCCCTACTTCCAATGTCAGTCGCGAGCTCCAGATGGTTTGCCTGTGCCTCTCACCGTCTTGCTATAAACCGAGGTTCCTATGACCCCCATCTCTGAGTTTCATTAGTTTGCTAGAGTGGTTCACAGGACTCAGGGAAACACTGAAGTTGACCAATTTATTATGAAATACATTAAAAACTCTACAGATGATAAGATGCATAGGGTAAAGCATGAGGAAAGGAGTGCAAAGCTCCCTGGCTGCACTGCCTTCCAGGAAACTCCACACGTTCAGCTATCCGGAAGCTCCCCAAATGCGGTCCTTTTGGGTTTTTATGGAAGCTTCATTACATAGACATGTTTGATGACATCATTGGCCATTCATGATCCACTTAACCTTCAGCTCCTCTCTGAAGTGGAGGTGAGGATGGGGCTGCAACTCCCAACCTCTCATCATATGATGGGCTCCCCTGACAACCAGCCCTCTTCCAGAGGCTGCCCAGAAGTGCCCAGCCACCCGTCAACTCACTAGAATACAGAAAGCCACTTATTACTTTGGAGATTCCAAGGGTTTCAGGAGTGGTATTTCAGAAAACAGGGATGAAGACGAAACATACATTTGATAGTATCACAGCATCCATCTAGAGTATGGTGATCCTGAAGATATTTATTACACACTAGAAGCAACAGGCAGCCACATATACACAACAAATTAAATAGATAGGAAAATATATTCTCAAAATTTTATAAGAGACAGAGGCTTTAATTTCCCATTTTTCTTTCTTGGTCTTTATGTGAATAGTGGTAACTTAATTTTATAGTTAACTAATAAAAAATGGTAACTTTGAAGTTTTTCTTTCTAATGTTTTTGGATACTTCTATATTAAGAGAGTTTCCTGCAGCATTTTTGAGTAAGTGCATTCTAACATTCCTTTTGTTGCTGGTTGAGTGGAGAGAGAAATTGAATCTCAAATCTTCTGGATGGAAATTCCCAGATTTTACAACTTTGCCAGAAAGGCACAATTAAAAATCAGACCTGTTCATTTCCGATGAGCGAGATCTTAAGTGGAGCGTAGTACCTTCGTATTTACATTACAAGCAAATTGGAAATGATCATTATCTTTGGGTTACCATGTACATAAATGTGTTGGCTTAGAATATGAATAGGCTTCAAATACGAAGTGAGAATTACATACTTTTAAAATCCATTTGCCTCCTTTCTGCATAAGTAACTTACAGCCATGTATATCCAGCAGTTTTATTGTGAATGGGATTTATGTAATAAAACCTCAGACAATTTTGGCTCAAAGAAGTATCCATCTGTGTTTGTCTTCTGCTAGGAATTTGATCCGGAAGAATTTTACTACCTGTTGGAAGCAGCAGAAGGCCATGCCAAAGAAGGACAGGGTATTAAAACTGACATTCCCAGGTACATCATTAGCCAACTAGGACTCAATAAGGATCCCTTGGAAGGTGAGTCCCTGGGTTGTTCCTACCTTTGACTTTGTTTATGCACCGTCACCTCATAGAGGAAATCTTAAGTGGCAAATCTTTATTTTTTCCTCATGTTTTGGCTCTACCTTTTGAAAAGTCCATATCTGGGGACTGGTTGCTATTTGAAGGAAATAGCCATAAATTGGGTCCTGAGATGCGACTGAGCATGACCCATTTTGTGTCTACCTAGAGTGTAGGTCAAGGCCTTGACATCCTTAGAAGCCTGTCAGCCTGAGAATGCCAGAGTGTCCCAGAGGGTTTTGATTTCAGTCTTCACTGAGTAGTTTTTCTCCTGCAGAGCTCAGTTGGGCTCTTTTTGAGAGTACTTCTAATTTTTAAAATGTTGCTAAAGACATTATCATTAATTAAACTGACATTTAAATTTGCTTTGGAAGTAATGCAGTTGATGGTAGATTACTTTAAATTGAGTATAGTATTCATAGGGTATATTCTTGTTTACTTAAAGTATAAAACATAGTAATATACAGGAGAACCAATAAAAATGTTTTTTTAAGCTTATAAAAGGATTTATGGGCTGGGCGCAGTGGCTCACGCCTGTAATCCCAGCACTTTGGGAGGCTGAGGTGAGTGGATCACGAGGTCAGGAGTTCCAGACCAGCCTGGCCAATATGGTGAAACCTTGTCTCTATTAAAAATGCAAAAATTAGCTGGGCATAGTGGCATGTGCCTCTAGTCCTAGCTACTCGGGAGGCTAAGGCAGAAGAATCGCTTGAACCCAGGAGGCGGAGGTTGCAGTTAACCTAGATCGCGTCACTGCACTCCAGCCTGGGCGACAGAGTGAGACTCTGTCTCAAAAAAAAAAAAAAAAAAAAAAAAAAAGTTGATTCACATTTTAAAATAATATTATTAAATTAAATACAGAAAATAGGAAGCATCCTGCAAGTGAACTTTTAAAAATCTGATATTAGTAAACCACTCCCCTGACAACCTGTTCCTGTTCATGAGTGTTTAGGATTGTTATTTATAACATTTAGTTATACACTCCCCCAAAAGACTCAAAAACTGTCATTGACTCCTTCATTCAAAATTGTCTTCCCGGTTCATTAAATTGAATTTGCAAACAGCGTTTATCTTGTTAAATTGTTTGTAATGGTAAATGTTGGCACAGAGATTTTCCCATCTGAAGCCAGGGAACCTGCTGCTCTCTGCCCTGCTCTCCTGTTTCCCTGCTTTGTTTGCTCCTATGGCCATCGTATCTTTGCTTCCAGTGAAATGATGCATGCATTACTGTGAGATAATGCCAGATAAATTTATACTGTACTGAAAGCAATTCCACAACAGATTCATCACTTATCAGAGACTGGTGGCTGCTTTTCTGAAAAGTTCCCTGGGGAGAGATTTTTCCCCATGGCTTTTAAATTACCATCTTTACCTTTTTGAATCATGAGTCTTCAGAAATGGTTTAAATCAATGAAATAAAAAGGGCAGATGTTTAATGGTATTTAGATGAGTTTTAAAAATCACTTCAGGCATTACAAACTGATGCCTTAGCTTCCTGCTTCAAAAGCTGACTCTTGGTTCCATTCCATTACTACCCACTGCTTACAAATAATATGTATTTCTCAGATAATAGTTATTTAGCAGAAATTCTATTTAAAACAGAACCATCTTTTAATTTTTTTTTTATGAAAATAGTTGGAGTTGGGGAGGCTGTCAAAGTAGATTATAGTGACTCTTCACGCTGGTGTAGTTAAGATTGCGTCAGCTCTTGAATTGTGGACCAAGTGAGTTCTTTAGTTTTCTTACCTGGCAATCACTGTAGGCTGAACTTTGGTAGGTGAATAATCTGAGGCCCATGTAGAAACTAGCTTTCTAGAGGCTCTAAAGAAAACATGAATAGTGATCTTTAACAAGTTTGGAGTTTAATCACTGGGAGTTGTGTTTTTAACTCTTGACACCTAATTTAAGATCTGAGGCTAGTTTGTGTTTGTTTTTTGGGGTGTTTTTTTTTTTGTTTTGTTTTGTTTTTGGTTTTTTTTTTTTGGAGACGAAGTCTTGCTTCGTTGCCCAGGCTGGAGTGCAGTGGTATGATCTCGGCTCAGTGCAACCTCTGCCTCCTCAGTTCAAGTGATTCTCCTGCCTCAGCCTCCCGAGTATCTGGGACTACAGACGTGTGTCACCATGCCCAGCTAATTTTTGTATTTTTAGTAGAGACAAGGTTTTACCATGTTGGCCAGGCTGGTCTCGAACTCCTAACCTCAGGTGATCTGCCTGCCTCGGCCTCCCAAAGTGCTGGGATTACAGGCATGAGCCAGGGTACCTGGCCTTGAGGCTAGTTTTTAATCTATTTGTTAACATTTGAAATATGACTTCTCCAGGTAATTTAATAAACAATTGCACCACGGTGAGTGGATCAACTGAGGTCAGGAGTTTGAGAGTAGCCTGGCCAACATGGTGAAACCCGTCTCTACTAAAAATACAAAAATTAGCTGGGCGTGGTGGCGGGCGCCTGTAGTCCCAGCTACTCGGGAGGCTGAGGCAGGAGAATCGCATGAACCCAGGAGGCGGAGGTTGCAACGAGCCGAGATGGCGCCATTGCACCGTAGTCTGAGTGACAGAACAAGACTCCCTCTCAAGAAATAAAAAATAAACGATTACAAACCCTGATTGTTCTACATTTGTTTCCTTTTCCTGTCAGCGTCTAAATTAACATACCTTAGACCTGTCCTTTGAAGGTTAGGAATTGGGAGTTCTGGAGCTGGGCTGCCAGGTCGGCACCCTAAGCCAGCACTGCACACTGTGTGAACCTTGACTATCCAAAGTGATGCACCTCTTTGTGCCTCAGTTACTTCCATAAAAATGAGATAATAGGCCGGGCGCGGTGGCTCACGCCTCTAATCCCAGCACTTTGGGAGGCTGAGGCGGGCGGATCACGAGGTCAGGAGATAGAGACCATCCTGGCTAATCTGGTGAAACCCCGTCTCTACTAAAAATACAAAAAATTAGCCGGGCGTGGTGTTGGGCGCCTGTAGTCCCAGCTACAACAGAGGCTGAGGCAGAAGAATGGCGTGAACCCGGGAGGCGGAGCTTGCAGTGAGCCGAGATCGCGCCACTGCACTCCAGCCACGCTGACTCCGTCTCAAAAAAAAAAAAAAAGAGATAATAATAGCATCTACTTATAGGATTGTTTTGAGGATTATATGTTTATATTTGTAATTGCTTAACATAGTAAGTGTTTAATAGATGTTAGCTGCTGTTGCTATTTTATTTAAACACTATTAATATTTGTCCCTTTCCTTGAGAGCCCTTCCAACTAGATGCATTTTAGTTCACCTCCAAGTCCACAAATCTAAGGTGCTAGTCATATTGGACATTGACATCATTTGAATGAGACCAAGAAAGTACATAGTTTGCGCTGAACTCATTTTTATTCTGGAATTTCCCCTATAGGTAAACTGAGAAGGTTGTTGTCAATGTCCACTTATTCCAGAATCTAGAATTTATAAGTTTTTATCTAAAGGTAATACTCCAATGTTGTTTTGCTTCATATCTCTTATGCATAATATCTGCCCAGAAGGGATGATCATATTTATGAGAATGTGAATACATAAAATAAGAACCTAAGAAATTTTTAATTATTTAATTTTAAACAAAATTAAGTTTATTTAAATTGAAAATTTTAAATATGTTTAGATGCACACAAAAATATGTAACTAAAAACTGACTTTTATTATGCATGTTCAATTTTGAAAAATTGGAAAGTACAAGTAAAAGAAGAAAATATTATCTCTGATCCTGTCACTGAGCTAAGACCTATCATAGTTTTAGAGAAAATTATTTCATGTTTTTTAAATAAAAATGATTTTTTAAAAGTTTAAAAAAATGAACAGTAAAAGAATTTGATTTTCTCATCTACTTCTATAAATTTAAGGATGTATTCCAATGCGAATTGATCAATTTAGACACTTTTGTCTCTTAACTAAATCATCAGGGTAGTACTTAAAGCTGGTGTCAAGCATGTGATACCCAATCCAAGGCTGATTACACAATATAATTAATAATAAACAGTCAACATTTAGTAAGCATTTAATTTTTGTTAGTATGCTAAGAGCTTTACATGCATTATCACATACAGTACTCACAAAAAGCTCTAAGAAGTAGTATTGTTTACGTTTTACAGCAGAAGAGCTTGAAGTTAAAAGGTCAGTCAGTCAGTAAATGCAGATAGTAGTGGTAACCTAAGTCTTTTAATATCCAAATCCCTCTTAACCACCATTATTACTTCCTCTCTGACAAATGTCAAACTCTTAGTGTCTTTGGCAGGGTATTTCTCAGTGGATATGAAGGAATGGAACAAGAGATATGCACCACAACTTAAGAATCGTTCCCTAGCTGTAGTCAGTGCTGCTTTGATGCCCGCCAGAGCCTGGAAAGACTTGCCTCTCTCGGATACCTGATTCTAAGCAGAGTTGTTGACCCACCAAAGCCTTTCCAAGCTATGGTGATTGCATCAGCCAATGAGTTCCTATGCCCAGCCTCTAACGTTCCTATGTCTAGGTGTTTGCAAGAAACGGGGTTCTGGGGAGGTGTGTGTAGTGAACAATTTCAAAATACCAGTGGCTGCCTTTTTTTAGATTTAAGATTTTCCCATAGGCACATTGGAATCTAGAGCAATTTTTTAAATATTGGAGAAACTATTTTTCTTTTGTTTCAACTTAGTATTCTTATCCAATTGCAATATTTTTATTAAGCTTACCCTTTTTTTGTTTTTTTTTTTTTTAACTTAGAAATGGCTCAATTGGGAAACTACGACAGTGGGACAGCAGAAACTCCAGAAACAGATGAATCAGTGAGTGTAAGTATATTTCTTGATAAAATATGATGTTGGTTTTTCTGTTTAGCATCTGGAGACTTTGGCTGTGTTCGTTTATTTATTCAACAAATGTTTGTTGTGCTTCTGTGTGCAAGGCATTGTGCCAGGCACTAAGCATACAATTTTAGCCCCTTCTTTCATAAAGAAACGAAACTTAATAAAAAATCACATGCAAAAAATAGAAATGATAAATATGAATGAGATCTATGAAGAAAAAAGACCATGTGCTACCATAACGTAAAGATATTTGCCATAGTCTGTCCAGTCCCAAAAGATTTCCCAAGGAAATGGCACTTGAGCTAAACGTAACAAATTACTAGGGTAAGAAGGGGCAAAAGGAACATTCCAGACACAGGCTACATCAGAGGACTAAGCAAGGGAGACGGCAGAAACTAGAGCACTTGAGTAAAAACTGGATACTTAGGTCCCTGTTTTTCATGTTTGTCAGGTTTTTTGTTTTTGTTTTTTAAGAGCAATGGGACTGAACTTTGGAGGAGGTGTATGGGTATATGAGGGTGGGAGGAGTGGACAGGGAGATAACCCAATCAGAGTTATGACTTGAAAAAAATCACACTGACTGCAGTGCAGAAAGCAGTGGGGTAGGAGGAGGAGGGAGGGGTGACCATGTGGAAGCCAGTTCAGAGGCTGCTGCCGTGGCACAGGTGAGAGGCCGTGGATGCTGGTGCCGTTCTCCTCAATTGTGAACACCAAAAGAGGAACCAGGATGCATCAGATTAGGGATTAGGAAAGCAGGAGCAGGCTGTGTAGCCTAGGTGATAAGAACCCAGGCTCTGGAGTTAGGTTGCCTAGAGCTGAAAACACTGCTTTCTACCAGCTGGGGTTTGGGGGAAATTTCTATGTGCCTCAGTTTCCCTGTTTGTAAAAGATTAAATGAGATTTTTATGTAAAACGGTTGGGACAGTATCACATAGTAAGTGCTGAATAAATGATAGCTGTTTTATTAATTTTATTATCTGACTCATAATTTTGAATGTATCGAGACTAAAGTTCCTTTGAAACATTCAAGAAGATCCATCAAACTGGCAGCTGTATATAAGGTCTCGTATATTCTGGCACTCAGAGGGAGAGTTTCTGGTGGAGTTGGAAGTGACTTAGGAGTCATCCATGAACATAAATGAGATCACTCATGTAGGGAAGAGTTAATGAGATTAGAGAGCCTTGGACAGAGCCTTGCAGCCCAAAGCCATGAAAGAGCAGTAATAGTGAGTGAATTACCTTCTGAGCCAGTGCAAAGTAGATAAGAAAATAAAAAAAAAGAATAAAAAAATTAAAAGAGTAATAGTGAGTGACTAAACAAGTAAGTGGTCCCAGTCTTGAAGTCTGTTTTCTGTGATAGAGCATTGGCAGATGATGACTAGATAGATCCAGATCTTGGCCAGAGGCCAAGGGGGAGAAGAGGAGACAGATGGTTCCAGTTGAAGAGGTCAAGTAGTCTGGAGGCCAGAGTGTTGGGTGGGTTATATGTGTAGACACTGAAGTCACCCTGGATGGTGAGACAGCTCTTGGGCGGAGAGGAAGGTGGGTAGCCAAGTCTTCCAAAGATGAGTGGGGATGACAGGGTCAGCGATGACAGCGCTGAGTTGAGGATGCTGGCGCCCACACAGGGTTTCTTCCAAAACAGTAGGAAGGGAACTCTGGACTCTTGCAGAGGGCAGCAAAGAGCTGGTAACTCCCTCTCCATGCTAAGATAAATGGGGCATGAGAGAATTTCTTTTAAGCATTTTTTTCTATTCCCATCGTTTGAGTTAAACTTTTTAAAGAGCTGTCCTTTTGAAACTTGTTTTGTAAGCCGTGTTAGATTTCTAGCATGGAAGTGAAGAAAGGCAGGTATTCTGTACTTGGGTGTTCCACGTGTTGCCTACTACCTTTCTGAGCAATGAAGATTGCCGCAGGAATGAAAGAGACATGCTCTGTCAGGGATACAGCCCCATGTAGAGCCACTCCGGCCCATTTGTTTTTGGCTGACAGAAACCAAAGGAAAAGCTTGGCATTATGGAGTTAAATCCCAAAATGTTAAAAGACTAGGACAAGGCCAACCTGAGTAGTTTACAAAAAGAAATTAATATCAGGAATTGTCCTTGGTTGTCTGGAAATGTGGATTCGCTTAAGTGACAGTGTCACAAGGAGTCTGTCAGCATTGCTGTGGATGATGGCTCTGTAAAGCTATCCCTGAGGTTCCTGTGGCTGGAATACTGTACTTCAACATATTATATAACAGCATGTAATTCAAATATAATCTATTTGCTGATAAAATAATTTTCTTAATTCTGAACTGCTTTTAACTTCCATATTTTGTTTCCAAGAGCTCTAATGCCTCCCTGAAACTTCGAAGAAAACCTCGGGAAAGTGATTTTGAAACGATTAAATTGATTAGCAACGGAGCCTATGGGTGAGTAATTCAAGAAAAGCTCTCTATTGTATTTCTGCACACTCAAGTAATACATTTATTCTTCACATTTATCTAAGGCCAAATAGATTCTGTATAAGGACTTGACTTTTCAGATCACTGCTCCTTCCCTGAGACTTGTACTGTACAGCCAAAATCACTTCTTACTGGACACCTCATCAGAAAACATGCCAAGTGACCAAGTAGTTACTTTAGAGGGTTGGAGAGAAAGACTTTCAAGGAAAAATTTTATTTACTCTTGTTTCTGCCTCCTTCATTTTTGCCCTTCTGGGTTAAAAGAAGCACCTGACTCTTGATTGAGATATATATGTATATATTAAATACTATATTATATATAATCATATATTTATAATTTTCTGTATAGTATTACTACATGACAAATAGCCTGTATTTCATGTCTGACCAGCAGACAACCTTAAGATAAATGTCTTTAAATAAGTCTGGTTGAAGGTTTAAAGCAGGAGTGTCTAATCTTTTGGCTTCCCCAGGCCACATTGGAAGAACTGTCTTGGGCCACACATAAAATACATTAACATGAACAACAGCTGATAACCAGAAAAAAAATCACAAAAAACTCATAATGTTTTAAACAAGTTTACGAGTTTGTGTTGGTCTGCATTCAAAGCCATCCTGGGCTGCATGCGGCCCACGGGCTGTGGGTTGGATAAATTTGATTTAGAGTAATATGTTTGTTTTAGTCTTTATTGCACCAGGATTTTTTTTATTTCGTTTTGTTTTAAATTTATTTATTTATTTATTTATTTATTTATTTATTTATTTATTTATTTTTGAGACAAGATGTTGCTCTGTCTCTCAGGTTGGAGTACAGTGGTGCAATCATAGCTCACTCACTGCAGTCTCAAACTCCTACACCAGGATTTTCAAAATTGAGCTGTATGCTATAATCTAATGATATTAATGGTGTTCCTTCCTTGATCCCTTTTTATAGACACACAATTTTCTCCTTGTGGCGGTAAACAGTGACAGGATTCTTCTGAGTTATTAATAGTTTAGAAGGGTAATTAATGCACAAACTATAACCTGATCCAGTTTAGACAGCCCAAGAATTCTAGTTTAATTAAATATTAATTCCAATTCTATCTGTATATAAAGAGCAATAAACAATCTCATAGACATTTATTGCTGTTTATCACACAGATGAGCAGATCAAATAAAAGAGGTTTTTGTTGTGCCACAAGGGATGTTTCTGTTACCATTTTTTCACCTCGAATATTTTCCACACCATTAACTTAAGAACTTAAATATTTGTGAGTCCCTTCTATGCTTCACTGATTTGTTTTCAGGATATGTCAAATGCCATATTTCCTGTTGTGGCTTATAAATGCTTTCTGATGTATTTTTGGAATATTTAATTTTTCAAGGACCTCATTGAAACTTTTCTACCTAGGAAGATGGTTCTAGCATGCATTTGTTTGTGGTTTCTACTTGCTTATCATTTGTTTTTTAGTTCTTTACACTTTTGGAAATGACCTGAAGATTTCTTTCTTCATTAGGGAGAAGATTAAACTTTGATTTAATGGGTATATGGGTTTGAGCACTGCTAGATTTTATTAGCAGTGGAATTCTGGAATAAGATTATCTGTGAAGCACCACTTTTAAAAATGCAGGCATATATCTTAGCAGTATTTGGAGTTCTAACTGGTTGAGTAAACTCATTTGTAGTGCGATTAAACCACTGTATAGTAGATGAGGTATATCACACTTTGGGGAATAGTTGGGAATATACAAGAAGTTAAACAAGCTGTGAATCAGTAAACACCCAGGATGCAGGCCAAGTCATTAATGCACTCACAAGCTGCCTATGGGAGTCTCTGCTGATCAGCCAAAACTCTTTTTTTATTTTTCTCATCTCAGATTTAATCTCTCATTTTATTTCTGATAGATTTTCTCCACATTTTAATAATCTTTAATTTGAAATCTGAATGGAACCATCCCTATTGGTTCACCCAGTCAGTGAGGCTGATTGCAGGCTTATGGGAACTGGCTGAACAAATGTATCCCCCTATGGGTGGCTGAACTGGCCCTTCTAGAGGCTTCCTTAGGTATCCACGCACAGGATCTACCACTCACATCAGTGACTCAGAAAGGCACCGATTCCATGACTCCTCAAAAACTGGTGGAGCTGGGAACTAACCCTGTCATTAGGAAGGGCTTCTATCTGCAGTGCTGAAACACACATGGCTTTCTCAGCATTATGCTTGGTGAAAATTCATGTTATAAAGCCAAGTTGATAAACATCTGATTTCCTTCTCTGTTTAACACACTTCTGATCCCTGACTGGAAGTGAAACGTGTCTTTTTGCCAACTTAGTGCTTTATAGAAAGCTGGGGCTATGTGCCTGGCACTGTGCTGGTTTCTTTATATATGTTCTCTTCTCACAAGAGCCCTTGTGTGGTAGTTGATATTATTTCCACTCACATGTAGGCAAGGAGAGGTGCAGAGACAGTCACGGATATCCTGATTTCTAAGTGGAACTCGCTTCTCTCTATAAGGTATCCATTTGTTAAAATGTTTAGCCATCCTAATTGGAGTTGTAGAGGTACTGCTTCTTCCAGTGAACACTTCCACCAGGATCTTTAAGTCATAACTTCAGATGTTTTCAAAGTAAAAGAATAAAATTGACTTAAAATTTTTAAAAGTAAAAAACTAATTTTGAAAGGCGCACTATTTCTCCCCCAGTTTGCCTTTCCTTCTAATCTTGATGCACATGATTCTCTTTTACCTGTGAAGGGGCCTGGGACATGTCTCAAAGAGGCACATGTGCACAAGCGGTATACGCCCTGTCTCCCACATGCTCTCCCTATAGTCTTTCCTTTCAACTTTCCTCTGGCACACGCACCCTCATTCCCACATGGAGATTTGCTAGCACGGAGTCACGTATTGGGCTCTCAGAGTCGTGCATAATTTTGTACACGCTAGACATTCATGCTCGCAATAAGGGCTGATTCATTCTGCTCTAGATCCTGTCAGCTTCTAGTTCCACTTCTCCCCACCCTCCCACACCTCAGTTCTGCATGGGTGGGGAGAAGCTTGGCTCAGAGAGAACTAAGGTCTTTGGTTACGTCTTCCCCGCCCCCCACCTTCTACCCTTGGGTTTTCCTATTTCACAGGGAGGTCAGTGTAGGAAGAGAGACCGAAGCAGCCTCTTCAAAGAAAGCACAATCTCTGGGACCAGAAAGCAGAGAAGAAATGTGGAGCCATATCAATCAGTTCAGTACAACTTTTAACACTGGGAGGTTTACAGTCCACTCAACAGTGTTATATATCTGGCTGTCGGTGGCTGTCGTATCTCTCCTTGTTTCTCCTGTCTCTCTCTTTCTCTCTCTCTTTGCTAACTTTAAGCACATTTGGAACATCAACTTAAAAGAGAAAAGGTATACATACATATATATACACACACACACAACAATTATTACTAAATAAACAAATTTCAACATGACGAGTAACATTCCCAAAGCAATATAGAAATGTAAAAACCCAAGAACAGAAAACAAACAAAAAATCCACCCACAACTAATTCTAATAAGGAAGTCTGTTTGACCCTTGTGACTTCATCAAGATATGCATGTCCTCAGGCGGCGATATCTCAAGCTACTTATAGGATTCTTTTAAATTGGTTTAGGTCAGTTTTCCCAAGGATTAACTGATTATTGTAAGTACATCATAGCAAGGGAAAGCAGAAAGTCAAACAAAGTTTTATGAACTGAAAATCTGAGAATAAAGACTAAAGCCATTTTTAATACAGTGCCACAGAGAGACCCAGTAAGGATGCTAGTCATACTGGGCCGGAGGCATATTTGTCTTTTATTTTTTCATAAAATCATGGATAAGTCCATTCTTCCTTCACTCCTATTCTCAAACATATTGCAGAGTAGTTATTTATGTAAGAAATGGTGATTCTTGATTGAAAATCAGAATGGCCACCTTGTGATCATCCGTGAAACTCATAATATACGTCTAAGGCTCCTCAGCACTAAACCTACTCAAAACCAAATATTGAAGGAAGAGATAATAAGCTGTATGCCACTTTACTCTCCAAAATAGGCAAACTATAATACAAAGATACTGGTTTCTCCCTGTCAGTATTTAAAATTCTAACTTTCATTTTGAAATATATATTTCCTGTTTGAAAACCCCCTGTTTTGGTTCTTTTTTTTTTTTTTTTTTTTTCATTATTATACTTTAAGTTCTGGGGTACATGTGCAGAACGTGCAGGTTTGTTACATAGGTATACACGTGCCATGGTGGTTTGCTGCATCCATCAACCCGTCATCTACATTAGGTATTTCTCCTAATGCTATCCCTACCCCTAGCCCCCAACCCTTCTTCAGGCCCTGGTGTGTGATGATCCCCTCCCTGTGTCCATGCGTTCTCATTGTTCAACTTCCACTTATGAGTGAGAACGTGTGGTGTTTGATTTTCTGTTTCTGTGTTAGTTTGCTGAGAATGATGGTTTCCAGCTTCATCCATGTCCCTGTAAAGGACATGAACTCATCCTTTTTTATAGCTGCATAGTATTCCATGGTGTATATATGCCACATTTTCTTTATCCAGTCTATCATTGATGGGCATTTGGGTTAGTTCCAAGTCTTTGCTATTGTGAACAGTGCCGCAGTAAACATACGTGTGCATGAGTCTTCATAGTAGAATGATCTATAATCCTTTGAGTATATACCCAGTAATGGGATTGCTGGGCCAAATGGTGTTTCTAGTTCTAGCTCCTTGAGGAACCGCCACACTGTCTTCCACAATGGTTGAACTAATTTACACTCCCACCAACAGTGTAAAAGTGTTCCTGTTTCTCCATATCTTCTCCAGCATGTGTTGTTTCCTGACTTTTTAAGGATCGCCATTCTAACTGGTGTGAGATGGTATCTCATTGTGGTTTTGATTTGCATTTCTCTAATGACCAGTGATGATGAGCTTGTTTTCGTATGTGTTGGCTGCATAAATGTCTTCTTTTGAGAAGGGTCTGTTCATATCCTTTGCCTACTTTTTGATGCAGTTGTTTGTTTTTTTCTTGTAAATTTGTTTAGTTTCTTTATAGATTCTGGATATTAGCCCTTTATCAGATTGATAGATTGCAAAATTTTCTCCCATTCTGTAGGTTGCCTGTTCACTCTGATGATCGTTTCTTTTGCAGTGCAGAAGCTCTTTAGTTTAATTAGATCCCAATTGTCTATTTTGGCTTTTGTTGCCATTGCTTTTAGTGTTTAATCATGAAGTCTTTGCCCATGCCTATGTCCTGAATGGTATTGCCTAGGTTTTCCTCTAGGGCTTTTATGGTTTTAGGTCTTGCATTTAAGTCTTTAATCCATCTTAATTTTTGTATAAGGTGTAAGGAAGGGATCCAGTTTCAGCTTTCTGCATATGGCTAGCCAGTTTTCCCAACATCATTTTAAACAGGGAATCCTTTCCCCATTGCTTGTTTTTGTCAGGTTTGTCAAAGATCAGATGGTTGTAGATGTATGGCATTGTTTCTGAGGCCTCTATTCTGTTCCATTGGTCTACATATCTGTTTTGGTAGCAGTACCATGCTGTTTTGGTTACTGTAGCCTTGTAGTATAGTTTGAAGTCAGGTAGCATGATGCCTCCAGCTTCGTTCTTTTTGCTTAGGATTGTCTTGGCAATGCAGGCTCTTTTTTGGTTCCATATGAAATTTAAAGAAGTTTTCCAATTCTGTGAAGAAAGTCAATGGTAGCTTGATGGGGATAACATTGAATCTATAAATTACTTTGGGCAGTATGGCCATTTTCATGATATTGATTATTCCTATCCATGAGCATGGAATGTTTTTCCATTAGTTTGTGTCTTCTCTTATTTCCTTGAGCAGTGGTTTGTAGTTCTCTTTGAAGAGTTCCTTTACATCCCTTGTGAGTTGTATTCCTAGGTATTTTATTCTCTTTGTAGCAGTTGTGAATGGGAGTTCATTCATGATTTGGCTCTCTGTTTGTCTATTAATTGTGTATAGGAATACTTGTGATTTTTGCACATTGATTTTGTATCCTGAAACTGCTGAAGTTGCTTATCAGCTTAAGGAGATTTTGGGCTGAGATGATGGGGTTTTCTAAATATACAATCATGTAATCTGCAAACAGAGACAATTTGACTTCTTCTTTTCCTAATTGAATACAGTTTATTTCTTTCTCTTGTCTGATTGCCCTGGCCAGAGCTTCCAATGCTGTGTTGAATAGGAGTGGTGAGGGTGGGCATCCTTGTCTGGTGCAGGTTTGCAAAGGGAATGCTTCCAGTTTTTGCTCATTCGGTATGATATTGGCTGTGGGTTTGTCATACATAACTCTTATGATTTTGAGATAAGTTCTATCAATGCCTAGTTTATTGAGAGTTTTCAGCATGAAGTGCTGTTGAATTTTGTTGAAGGCCTTTTCTGCATCTGAGATAATCATGTGTTTTTTGTGGTTGGTTCTGTTTATGTGATGCATTACATTTATTGATTTGCGTATGTTGAACTAGCCTTGCATCCCAGGGATGAAGCTGATTTGACCATGGTGGATCAAATGACAACATTTGTATATCAATACTAATCTATTTGAGGGATGGCCAAGTTATTTTCTGTGCTCCTTTGTATTTCTGTCCTGCTACCATCATCTGATTAGGAGCAACTCAAGTTATCTGTGGATTCTTAATAGTAGCTGATCAGTAGTTGAAGAAAGAAAAATATACTAAAAGCCTTTAATCTGATACAAACAGAACTAGTAGTTGGTTGTTTAATTTAAAAGTTAGTCAAAGTAGAAAATAATTTTAAAAGATACATGTTTTAAACATTTTAATTTAGCCTAAATATACATAAATTTCCTAGTCTGTTGATGGAAGGCCTTTTCAAGAAAGTCAGTGTAAACCAGACTTGCAATACATTGTTTCTGTTTTCCAATTTTACCTTCACTAATGGTGAAACAAGAACTCGAAGCAATATGAATGTAGGAATCTAGATCTTTGTTATTTTTTCAACTTTTGCCAATCTTGTCACCCACATTAAATCAACAGGAATTTAATTTAGTAACTCACATTTATTAAGATTTTCTAAAACATTTGTTTAGTTTTCTGATAAACAATAGTGCTTTCCCTTTTTACACTCATGTTTCATCAGTTTAAATATTTGTTTAAATTAGTTATCCTTAATATCAAATCTAGCCAGCAAAACAGGTGTGGGAATCACTCAGAATGGTGGGAGCCCAAGGCTTTGATCATACTGAAGAGTACCACCAGTTGGTGTGGAAAGCGCTGGGCACCCAGCTGGCTGGTTTACAGTGAGAGTGACAGCACTAGATCATTCGGTGCATTGTTTATGGGAGGTATGGTGAAGAAGCTTTTTACTATTCAGTGAAGGAAGAACTAGAAAAACAAAGAAATGAGAAGAGAAGAAAAATATGAGCAAAGCAAAAATAATAATAATAATGTTTAGACCAAGACAAAAATATAGATGTGTGATTTGCTGAATAAAGGAAAAATATGAGCAGGATGAGAAGACAGAGATAAAGATACACATACATGAAAGAAAAAGTAATTCCTAGCTGAACACTTAAGGGAAAAATGTTAACGTTGATTAAACTGGGATTGAATATAGTGGAAATTTATGTCAGTAAATCACCCTGATATATTGATTGAGCGGGAGCATAGGGTGTCCTAGGCCCCCTTGCAGTCATTGTTCAGGGACGGTTAAGTAACTAGTGGAAAATCTATTTCAGATCACATACCACCTGTTTTATAAGGTGGGCACTGGACATGCTTTACTGTGATTGATGGCTCTTCAGGTAAATGATTTCTTGTTTGATTATTGGAGATTTCAAACTTGTTCTCCCATGATATTGACAAGTGAGGAGGACTTGTGACAAAGGAGCCCATCCAAGACATGTTCCTTGTTGCTCATCATTTCCAGATGAACTGTTAAGACTCCTCCTTCTAATTCTCTTCTTTCCTTTATCCCAAGCCTCAGTGGGTCCCTTGTCTTTACCTAGACATAATTGGCTCTATAAAGTATTTGGGGGAGGCTTTAGGCAGAAATTGAGTGCAGCCTCGTCTGGTTGTAAAGTTCCCTGACACCTTGACCATGAATTGGAGAGAACAGAATTATAGCTCCATCGTTGGCCCGCTCTTATGCTGAGAAATGCATTTCCTGTTGAAACGGCCATGGGGTAGCACATGCTGAGGATTGCAGTAAGGAAATATGCTACCTTTTGTTGCAAGACAGCCCCATATAATGTGTTAAACACATACTTCTCATTTATCTGGACATTTCTTTGGAAGTAAATGTCTCTGAATTGGAAGCCAGATACTCTAAGAAGCTATGGAGTTTTTTGCAGATCCCAAGGGTATCATTTAGAAAATTATTGCTTTAGGGTCCGGGAACAGCGGTACACGCCTGTAATCCTAGTACTTTGGGAGGCCAAGGAGGTCAGGAGTTTGAGACCAGCCTGGCCAACATGGTGAAACTCTGTCTCTACCAAAAAACACACACTAAATTAACTGGGCATGGTGGCGTGCAACTGTAATCGCATCTACTCAGGAGGCTGAGGCACAAGAATCATATGAACCCAGGAGTCAGAGGTTGCACTGAGCCAAGAGCGTGCCACTGCACTCCGGCCTGGGCGACAGAGCAAGACTCTGTCGCAAAAAAAAAAAAAAAAAAAAAAAAAAAAAAGAAGAAAAAGGAAAAAAAAGAAAATCATTGCTTTAGATGGTTGAGAAAAAGTGTGTAATATATATGTAATGCTAGAAAGGATCTAGTTTGTTATATGTGTGTAATTTTGTTAATTCTTTCCTGTTCTGACATATATCAGATTTTGATGTGTTTGTGGAAAAACTGAAAATGTCAGCTAGCTATTAGGAAATTGCTCACTTTGGGAACTGCTCATTTCCTTCCTTCAGCAGTGAAGATGAATCCGATGCCTGAATATGACCCTTGACCTTTAACTGAAAGAATTAAAAAAAAATCAATCTAGCCAAAGGAGTTTAGCCTGGGATGGGATGTTTGTAGCTGCCACCTTGTGGGAGCTACATTCCACCTGCCGTGTGAACTTTTAAAAAGTTGATGATTTATATGGTTTACTGTATCCCCAAAACATCCTTACTTTCTCTCTTCCTGTCAACCCCAATACTTCTGCTCCCTTTCAGGGCAGTCTACTTTGTTCGGCATAAAGAATCCCGGCAGAGGTTTGCCATGAAGAAGATTAATAAACAGAACCTCATCCTTCGAAACCAGATCCAGCAGGCCTTTGTGGAGCGGGATATCCTGACTTTTGCAGAAAACCCCTTTGTTGTCAGCATGTATTGCTCCTTTGAAACAAGGCGCCACTTGTGCATGGTCATGGAATATGTGGAAGGTATATCAGTATCTGACACGGAGAACATGACACCTGTACCCAGAAATTCCTTGCTTATTTGTGTTGTTGAAGCTTTCTGTATTTGTGCCACATAATGGCTGTATCCACCTAGGAACTAAAGCCCAGGCAAATGAGATGGCTGTATTCCCAGTCATTATCTTCTGATAATTGCTTGTAAAGTGCCTGCTCTACTATAACAAAGGGAAAATTAGTGCTATCTGGAAAAAGGTTGTTTATCTTTTTTAATAGTTTTTAATCCTAACTACCTCCTCTCAGTTGGTCATTAAAGTTGGAATATAGGTGATGGGATTTTTTTCTACTTATTTTTATTACGTATCATAAAAGTACTCATCACAATTAGTCTTACAGAAAGAAATATATATTCTTTTCAGTCTATGGTATGAAATAAAATGGAAAAGGAGGTACATTCAAGAAAATGAAGCCAGTCTTCCTGATTTTTGCTTTTTTTCTTTCTTTCTTTAGAGGTTAGTGGACTACCTTTTCAATGCTCCAAGTAATCTTATTTCCATCAATTTTACATTAAGTTTCTGAGTTCAAGTGACCATGACTTGTTGACATAAAGTTAATAAGATGAATAGATCAGTAACAATTTCAAAGCATCTAATTTAAGCTGTTGTCATTGAACAGAATCCCAAAACTATAAAACTCAAACATTAGATATCCTTTTAGTTTAACCTTTCCATTTCATAGATGAGCGAAATAAAGTCCAAGAAAGGAAGACTTACTAGATAGAGTGGTAGATAAAAGACAAAAACGTAGTTTGCCTTATTTTCATCTAATGTTCTTTCTACCACACCAATATTTTGCTTTTTTAACCTCTGTTGTAGTTATCTTAACAAAAACAATAACTAACATTTATCACACATTTAGTATGTGATATGTGTAGGGCAATATCCTAAGTTCTTTATATAGATTATCTCATTTAATTCTCATAAGAATTCTAACAAAGATGACATTGTTACCATCCTCGTATTACGGATGAAGGAACCAAGAGTAGTTTGCCTAGGATGTCTCAGCTTGTAAGAGGCAGAGCTAGAATTTGGACTCAGGTAGCCTGATTCTAGAATCCATGTTTTATGCTGGTATATTTTAAATTGTTACCATGATCCTAAAATTATGCTAGCAGTTCTTTAAAGTACAGTTTCACTTCAGAGCCAAACCTTCTCTCTTATGAATACTACTTCTTAAATAAAAATCTGTATTTTCTGCATACCATGTCTTAGTTAGAAACATGACAGGTTCACACACAGACTCCAGTTGTGACTATGATATGCTGTGTCTATGGGTAGAAATGATTTCACCTTGAAATTCTGCAGTCTAAACTGATTTTCTCCATTAAGCCTTGATCCTATAGCTACTAACTCTTTTTCCTGTGTTATAGGGGGAGACTGTGCTACTTTAATGAAAAACATGGGTCCTCTCCCTGTTGATATGGCCAGAATGTACTTTGCCGAGACGGTCTTGGCCTTGGAATATTTACATAATTACGGAATTGTACACAGGGATTTGAAACCAGACAAGTATGTACACAAATGAAATATATATCTTCTTTTGCCCAGTACAAAGTTCTTGTATATTTATAAAGATGTTTCCTTTTAATGCAATGTTCATTTTTAAATTCTTCCATAATGTCCAAAATAAGTTGTTTTAACAGTATATATGGTAATTTGTATGTAAATCTTTAAAGGATATTCTTATGTGAAGTTCAGGAAACTCATAGAAAAGAGGATACAATGCATATGTGTGTGTGTATATATATATATATAAATACATATATATAAATACTTTAAGTTCTGGGATACATATGCAGAATGTGCAGGTTTGTTACATAGGTATACACATGCCATGGTGGTTTGCTGCACCCATCAACCCATCATCTACATTAGGTGTTTCTCCTAATGTTATCCCTTCCCTAGTTCCCCACGCCCCACAATGCTTATATTAATAATTTATCAGTCGGGCGCGGTGGCTCACATCTGTAATCCTAGCACTGTGGAAGGCTGAAGCGGGCAGATCACGAGGTTAGGAGATCGAGATCATCCTGGCTAACGTGGTGAAACCCCATCTCTACTAAAAATATAAAATAATTAGCTGGATGTGATGGCGGGCCCGTAGTCCCAGCTACTCGGGAGGCTGAGGCAGGAGAATGGCGTGAACCCGGGAGGCAGAGGTTGCAGTGAGCCAAGATCGCGCCACTGCACTCCAGCCTTGGTGACAGAATGAGACCCCGTCTCAAAAAAAAAAAAAAAAACAAACTTACCAGCAACAAGAGAAAAAGATAATCATAAAGCCAGAGTTAATTTTTTTAAGTTTTTTTTTTTTAATGATGTAAATGTGATAATGGCTTCATAGAACGCTACTAGTTGTTTTCTGGATAGTTTCTTTATTTGGTGCCATACTTAGATTACCTTTTCCTACTCCAAGATGAAGTGCTTGATATTACATTCTGTTTTACTCACAATTTAATTTTTTAGTAATTTTTAATTTACGTGGAATTGATTTTGCTGTCTGATTTGAGATACAGATAAATGACTAGCTATTCATCTTGACACCATTTATTAAATATTTCATGCTTTATCTACTAATTTGAGATGCCTCTAAAAACATTACATATTAATATGTAAAGACTTTAAGTGTGCTGAAAAGTTTATGATAAAGTTGACTCATGCTTATTCTACAAAATTTGAAAAATTCAGTAACAAAAAAGAGAAAAAAATTCATCCTCATTATTACCAAAGACAAGTATAACATTTTGGGATATTTCCATCCAGTAACTTTTTTAAAAAATCCCTCTATTCTTTTAATTTTTAAATTACTATAATACTGTATATACTATTTAAACTTTTTATTTTCCCACTTAAAATGAAAAGTTTTAAATATATTTAATTGCAGATTCTTTGCATGTGTAAGAAATACAGGTTTTGTGCTTAATGAGTAGAAATTTAAATTAGAGATGGAAGTTGAAATCTGAAACAATATTTTTCTTTTTCTTTTCTTTTTTTTTTATCTTGTGTCTCATTTGTATCACAAATGGGTTGCTTAGTTCCTGGTATATGCCCTTTCTTTTTCATTTTCTTAATGTGAAAATGGAAAGGGATCAGAGTTTCATACTTGAATTTTTCCAGAAGTTTCAAAGTGTTATAAATGATGCTGTATGTGGCTGCTCCAACGAAGATTAGCTACGCCTTGTCTCTAGCCCTCCCTTGTGAATTACGCTCAGCTGCTAGATGGAAGTATTTGACATCTTTGTGTGACTTCATCTCTTTCCAGGCTGGGTTTTGTAATAAGCTTGATGCCCATATATTAAATAGTCTTAGAAATTGATGGGGGTAGGGGGGAAATGAAAATAGATAACCAGCTTATAAAGTGAATATTGTGTTATATGTCCTTCTGCCTCATAGCTTGTTGGTTACCTCCATGGGGCACATAAAGCTGACAGATTTTGGATTATCTAAGGTGGGACTAATGAGCATGACTACCAACCTTTATGAGGGTCATATTGAGAAGGATGCTCGAGAGTTCCTGGATAAACAGGTAAGCTTGGGTGCCATTTAGTTTATTGAGAAATACAAAGTATGGTATTGCCAGTGAAGTTCAGAATCAACTTGTGTGGGCTATCTTCACATTAGTGCTGGTGGTTTAGATGTCTGTATAAACCTTACATTTAATAAAGTGCAAATTGCTTCCATTTTTCTCCCTGGGCCTCTTTGAACTGTCTGCTCCCTCTACATTCCTCTCCCAACTTTGTGGTCTATTAGCAAGACGAACGATCTAATTGCACACAAGTGAGACTGTGAGAGAGACAAATGGAAAACTGTTTTTGTAAGGAATTCAGGAGTCTCAGTAGAGTACTTGTGAAACTCATGATGCACTGTACCATCACGGGTGCTAAATCCAAGCCACGGCCCATTTCCCTTTAAGCATGCCTCATTACCATGTGCCCACAATCTGTTCATTGTAAAGTTACTTAAGGTAAACACAGCTCAACTGTCACTGCTTTTATGAAATAACCTGTGTGTGAATGTATTTTGGTCATATAGATACTAAAACTCTCTCTGACAATGACAAACTTAAAAATGCATTATTATTTTAAATTTAAGGATTATAAGTGGTTTTAATATTGTATAATAGGTAAAACTACCAAACAGGGTCAGATTCTCAATTTGAAAGTAAACATTACATATAATTTAACATTAGAGCAGCACTGTAAACTTCCCATCTTTGGTAATAATTCTTTGCCTTGGTATTTTAAATACTTTTTTATACTTGTTGCTCTTAAGTTCTTTGTCCATGTGATTCCATGTGGTTGAGCAGGTGCATTCTGGGCAAAATAATTGGTGACTAGCCATCTTGCTCATTTTAATTCATGTCTAATATTCCAATTATTCAAATATTGCAATTATCTTTTAGGTCTGCGGCACACCTGAATACATTGCACCAGAAGTGATTCTGAGGCAGGGTTATGGAAAGCCGGTGGATTGGTGGGCCATGGGGATTATCCTCTATGAATTTCTGGTTGGATGCGTGCCCTTCTTTGGGGATACTCCAGAAGAGCTATTTGGACAAGTCATCAGTGGTAAATATCATCAGGAGTTATCTTTAAGTCACTGTTGGGAAGCAGCTATTTAATGTAAATCTGTTGAGTGTCACAGTTTTTACTACTAAAATGTTAACCTTTATCAAACAGTTGAGCCAACGAATTAAAAGAACTCACTCATCAAAGCATATAACTGACATTCTTAATCTCAAGAGAGCAGTTTTTGTTGAAAACTGATCTGAAGAAATTACGTTAACATAGAATTTGGAAATGTACTAGCAACAAAACCATTTTTTATCGTGTGCTTTTTCTGCAAAGGAAATTGGTGTGGGATTTACAGGCAATTTAATTGCCGTCCAGTCTTCCTTTCCATGATAGGAAAGTTGCACCACGGAAGAAAAGGTTAATGTGGGTAACATTTACATAAATGGGGAAAATGGCTAATGGCATAATGAAGAAATTAACAAAAATGTAATAAACCCTAAAACAAATGTCTACCAAATAATAAATGATGAGAATGGGAAAGCAGCAAATTGAATCCACAGATTGTTAATGATTTCATTGGTAGTTGTTATGGTGTAATGTTATTTCTGTAACAGCTGTTCATCTTTCATTTAAAATTCAATAACTTTCAGATCTTAACCTGGCAAGCTGACCCTAACTATTGTAGGTGGCCTGTGGCAAAACTAAATGATAATTAAATAGGGTGTATCACTACCCTACCTGCCGATTTTATAAATTTCCCTGGAACAGATCAGAAAGGTCTCTCTTCTTGAAAGTTTGTCAGGCGTCACTGACATCTTTATCAGCCATCTTCGGTCTATTTGGACTGTGTTTACAAGGTCCAGCAGTGGAAGTAGGGGAAAAAATCATTTTGCATGTGAGGCTGCTTTATCACAGCAATCTTTTCTATCATTGACTTTGCAAGCCAGGCATATTTGTAAACTTGAACAAAGCAGATTTGTGAATTGCCTGCAGTGTATGACCCCTTTATACAGTATCTGAGCTGTTTATGGATTTATAACTAGGCTGTTTTCTGATATACTAAGGCCTGAATGGCAAAGGGAATCAACTGTTTAATTAACACAAACAGCAAATGCTGGCTTTGTTCTTGATGCCTTACGGCTCAGATGCATATTCATGTTGTATTTTCCAAATCAGATTTAAACTGCAGCAGAGGAAGCTAGAGGCAGGCACACACAGAAATAACTCATGTTTTTATTGCATTTCCGTACACACAAGCACGCACACCTATCTTCAGGCAAGCTCCTTCAGAATGAGAATGTATTCTTAATATTTATGACAGATTTTAAATACTTCCATTACTATGATTACTTTGTGTTGTTTTTTTTCTTCTTCTTCAGTCTTAGCACTTTGACCTTTTTTGTTTATTTGTTTCCGGAAATAGTTATTTTTGCAAAATTACTTCTTGTTTCTTAGAGCTGAAGAACTCTATGGCTGTGGCCAAATTCTCAGTTGAGGAAATTAAGAGAGAAAAATCTTACCCTGAGATAATCCCTGGATGGATATATTAGCCACCTGAAATGGGAGTGTTTAGAGTTTCTATTATTTTGAGTCTTTTAATAACTAGACAGGCAACTTTTTGGAAGCCAATTCTTTGAAAGAAAAATGAATTTAAAAAGCAAATGAAAGATCTACTTATTGAAATATTCTCTTCCTACCTTGTAAAAAATCTGTGCTACTTATGTCTTATAAAATAATGCTTCTCAAACATGACTGTGTTTAGGAATCGACTGAAGATCTTGTTGAAATGCAGACTCTGATTTAGTAGGTCTGGAGTGGGCCTGACATTCTGCCTTTCTGACAAATTCCCAGGGGATGACCATGTTGCTGGGACCTGGACCCTCTTGTGAACAATACGGTTATAAACAACTTTTCTTCCTTCTAGATGAGATCAACTGGCCTGAGAAGGATGAGGCACCCCCACCTGATGCCCAGGATCTGATTACCTTACTCCTCAGGCAGAATCCCCTGGAGAGGCTGGGAACAGGTTAGAGCCCATGTGTTTTAATTTTGCTAATATGCAAGAAATAATGTTTACATGGAGCGCTCTGAAGCTTTTGTTGTTGTTTTGCTTTTGCATAGGCAACATCTGTTAGTTGATGTAGAACATGACTGCAACACTTTATAGCAATAATATTTTGGATTTTGTTTCCTGATTCAAAGCAGTGTGTACACTAAGAGGGTTGGTTGGTTGTCTTTGTTTTTTGTTGTTTTTGTGTTTGGCAAAGCAGAAATTATGCTTAATTTGTTTCAATAAATAAAGCTTCTCTGGAAGAAAACCTCAAAGGCACATGTAACTCTTCTGTCCTGAAAAGCATGCATCTTAACTAACTTGAAACACAGGATTCGCTATTTGGAACTCTTTTTGTTTTTGTCTTTAAATATACATCCCCATACGGATTTGACCCAGCATGTTACTATCCATAGACTTTGAAATGGGTTATCAGTACTTGGACTAATTACTAGAAATGAGTGCCTGGGGTTGAACCATGCTGTCCTGTCACAGTGATCAGCACAGTGATGAGCACCATGACCCAAGAAAGCGAATTAAAAACCACTGCCTTTCAGGATTAACAAGATAGTAGATTTGCTTCTTGCTGATAATTTTTTCTGACTGTTCTGCCAGCATTTTATTCCCTTTTCTTCTCTGTATTCTGAATAGACAGACGTAGCGATCCCAGTATAGAGTCCCAGTCTGCCCGAGTATGTGAATTTATGTAGATGAGACTAAATATTAAATATAAATGCACATAGTCTAGCCAGCCTCCATAATTTTCATCAGTGAAAAGTGTTGGCTTGATGGATTATTTACTCTGAGCTGTTTCATTCTACCCCCATTTTAATAGAAATAACAGAAAATACTGAAGAAATCATTTTCTCCCCCATTTTTTTCCAAGACAAAAATTTGAAACAGCTACAAATATTTATTGTATAGTATTCTCCACATTCACCCACCGATTCTCCTATTGGAGGTCTCTGTTCTTACCTAAGTGTAGACGAAGGCAGTGCTACTAGAGTTTATGATAATGCGTTATAGCAAGGGTCAGCAAGCTACAGCCAGATTTGTCCCACAGCCTGGTATTGTAAATAAAGCTTTACTGAAACACCTGCACATCCCACTCATTTAGGTATTGTATGGCTGCTTTCATGCTACAAGGACAGAGTTAGGTAGTCATGACAGACCGTATGCCATGCAAAGACTAAAATGTGTACTGTTTTGCCTTTTACACAAAAGCTTTGCAGACCCTGCATTAGAGAATCCAAAAAGGCTTAAAATTAGGGCTTCACTAGAAAACTTCTTTTAGTTGAGCCTCTCAGTAGAGCACCTTGTGCCTTTTTTACTTTTTTCAGTGGGTGAGTGGACTTTTAACCTGAAAACCCAATATAAATTGAGGTTGATGGCATAAACTCCACAGTCAGCTAACCTGAGTTTAAATCTCAGCTGTATGACCCTGGACAGGTTACTTCTTTTTCTAGTGCTCATCTCCTCATTTGTAAAAAGGAAATGTTTGAAGTGCTACCTCATAGGATTATTATAAAGATAAAAACAGATCATTCTAGGGAAGAGGAGGCATTCTGCTGGATGGCTTTTTAAAACATTTCCTCCAGAGTCATCTGCCTCATTAACAACAGTTTTATCTTAAAATTATTTTCTAAGTTCATAAACTGACATGATTTCTTATTCTGTTATGAATGCATACTGCCCTAGTCCTTCAATCAGCCCATAATATGTGTTTTTTGTTTGGTTTTTGGTTGGTGGGTGGGTGGGGTGGTTTGTTTGTTTGTTTATTTATTTAGAGATGGCATCTCACTCTGTCACCCCAGCTGGAGTGCAGTGGTGTGATCTTGGCCCACTGCAACCTCCGCCTCCCAGGTTCAAGTGATTCTCATGCCTAAGCCTCCCGAGTAGCTGGGACCACAAGTGCATGCCACCATGCCCAGCTACTTTTTGTATTTTTAGTAGAGATGGGGTTTTGCCATGTTGGCCAGTCTGGTCTTGAACTCCTGGCCTCAACTGATCCACCCACCTTGGCCTCCCAAAGTGCTGAGATTACAGCCTTATGAGCCATCGTGCCTGGCTCCATCATATATGTTTTAATCCCTGTTACCTGAGGTCAGGTGTAGAATTTTCCACTTGTGGTGTCATATTGGTGCTCAAAAAGTTTCAGATTTTGGAGCATTTCAGATTTAAAATTTTCAGACCAAGGATGTTCAGCCTGTATTCTGCCCCGTATTTACTCCTCCAGGAAAACTTGGATTCTTGTTTGGGCTTCATTTAACTAGACAAGGATGTGATAATGATCAGCATCTCTGTGTTTATAAATCATAGGCTGCAAGTTACTTCTCTGCACATTTTCTCGTTGACTGCTACTTTCAGTCTTTTTAGGGTTTGACAGTTTGAAGAACGAATCTCCTAACAGAAACCCAGAAGAGACATTTAAAAGACCCTACCCAAGCTCTTAGAATTGTCAAGTGCTTGCCAAACAGGCCAGTCCAACATGACAGGTCCCAGTAGGGCCCAGAGCCTGAGGCTGAGAATCCCGCAGGCCTGCCATGCTGCTCCCAATGACAGCATTTTGTATTTAATGCATATTTAGTGGGCAAAATAATGCACCGTGAAAATGTGCGAATGCACATTTGCCCAAGAGATTAGAGAGGCTGAGAAAAAGGGTGTGAAGAACATAATGGATGTTTAAGAAACTTCCATGAAAGGAGAGAAAAGGGAAAGTGTTAGTGTCAAAGCATAACTTGCAATTTGGGAGCTTGTCCTACTGGAACTATACTTTTGAACTTGTAGAATATTGAGTGGCAGCCTGACTCATTGGACTTCAGAGCTGCTCAGATGTCACTGCTACCCATGTCTTGAATAGTTTCTTCATTGCCCTGAGTCTCAGTTTCCTAGTCTATGGAAATGGGCATTGTATATACTTCACAGGATTATTGTGAGGAGTAAATGCAAAAATGTTCATGAAGGTATCTAGTTCATTTACTAAGTACCTAGCAAGAGCTCAAGGAATAATGTTTCCTTTCCCTTCATGATGAATTCTTACAATGAGAACTATCATTTGCATGAGTGATTTGTTTTTAGCTCATGATGCTATCACCCATATTTTACCAAAAATTTAGCCCAGAGTCATTTTCCCCCAATTCCCCCCCACCCCGCTTTCTTTTCTCCCTTATCTCTCCATAAGTGCATGAGAAACTGGACCAACTAATACCAGCTTCTCATAAGTGAGGCACAAAGGCCAAAGGGTGAAGAATGTGAGCAAATCAACCATGGGCTGTGAGTCCTTGAGGAGGACCCATTTTGTCATTGTCTACAGGGATGAAATGAAGGCTCTCACCAGCTTGGGTCCCAGAGGATAGCAGGCGGTGGGGTAAAACCCCCGACACTGGCTGCAGTCTGGTTGAACTCTTGGCCCTAGAGAAACTGCTTTTCTGATAAAGTTGAGCAACCCAAAATGTGAGGGCTGGAGCGTTGATACGGCCCCATGAGCAGCAGCTGAAGTGATAGTCATTGTGGTCTAGTGGAACCATCACTGCACTAGGAGTTCAGAGATGTGTGTTGTGGACCACTAACTAGGGCTTCCCCTATCCAACATCCTCACCGTGCTGACGACCTCCATGTTGGGTAGGGAAACAGTTAAGCCCTCTTAGCTTTAGTATTCTGTTTCTCCAAGTAAAAGAGCGCTAGAAGAAAATGAGATGGGCACTTGTGTATACGGGCATTGGTTAGGGATAGGTGAGAGCAAGGATGCATGGTTGGCTGGAATGAGACTCTGCAGAGGTGCTGTAGAACAGCCACGTGAGTTGGCTGTTAGGCTCAGGTCCCCAGTATTGGCAGTTCTGAATCTGTTTGCAAAGCGATGCAAGAGAGATGGTGGAGTAGGAACAAATTAAAGCATGCCTCCGCCTTATATGTGGCACTGAGGTTGGGCCTGGGTGTTTTTAGGCAGGCCTAGGCTCAGCCTTGAATCTTTACCCTCTGGGGGATCATGGTCCATGGTGTTTTATTGCTTATGCTTCATTTCCACATCCACAAAAGGTGTTGTAATGCCCACTTCGTGTGGTTATCTTTGATTATTTAATTAAAGGAAACAAGATACCTGTTCCATAGCATCTAGTGCAATACTTGTCACAAGTTGACTCTCAGTCGTAGCTGCTCATGCTTATTGTCAGATTTCAGTATTTTGCTAGAAATGTGGAAACCACCTGGATAGAATAGGGTAAAGATTCTAATTAAATGTTTTATAAAGAAGAATCCATTTCCCCCTTTTTTGGGTAATTTCCTTGCTTTGATGTTTTCACTCCATTCCATCATTTTCAGAACACCAATTTGCCCTGGCTGGATTCAGAGCTAGGGCTGACACTATGCCTTATGCTAGAGGGGTCCAATGAGGACAGAGTCCAATCTTTGATCCACAGACAGCAACCCCCAACCAAGATTCACAGCCCATTTTGCATTCAACTTGGTATTTCTCATCCTATTCTTTTTGTACCCCACAGAGGACAGGATGAGAGGCCTGGGTGACAATTACAAGAAAGAGGCATTTACTTGCACCTAGCAGAGATCTTTTGGCAGGGAGGCTGATTAGACCCTTTATTAACGTCTCAGATATCTCTCAGAGTTTTTTCAGGGTTGATTCTTTGTTATCTCTCCAACAATATGTGTGCTGGTGGCAGGGCGGGGGTCTGATTCTTATGCTATGATATTATATCATGTACCTTTTTCTCTTTATATGGGATATGGTATTCATATTTTTGATGGCCTGTCCTTTAAAATCACTCTTTAAAATTATGAACTGAATTGAAAACAATTCACTGAATTATGCTATCATGCTGACTTGGCAAAAAGAAGCCTAAAACTTGGAAATGGTGATTGATATTTTAGAGGCATTAAAAGTCTTTAAAACAGATTTGTCAGTTTCCTACTTACGAATCTGTAGTTCACAGAATCTAATTCTTATCTATGTTAATGAGCAATCCAATAAAATTGAATGGTAACCCCTATAAATAATATTTAGGAAAAATTTATGAATATTCACTTCTCCTCCAGAGGAAATGTTGCTGTGAACACATTTTGCACCTTGTTAGAATTTCTTTGGGTTTTTATTGAGTGAGTCTGCTGTGGGCCAATATTTATCCACATCTCCAGGTTCAGCATAATGTGATTTTAAGTGTCCACAACATTAACCTTTGAAAAATGGAGGAAGTCATGGAAAAAACTAACAAAGAAAAACAGTGCCATAGCAACTGCTGTTAGCAACATCACATTTCCTACTGACAAATTATCAGAAAAATTTGTGGGGCTTTGGTTGTAGAATGAAAAAGTATGATTTTCATGTCTGTATTTCTTTGCTGATATGTTTTCAAAATTGTTAAAAACTGATGTTTGCCTTTGCTTAGTGGGGATAGTTTAACACTTTCCTCTCTGTCTCTACCTGCCCACTTCCAGGTGGTGCATATGAAGTCAAACAGCATCGATTCTTCCGTTCTTTAGACTGGAACAGTTTACTGAGACAGAAGGCAGAATTTATTCCCCAACTGGAATCTGAGGATGACACAAGTTATTTTGATAGTATGTGCTTTATCTGACATAAAATATTGTTTGGCCTTTACTTGATAAATAATTACCTTTGCTTTTGCAACTCTTCATATCTCTGAGTTCTTAAACATAATGCTGATTCGATACAGAAAGTCATAATTAAAATATCTAAACACTGAAAATCTGAGTAATTGGACCTGTTCCCAAACATTTCACTGCAGCTCGGTCTGAGAAGTATCATCATATGGAAACGGAGGAAGAAGACGACACAAATGATGAAGATTTTAATGTGGAAATAAGGCAGTTTTCTTCATGTTCACATAGGTTTTCAAAAGTAAGTGAAATGTGGCATAAACATACAGAGTCTCTCTGGGAGGATCTCTCGCTGGCCAGATAGTATCCCCGAACAGCTGGACACTTACCCTTTTCCAGGGTTTGAGGTCTCCTATGCCCAAACTTCCTTTTTTGTTGAAGAAAAGTGATCCCCTCAACTTATAGTCTGTCCCTATGCTACTGTGAAAATATATTTCTCTCTCCATGAATTAAGATCTTGTTTTCTTAGGGGCATAGCCTTGCACCCAAAGTCTTGTTTTTGGAGTGTGTGACTGCTACTTATATGATGACCTTGCCTTGAATGTCTCACCTGGCTCAATGCCAGGCTGTGGAGGCACCACTCGTTGCTTTTAACTTAGGATGACGAGCGCCAGCTTCACTGTGTGCAGAGTCATCTCCTAGGGATTACACAGAGTACGACAAAAGGAGAAGGCTCAGTCCTTGACATAAGCAAAGATACTTGGGGACAGTTGACTATAAGATTGTAAAGTCTCGTAACTGCCGGACATGGTGGCTCACACCTATAATTCCAGCACTTAGAGAGGCAGAGGCAGGAAGATAGCTTGAACCCAGGAGTTCGAGACCGGCTTGGGCAATATAGCGAGTTCCTGTTCTCCACAAAAAGGAAAAAAAAAAAAAAAGACTCGTAACCAGTAAACAGAAATTATAAGCCATATTGAAAAGGCAGTAGGAAGCCAAGCTAGAATCATGAAAATGGTAGAAAATAATAAAGCTGATGATTGAGAAAGATGCCTTTTTACCAGAAGAGGTAAGATTAAAAAAATAATTAATCAAAACAAAGAAAACTGATAGTTCTGAGACAGAACAGGGCCCTAGGAAAAATGGAAATCAACGTGAGGGTACCCTACCTCCCTTTTGCTATTTTCAGTAGCTACATATTTTCTGTTGCCATGGCATTTTGCATGATTGTCGTTTAGCTTTTCTGTAACATTTAGTGATTTTAAAGTGCTCTGTAGCTTTTTCTAAATGATTACCTAGATGCACCTGCAAATTGGCCAGCACTACCCTTCCTGTTTATGGGAATGGCATTGAGGTAAGGATTTCCCTGGAGAAAGTGGTAGCCAGTCTGTCCTAGAGCCAGGACAGAAGCTTTGCTAAGTATGGACTCAGACCAGGACTGTTCTCTGGGCCATCAAAGACAACAAAGCCAACCCCTAAACACTGCTTCCTTCTTTGCCTTGGTGGGTATTGCATTTTCCCACCGTCTCCTGTTCTTTAGCCACTTTCCTGCTGTTCCTAGTAGATTACAGGAGGCCTCAGGACCATTCCCATGAGAGCAGCAAGTGTCTGAGCAGGGCAGTAGGGAGTGCTTCCTACCCTAGGCTCTTAGACCCCCATTTTACCTTCTCTCTTTCCTATGAGACAACAGAGGTTCAGAGATAGCTGAGACCTTGGGCTTACCTGAATCCAATCCCCTTAAGGAACCCCGGCACCAACATAGGAAACTGCCTGTCTGTAGATGTGATTTGTAAGCGAAACACATACCTCTGGCTCTTACAACAAAATATGTACTGCATCCCTGCCACACCACCACCCAGTCTTGAAACAGATAGTTTATTCTTCTGTTGGCACTCAATTCCAATTCATTTTTCTTCTTCCTACCCCTGACTGGTGGCCATTAAATCTTTTTCTCTGTTATTTTCTTTTTCCAGTTGACTTCATGGTTAAAAAGTAATCAAGATGTGCATTGATCCCGAGGCCTAGAACTCCACTGCATCTGTGGATTTTGTTTGCCAATACAAAGTCCGCAACAAGATATGATGAGAGGATGATGAATTCTTAGCTCCCTATTTGTATATATGTACACACTCACACTCACACTCACTCACTCTGACCCTTCCTCTCAGGATTCTGGTCAACAACACTGGAAAGTACTTTCTGAATACACAATTTCAGTTCAGAATTTAGTTATCCTCTCAGGTTTTCCTCCCAAGACTTGGAGTGTTTTTCTGACAAACTCTTTTTAGTAGATATTAATAAGCACCGATTATTTGCCTTCCAGGTTTTCAGCAGCATAGATCGAATCACTCAGAATTCAGCAGAAGAGAAGGAAGACTCTGGGGACAAAGCCAAAAGCACAACCTTGCCATCCACAGAAACACTGAGCTGGAGTTCAGAATATTCTGAAATGTATGTGAAATGCCTCTTAAGTAATATAAGCAGTAGCTACTAGAGCAGAGTTTCTTAAACTTCAGTGAGCATCAGAATACCTGGGAGACTTGTTAAAACACAGATCTCCCACCTCCAGAGTTTCTGATCCAGTAGATCTCGGGTGGGGCCTGAAAATGTGCATTTCTGACAAGTACCCAGATTATGCAGATGTTGCTGCTCTGGGTACCACACGTTAAGAACCACTGTGCTAGACATCTCTCGGTTAGGCTTATCCAAGTCCAATTTTCACCTGGTTTCTTCCAAAATTCACCTTTAACACAGTTTTCTAGTATGTGTATATGACTTTGTTTTTGCTTTTAATTAAGGCAACAGCTATCAACATCCAACTCTTCAGATACTGAAAGCAACAGACATAAACTCAGTTCTGGCCTACTTCCCAAACTGGCTATTTCAACAGAGGGAGAACAAGATGAAGCTGCCTCCCGCCCTGGAGACCCCCATGAGGAGCCAGGAAAGCCAGCCCTTCCCCCTGAAGAGAGTGCCCAGGAGGAGCCCGAGGTCACCACTCCAGCCAGCACCATCAGCAGCTCCACCCTGTCAGGTAAGCCTCTGGCCATAGTGCCTGCTGTCCTCCTCACCACACTAACTGACTCCTAGCGCTCGGTCCCGGGGATGGCCTCGCCAGGCAGTAAAGATGGGTGTTTTACGCTGCTAGACTTTCTCCATGACCTCAGTCCTTAGGCTTGGGACACGATCTTCTGAGAGCTAAGATGAGATATCTCAGACTGCTCCTCAGTGCTCAGCCATGCAGCAAACTGTTATTGCTTCAGTTTGACCTTGGGGCCAAATTTCACCTTCTCAGCCAGGTTGCAGGGAATCTTTTGAGGGAAATAAGTCAGAATATGCTAAGGGAGTGTGTTCTCAGTTGTTGATGCAAAGGTATGTCTTATGCAGTTGCATCTAACTCAAAGTTCAGTGTGAGAGCCAGTATCCAGTAGTCAGCTTGTCAAAATTACCCTTGAAGATGTCTTGAATCACCTGTAAGGCACAGTATAAACCCAGGTTTCTCTCTAGCATTGAAATAGATGGTTGTTTCTTTGATGGAGTTGGCTTTTGTTAAAGGGTTATGTTGTACCAAATAATTTCTCTCTCCACACTAGACTCAGGCTCAGTGCAGCATAACACTTAATGCTGTCCTGGTCCATCTAGGACTAAGGAGGGGAAAGGGGAGTCAGAAATACCAACATGATTTAAATTGGTATGTTACGTGCATATGAAATAACTCCACTGAAGACAAAAGTTACCTTCCCCATCTCTGGGTAATTGGAGTAAGAAACTCCTGAGACATCTTTGCATGTTTGGGAGGCAGTTAAGTGGGCTTGGGCCTTTGAAAGCACTTTTTTAATGTTACCTTTGTGTGATGTAACCTTCCTGACAAGAGGAACAGTGTCTTCACAGATTTTTTAAGGAGCTTAATATATCGTGGATACTTGCTGGTCATTAATAATTGAGGTATCCTCACTAGATAATCAAACTTGGAATTAACTGCCCCAGAACAAGCCTCTTAAGTTCATTTAAAGTATCATTTGGTTTATGAAAATTTTATGCACAGCATGTTCTTCTATAGAGTATGTGCATTTATGCTTTTTCAAAAAGTAAAAGATGTATATGGCTTAGAATTGCTATAATGAATGTTTTCATTAAGCTACATTCAATATGCTGTATTGATAACCATGAATGATTCCAAGATTTTTCATCAACATTTTTTAAACTAAGTGAATATTCATAGTGTAAGCTTTTTTTTTAATCATTTCAAGAAAAACAAATTTTATGGACTGGATTTATTTCAACCTCACTAAGAAATTTGGATCTGTGAAGCTTTACATGTGCTTATAGTTTATTGTGGAGGAAAATAATGTTAGATTTTCTTCTCTCTCTTCACTTCAGTTCTGTTTTCATTTTGCATAATTCCACTTATCCTAACCATAAAGCCAAGAGAACAGCAATGAGGAAGTAGTGTAAAGGCAACCTGTTAGACTAAGATTCCTGACCATCTCTAGCTCATGTTGATGCTCAGATCACATGTAGATATCTTGGTATTTTCTGTTCCTGGTTACAAAAGCCTTTATCTGGTTCTTAGTTACCTTACTCTGAATAGAGTATATTCACCTCGATTTAAAATTTATTCTGAATATAGTGAACTGTTTACTATCTCTTAGTCTCCTCAGCCTACTCACTACTGGAAGAGTGGGGAGGGGAAGGCAGGGGAATCGTGTCTAAGCATTTGATTGATTACTTTCATAATTAAAAAAAAAAATCCACCTAGGTTCTGCCATGCATTTTGATTAATAGATTCACACCATCTTTCTCTCTCTCTCTCTCTCCCCCATACACACACTAAAAATAATCAAAGGCCTTGGGGGCTGTGCAGAATAGAGAGATGAGCTGATTTGCTTATAGCCAAGGGTAATTAGGGAGTCTGAAAACCGTGACTGTAGTAAAATTAAATTTGTTGATTTTTATATTGCTCCACCACCAAAAAGAGGGAACCCTTAACATTTAGAGAACATTAAAGTGACATTATCTACCATTGGTAGAAAAGAAGCTCACGCTTATATGCAGTACTGCAAAATGAGATGGCAGAGGCAAGGGGGAGAGGTGACACACGGTTGTATATCCACACTCTGGCATTTAGGGAAGTACAACTTTATACCTGTTTCTCTTTTATCATGACTACATTGTGTTTGAAGCCATGCAAAATAAATGTCTTGAAGTCTTAGATGTAGGGGTCGAATGTATCCAACAATTACTCATTGTAAAGAGATTCAACTTTTCATTTTAGACTTGTCAGTGATCCCATCCAAACCAAATTACAAAGAAGCAAGTGTGTACCTTACTCAAAGGGAAGCTTCAGTTTTGTGAGATGAGATTTATTACTTGCGAAGCAGTTTTTATCAAGACCTTCAGTAGTTGATTTCTGTAACAGAATGGAATATACTGTTAAATGAGAATGATCTTATCTTATAGGAGTAAAAAGATTGATATTTGCCTTAATGTTATCTCCCTTTGTTGGTCAGATGGGTGTTATGTGTAAGTCCATGAGTATTTTCCTGTACATATGCACAGTAGATGGCCACAAAGTGTGTCATGCCTAAAGCCGCTGTCCAAATTCCCAGCTTCCCTTAGCTAGACCACAGCTGTAAGGTCTGAACTTTGTCCATGAGCTTGGGCCAAACTACAACCGTACCACTAAGTGGTGTATAGACGGCAATGTAAGAGAAATGCTGGTTAAGTCTAAGTCTAATTCTTTCCTAGGCAAACAGTGTCATATGGTCAGCACTTCAAAATGTGCTGGCTGCTCTTTCAAAAGATCGTTTATAGTGGTGTGAAATACTCTGTATGGATTGTATCTCTAAAGGTGATGAGGCAGTTGAAGATTTTTAAGCACATGGGGCTTATAATGTAGCATTTAGAAGTAAAAATGAGATGAGCATTGTCTCTCCTGGATGGACAAAAATGTGCTATCAATGATGTTTTTAAAGAAAAGCAAGATAGAAGACCAATAACCTGGGAAAGAAAGAGTGAGACAAATCAAAAGGAATAGCTGTTCAGCTTCCTTCTGGGGGACTCAACATGTCACCCTGCTGCAGAGATTTCTTTACTCTCGGCCTCTGCATTCACCAGACCAGCATCAGTGATGTTCCATTTCTGCACTCACCTCCGTATTTATCCTCTCTTATGCTCCATTGTTGAGGGAAGTCCTCATTTTTATAAGTTAAAAATAACTCCAGTTTATATTAAAGATTAACAAAATTAAAAGTAAAGAAGGTGTGGTTTAGAGGGGAGAGGAAATAGCATGAGGGAGGATCAGCATTTGATACGCTGGATTAAAAGCCAGGAGGATGAAGTGAGCTTGAGTAATGAAGAGAGTAATATCCCCTTTGTCTTGCTTGTCGTTTGAAATGTACAGGGAGCTTAGAATGGAGGCATACAGCCTGAGAAGTGAGAAGAGACACGTTAGGCACCTTTCTATCAGTTACTTGCCTCAGTCTAGTATGAGGTGTGTTCTAAGAGCACAGGCATAAGCCTACGGGGAGTGATGAAACAATGTCCACGTGTCAAAATTATGATTAACAGCATTGATAATGATAATCAGTATCATAAGGTAATCACCGTATGAAGTGGGTGGCCATGATGTTTGGGAGGTAATCTTTGATTCATAGCACAGCCTTTCATGGTATGGGTTGTAGGGGCACCAGAATTGTCTCTGCAAGGTTTCAAAAGTATAGATTGTTGAAAGAAACTAATTCCTTTGGTTAAATGGAGTCAAGGATTGAGAATTAGCAGACATGTGTACAGGTAGAATGAAGCCTGAATAGACGCCTCTTCCATCTCTTCCTTCTCCACGTCACCTTTCTCAAACCAATCACATGTTGTTAATGTTCGCCTGACACTGTCGGGACTTACCGGCCACATAGGAGTATGTTCTCCAGCATTTACTCTTCCTGCTGTCTCTCTCTTCCCCTCTTCCCACCTCTCCTATCCTAGATTTTCCTGAACATGTTTATCCCTTCTTCTTTGTACAGTTGGCAGTTTTTCAGAGCACTTGGATCAGATAAATGGACGAAGCGAGTGTGTGGACAGTACAGATAATTCCTCAAAGCCATCCAGTGAACCCGCTTCTCACATGGCTCGGCAGCGATTAGAAAGCACAGAAAAAAAGAAAATCTCTGGGAAAGTCACAAAGTCCCTCTCTGCCAGTGCTCTGTCCCTCATGATCCCAGGAGGTAGAGAGATACTACTTGCATGAAACTGTGTGATTTGTGCATGTGGTCCCATCCCTCCTCTCCCAATTTGGAATGCTGAACGAGATGCAAGATTGCTTGAAGTAATAACGGGTCATGTCCCAGGACAGCTCTTGAGAGCTTCTGCCTGCAGACTCTGAATTCTTCCTGCAGGATTTGTAGGGCCCCCAAGGAGCATTTTGGCCTATTTCATCTCACTTTCTGCATCAGGGGTACAAGAGAGGCTTCCTTCCCATGAAAACTTGTTTCTGTTTTGTTTCCTTTCCTTTTCTTTTCTTCCTCCAAGTTAAATGATAAATTTTCCTTCCTTGAATAATTTTTTTTTTCTCTAGACTGTATAATTTATACACTTTATAGAGCTGTTTACAGCATTTGTGTTGGAAAGCTAAGTATATAGTTTTTCTCATCTAATGAATGAGGAAAATAGTTACAGAATATAAGCTTTTCATTCTGGAGATAGAGTCACAGACAGCATTGAAATTCTAGGTTTTCCCAACCCTGTCGGTTGAGCTATGCTTCCTCCTACTGGTAGCAAACCATCTTCTGCCCTGTTTTGGAAAACTGGGCTTAATTGAAGTTTGGTGAACTGTAGTATTTTCCCACAAACTGGTTTTGCCTCTACTGATCTCTAAGTCTGTAGTAATCCCACTGGTAGAAATGAAATGTACACCCTGATGGTTGTGATATCACTCCAAATGACAGCAAGAGACTTGAGTTATATTGCAGATGGCTTGTTTTTGGAAGAATACAGATCATGTATAAAAGGGATTGTTTTTGTTTTTAAAATTTCATATTTGTGCAAAAAGCGATTTGACATAAACAAATGCTCATTTGGGAGTAGTGCTCAGTCTAGCAGATTCAGTTTCTGGGAGGTGTCCCGTTTAGCTCCATAAAACAAACACCTGTATCCCTAGTCTGTATGACTCTTCATAACCTGAAGATGATGGTCCCGGTGCAGCTGCACAGACAGGAAGGTAAGTGGGATATGGGCCAGTGTAGTTTTGAAAGCTGGTGAGGAAGCCTATACTTTGGTAGAATAAGGAAATCATTCAATTTGGGGAGATAAGGGAGACCATCAGAAGGTAAAGAAGAGGGGGCCTGGCCTTTCAGCAGTTTGGATCTGTGTGTGTCCACAGTGCCCTACTCCCACCTGCATGTCTTGAAGTTCCCTGCCTGCCAGCATGCATCTCTTCACCTGTCCTTTGATTAGAAGAAGGGATCCAGCAGAAAAGAACCAAGATGCTATATGAAGTCAGAGAGGGAAGGAGCATGGGTTGTGTCACAGTTGGCTTTGCTCTTCTTTGAACAAGCATAAGAATTGAAATAGTGGGTAGTATGGATACTTTGAGCTTATGGTAGCCACAGTGGAACTCACCACACCCTGGTGAGCCTTCAGTAGCACTGGGAACTTTGTAGCCTGGCTCCAACTGAGCTCCTGTGTAAACCTCAGCATGTTTTGTAGATTATTCTGCCTTTTCTCAAGTGCGCACACACACACTGACAGTCTCACATAACTGGTTAAGGTCTGTTTAGATTCATGTAGATGAAACAGGGATATGAACTAAAAATAAAAGTGTTCATTTCTGCTGCTATAACAAAATACTTTAGACTGGGCAAGGTAATAACAGAATTTGTTGATCACAGTTCTGGAGCCTGGGAGGTCCAAGATCAAGGTGCCGACAGTTTCAGCATCTGACGAGGGCTTGTTCCTCATGGACAGCACTTTCTCTGTGTCCTCACATGGCAGAAGTAAGGAACGAACTCTCTCCAGTCTGTTGTATAAGGTCACTAATTCACTTATGAGGGGCAGAGCCCTCATGACCTAATCACCTCCCAGAGGTCCCACCTCTTAAAACCATTACTTTGGGGGTTAGGTTTCAACATAGGAATTTTAGGGGGACACAAACATTCAGAGCATAGCAGTTTGCTTCTAAAACAAAGAAAGCAGTAGATTTGGTGTTTTGGAATATGCAGTGAGATTCTCTTCAGGTTTCTCTATCTCACCTGCATTATCCTCTCAGAGACCTTATTAGAATTGCAAGTAATATGTGAAGAGAATCAGTTGTCACCACAGTAATGGTATTCGTTTATAGAGAAGTCACCACTTCATTGTTTTCCTGAGTAAAATTTCTTTCCTTTTTTTTTTTTTTTTTTTTTTTTTTGAGACAGTGTCTTGCTCTGTTGCCCAGGCTGAAGTGCCGTGGCACAATCACGGCTCACTGCAGCCTCAACCTCCCAGACTCAGTTGATCCTCTCACCTCAGTCTCCCAGGTAGCTGGAACTATAGGCACATGCCACCTTTCCTGGCCAATTTTTTTGTGTTGTTTGTAGAGACAGGGTTTAGCCATATCACCTGAGTGGTCTTGAACTCCTGGGCTCAAGCCACCAGCCCACCTTGGCTTCTCAAAAGTGCTGGGATTACAGGTGTGAGCCACTACACCCGGCCAGTTAAAATTCTTTAATCAGTATTCATTCAATAGCATTGTAGAAATCAGCTGGTAAATTGATAAACTGCTTTCCTGGCCATGTGTGTTGAAAAGGACCATGTTAAAATTGTTTAGTGAAGAATTTGGAATCCAGTATCTGTTAATATAATACATATAGTCTTCACATGAAAACACACTTGAAATACATGCATCTATGATTTATTTCTTTACTTAAAATAAAACATTAAAATGTCACAGCCAGAAGGTAATCTTTGTGCTGTCTTTTAATAAGCATAGAAACTAAAAAATTTTTTTCTCTTTCCTAACTGAAAAATTAGTTAAAATAGCAAGACTCTTGAAGTTTGACAGTTTTGGAATTCATCCTTGTTACTGATAGACACATTTTTATATTACTTTGTCTTCATTTGGCTGTTGGAAACAAATGGATTTGTGTTGTGACTGTGCCCCCAGTCCTGGCAGGGCTCATGGGGTGAGGGTGGCCTGCATGGATGCTGTGTGAGCCACATGGGCTTTGATGACTGGCTTCTTCCTTACAGATATGTTTGCTGTTTCCCCTCTGGGAAGTCCAATGTCTCCCCATTCCCTGTCCTCGGACCCTTCCTCTTCACGAGATTCCTCTCCCAGCCGAGATTCCTCAGCAGCTTCTGCCAGTCCACATCAGCCGATTGTGATCCACAGTTCAGGGAAGAACTACGGCTTTACCATCCGAGCCATCCGGGTGTATGTGGGAGACAGTGACATCTATACAGTGCACCATATCGTCTGGGTAAAACCTGCATGTCGCACACTTGGGATTTTTCATTTCCAGCCAAGCCTGGAGAGTGGATAGGTTGGCTGATAAATAGCAAATGTATATACTTTTAAGTTTGCATTTGGGACCTGTTTCATTTTCCTTTTAGAACTCCATCCCTGAATGTATACGGTGGAATTGAATTTAGCAAAAACGAGTATCTCATAATTCTGTCCAGTTTTCATATTTGATTGTTCTTTCTTACATACCAAGCTGGTAGACATAGTCAAAGGCAATCCTATTTCCATCCTTCTTTTATTTTTTCTTTTTTTTCCTAGTCTTCTTTTTAAAAATTACCTTCTCAAATCACATGAAATGTTTTGGTCATTCATTTTTATTTTTTCTTTGTGACTATGGTACTTTCAGTCTGAATCACCTGAAAATTTCTGAGTGCCATAGAAAGTTTCCTATTTTAGAATAACGATAGAACAGGAATAGTAACCATACCTGTTAGATTTTCTGTTAGAAGCTTAGGACATTTGCTAATTAGCTCATTATTCTTCCAGAAGACACAGTAGGTGTTAGAGTTGTCATTTGTTTGCCTACAAATATCCTCTCCTCTTGGACTTTAGAACGTAGAAGAAGGAAGTCCAGCGTGCCAGGCAGGACTGAAGGCTGGAGACCTTATCACACACATCAATGGAGAACCGGTGCATGGACTCGTCCACACAGAAGTTATAGAGCTCCTACTGAAGGTATTGTATTTTTTTATGTCAGGGCCATGCTGATGAGACAGCATGATGGTACAGCCCCAAAGGGGCTAGTACCAGGAGATTGATTACCCTGTGGCACACCCTTGTCTGATTACTGAGGAAGTATTCAGTAATCTCAAGTTTAAAGACAAAGATATTATGAACTCTCTGGTTTTATGTAATGAAATGATGTCTTTATTTCTGCATACTCATTCCCTAATTTAATTTTGCTTCTCATTCTAAATTGTAAGTAGTAAGAATTCTCTTTGTTTATATACCTTACACGGTGACATCTCTTTGGGAGTCACCTGTCCTAAAGGTGACTTTCTTCAGGAACTTCTAACAGGTTTCATTCTAGTATACTAGAAGACAAAATTGTATTAAACTGTGAGGTTCGATCTGAAGGTTTAGTCTGAGAATTAGAGTTCCTTTGAAAAACAAAATTGTAAATATATACACATGTACTATAAATTATAAAAAATAAGTGGTAGTGAAAGAAGAGTTCTAGCAATTATTAGGCCTCCCTCCCCTCCATACAAATTAACTTAAATAGGGATCAATTTATATTTAAAATGTAAGCTGAACAGAGCCTATGGAGTAAGAAAGTCACAGGAAGCATGACTGTAAATGGAGAGAAAGGACACACACTGATCCTGTCAGACTGTTCTGTTTAGTTGTTTGATTTGCTACTTGCTGACTCTAGAATATAAAGTTATGGTTCAAAATATGGATCTGGTTAAAACAAATAAAGATGAATGTATGGGTTTGAGTTAAAATTTTCACAGAAAATGAAGGCTAATTAGTCTATGATGAGAAATGGAGTCCCTACTTAGAGAATTATTTTACAGATCAACAGATTTATGGACGACCTCTTGTTTCTTAAGCACTGTGCTTTGGACTCTGGAAGGGGCAATGAGCCAGAGAAATGTGAGCATAGCTGCAAAGAACCTACAGACTATTTAGGGAGACAAAGCATAAATACATATAAACATAAACACTTGCACATCATTTAAATATAATGTTTATTCAGACTGTTTCTAGCACACTTGCTCTGAAGCAGGTGCTGTTGTAGACATTGGTTACATGGGGACTGAGGTGTGGTCTCTGCCCTTGAGAAGTATGGGAGATGTAAGTAAGCAAAAACAACAACAACAACAACAAAAGAAAACACAATTTAATTAAGGCTATAGGAGAGAGAGGAATGTCATACTTTTGGAGAGAACATTCTATAAGTGGAGAGAGGCCTCACAGGGAAGTGACATTGAACTGGAATTTGGAAGGCACTGTAGAGAAGTGGGTGTGCACATCTTTCAAACATGCAGTTAAATGACTGCATCTTTTCTCCTCTCTTCTCTGCCATTTCCCCAGACCACATAAGTGTATCTTCCAACAATTCAGAGTCTGGCCTAGGTCCCAGGAAGAGTAAATATTGTGTATATCCAAAGGTCCAGTGTGGAGTAGTAGATAGGAACATTATTGCCATTGATTAGTTCACAGTATTAATGAGATTTTGGTCTTGGGCTCAGACCTTGGGCTCAGGGGCTGGGGTCTCAATAATTTTGTGGGATTAGGGTAAACCATGAAGTTTTCCTTTCCTTGCTGTCCAAAAGTTACTATAAAAGGAGCCAAGTTCCCTGTGGCCACTTTTATTATTTCCTGATTCATGTTTTGCTGTACATGTCCTTCAGTTTGGTAGCAAAAGCCTTAAGATGACTGGAGTTAGCCTACCCTTTTGGTACATATGGCCACTGCTTAGAAACAAATGCCACTTCTGGCACCTATGTGGATAAGACCTGAGGTTTTTCGATGAGCATCTGTCTCTGATAATATTTTTTGTCCAACTGGGATGGAACAATGATTTCAGAGTGAGCGTTCAAGAAATGGGAGGCAGAGCAGGATTGCTGACTGAGATCCCTGGACTGTGAAACTCACCTGCAGTGACCATACACTCCTTAAGACAGAAGTCAAGATGAGACACAAAGTTCATGAGTCTCACCAGCTGCTTCTCTCACAATCCTGAATCCTGTGGTCCATGGTGGTCCCTTTCAGCTCAGAACCACCTGTTGTGGACAAGAACCCAGGGAATTGTTTGGTTTTTTTATCCTTTGTTTTCAGTTTGTAAGGATTGCAAAGATAGGCAGACTAAGGTGCTTACTCTTTAAAGTGCTGCCTGAACTTTTCTAGGCGCTCCCCTTGACCCTTTGTATTAGAGAGTAAGTCTATGTTCTGTGGAGGAGCTTCGCTCAGTGTCACTCATCCCACTACACGTTTTCCAAATCTTCTTATCAGTGATTTAAAAATGGCTAAAGGGATTTCAAATAGTAATATGTGTTTTGTCTTCTACATTCTTTATAGCAGCATTATATTTTATGCGGAACAGCTTCTGTGACAGCGTATCTTTAGATAGTATCATATGTCTGTTCACAACATCAGAATAAAAAACAATATACTGAAATATATATATTGAGAAATATACATTGGCTTATTTCGCTGAGACATAATTGATCACTTTTGTGATTTACTTTGTAAAGTATTTTAATAGAATTTTGTATTTTAAAACTTATCTTCCTGCTTCTATGAAATTTGAACGTGTATTTCCCCTAGAGGACTCTGGCAAGGTCTCTTAGCAGACTCAGATGATCCCATTTCTATTATCTTGCCCTCGTCTGGTTATGGAGCACCTTGCACAACCCAAAGCCTTCATTTCTGGATGCAGTCAATGTGTGTCACTGAAACCACTTAAACACAGTGGAGTGGAGAGCCATTGGTACCCTTTGAAGCCATGGTGTACTCTGTCACAAATCCAAAGAGCATCCTGCCTGTGTTCATAAAGGAAGCACTCAACAGGAGTAAGCAGTGTCATGAAACCAAGAGGATACAAGGGATTTAATTATCTTCCCAGTGAACTGTGTAATCATGCAGCCTCCTTCCAAATTTAACCAGTGACTCTTGAAATCAGCGTATTAAGTGACTAGTGTCAGTGCTGGGCTCCTGCGTGCCATCATTGGTTTAACAGCAGGGAAGTTGGCTGTATTATGGTACTTTAGAATGCTGTTTACACAGTGTTTTATACTTGCAAAGGACTTTACGGAATGTCATGGCACTCTTAGAGAAAGGGGGAGAAGTCCTGACAGAGGGCTGTAGGTGTATGTTTAGAACTGCATGACTACCTGTACAGTGTTTGTCTTTTGGATTATGAATATAGTAAGCATTTTCCATGTTTCATAGAATCACATTTGGTCTTGTTTACCTTCACAACTTCAAAGTGAACCTGCTATGGGTGCACTATCTTCCATGCATAGACAAACTTGTCTAAAGTCACTCAGCATCCTCGATCCGTGGAATTATAAAATGTCATGGTTATCCGGTTCAGCTCCCCACTGGCTATGTGAATCCCTGACAGTGTCCTCCTTCAGCTTCACCTCAAAGCTTTCCTGCCATGAGGAAAGCTTGTAGACAGCATCAGTCTTTCTTTTTTTTTTTCTTTTTTTTTTTTTTTTTTTTTGAGACGGAGTCTCGCTGTGTCACCCAGGCTGGAGTGCAGTGGCGCGATCTCGGCTCACTGCAAGCTCCACCTCCCGGGTTTACGCCATTCTCCTGCCTCAGCCTCCGAGTAGCTGGGACTACAGGCGCCCGCCACCTCGCCCGGCTAGTTTTTTGTGTTTTTAGTAGAGACGTGGTTTCACCATGTTAGCCAGGATGGTCTCGATCTCCTGACCTCGTGATCCACCCGCCTCGGCCTCCCAAAGTGCTGGGATTACAGGCTTGAGCCACCGCGCCCGGCAGCATCAGTCTTTCTAAAAACAACTTTATAAGTAGACCAAGGTCATTCTTCACCCACTAGCATTACAGGTGGAGATGATACTTGGCTCAGTCCTATTACCTGTTCCAATTAGCCAGGCTTAACTTCTGTGATCCAAGAAACTTTCTTCTCAACCAAGCTGTTTTTTAAGTATAGCATTAGTTTAAATCCCCAATGCATAGGAGAAGCCATAAAACTTTACCAGCCTCTACTTCAGAAATTTCCTTTCCATGGACACTGGGGAGCTTCTGTGTACTAAAATGGGGGCCATCAAATAGCTTGATTACCATCCACCCATATCTGTCAAGCCCCTCATATGCACAGAGCCTTGTGCAAAATGCCGCAAGGGCTACACAAAAATGACATGTAAGGGCTGGGCACAGTGGCTCATGCCTGTAATCCCAGCACTTCGGGAGGCTGAGGTGGGTGGATCACAAGGTCAGGAGTTCAAGACCAGCCTGGCCAAGATGGTGAAACCCTGTCTCTACTAAAAATACAAAAATTAGCTGGGCATGGTGGTGGGCTCTTGTAATCCCAGTGAGACAGAGAATTGCTTGAACCCGGGAGGAGGAGGTTGCAGTGAGCCAAGATAGTGCCACTGCACTCCAGCCTGGGCGACAGAGTGAGATTCCGTCTCAAGAAAAAAAAAGACATATAAGCATAATAGTTAATGAGGCAAGAGCACTTGATGACTGCCACACTCTCGTCAGTGGTTTTACAGGAATAAATGCATGTAATCCAAACAGTTACCCTCTGAGGTAGGTGCTATAAATATAAATGTTCCCATTTCACAAATGAAAAAAGACAAAAGCAGAAGAAGATAACAAAGCAGCCTCAGCTTATCTGCTGGAAAGGAGCATAACGTGATTTGCACCCAGGCGGTGTAGCTCCGGAGCCTGCACTTTCCACCACAGCACACTGCTCTACATGTGAAGTCTCCAGTTGCCAGTAACTTAGGGTCTAATGTTCACAGGGGGAAACAGTGGCAATGCCAGGCTAAAATCAAAATGTTCAACTTAAGTAACAGACTATAAACATGGCAGAAGTTCCAAAAGAGGGATGGCTTTTCTCCAGGGTGGACAGGAATGGCGTCAAAGAATTGAGGGTTATCTATGCAAGGCTTTGATGGATGAGTGGCGATTCAGTATATAGTCAGGGGTGCACAATAGTCTAGGCCAAATAATGAGGTGTGTAAACACGAGGACAGGATATATCAAGATTTATGAGGTATACAAGTGAACCATCAGGCCGAAGCCTGGGTTAATGTGAGGATACAGTGTGCAAGATGGCCAAGATTGGGTAGTGAAGGGGTTGAGGACGCAGGGATGCAGCGGGCCCATCCCCCATCTGTACTTTCCAGAGAAGGAAATGCAAAAGTGGTCGTTCGGTGAGTTACCCAGGACCAAACTGATAAGCTAACTTAGAGCCAGACCGAGAGAAGAAATTGGACAGCCTGACTTCTGCTATTATATTCAATTCCAGCAACTTGAAATAATTTTCTTCACACTGTGCACCAGTCATGAAAATAGTTTAAAGTAAAAGTGAATGAATTGAACATTCAACAATCTGCCAGCTGCATTTTTGTTATTTTTTCAACAAGTGCTATAGAAATTCTCCTATATGAGGTCAGTCATTAATCAGAAGTTGATTGTGGGTAAAGCGACCTAGTAAGCCACCTTGAGCAGTTCAGGTAGCACTCGCTGTTGCTGACTGGATCCACCAGGTGGCAGGCTTCACAAATCTCGCCTATCACTTTTCCATCATTTACCATTTTTGTAACCATTAATACTTCCAACCTAATTATTGTACTCTGCATCCTTTGTATCTGTATTTCCCCTTAGAGAAGTTGTCTTTGACATATGCCTGTAAGTTAAATTAATTTTCCTCTGGAACAGCCGTGTGTGGAGACAAGAAACAGAACCGGGCTTGGTCTTTATAATGGTAGGAGCATTTGTACTGAGTCTAGTGATGTGCTGTCATTTAGCAAGCCCTGGTCTTCACTATTTTCTGATGATAAGTATGTTGAGGATTTATATGTGTCTCATATAATTTTATATGTTGATGGCTCCTTCATTTTATCTTGACAGTCTTATACTTTGACCATGCCATATGTCAATCAAGTGCCTGTTTCCCTCACCACCATTCATTAAGTACCAACTACGCACTGTGCCAGGCTCAGGAGAGGTGGAGAGGACTGGGGGGCATTCCCTTCCTACAGGGAGCGGGGTTTGGTAGGAGGAGCATTGGGGGTGAGCAGCAAGAGAGCCAGCGTGGGCTCTTCCACTGGACTCTCAGTGACCTTGGGAAACAAGAGCCTCGTTGTCTCAGAACCCGTTTTCTTCATCTGCAAAGGAAGGATGACAAACTCTTCCAGGCCATGAGGGTAAAACAAACAACCCTTATGACTTGTTTATGAAAATACATTTAGAGAATATATATGAAAATGGTTTAAAAATAAATATATGCTTTTAAAATGCCAGGCAGCATTGTTAGTCACGTATGGCTAGAGATATAGAAGTCAATCCTGAATTGTATTAGAAAAGAGCAGAACTGGATTCCAGCTCAAGTGGCACACATGATAGAACAGCCCCAGCGATCATTGTGGTTCTACGCGTCCACTCTCTGCATATGGAAGAGGACTGAAGGAACATCAGTGACACAGGAGCTCGCCATGCTTGTTGCCCCTTTCCTTCACCATAGGAAATACTAAAATTTCAGCATGGCCTCAATTTGTGAAGAGAAGACCCCACTCCAAAAAACCTTCAATGATAGACCTTACATACTTACAAAATGATTTTTCTCATTAAAGAACAAATAAAATGCAATCTCTACCATCAGATAAAGGTTTATTTTTAATGTTTTGGTGCTTGCATAAAGAATGTTTATTATTTTGCAATAGAAAACAAAATAAACTTTTTTCTCTTGTTGAAGTTAAAGCCCTCTTTCCCTAAAATATTTTCTGCAAATATGACATTAAGTATGAAAATATATTGTTTTAAACATACACAGAATTCTAAGTCAGCCGTGGTTGTGTGCTCCTATTATCCCAGCTACTCAGAGGGTGAGGCAGGAGGATTGCTTGAGCCCAGGAGTTCAAGGCTGCCGTGAGCTGTGATCACACCACTGCACTCCAACCTGGGCAAAAGAGCAAGATCCCATCTCAAAAAAATTTTTTTAATTAAAAAAAATTAAAGAATCTAAAACAAATAATAAAATACTAAGACCTTCCAATATTAAACTGGATGTAAGACTGAATAAATCATTTCTTAAAGAAATACAAATAACCAAACTAAATAAGGGACAACATCAAACCGTATAAGAATTTAAACATAAAAAAATCATCGGCTGGGCATGGTAGCTCACACCTGTAATCCCCGCACTTTGGGAGGCCAAGGCAGGCAGATTGCCTGAGGTCAGGAGTTCAAGACCAACCTGACCAACATGGAGAAATCCCGTCTTTACTAAAAATACAAAATTAGCCAGGCCTGGTGGCACATGCCTGTAATCCCAGCTACCTGGGAGGCTGAGGCAGGAGAATCGCTTGAACCTGGGAGGCAGAGGTTGCAGTGAGCCGAGATCGTGCCATTGCACTCCAGCCTGGGCAACAAGAGCGAAACTGTGTCTCAAAAAACAAAAAAAAGAAAAAGAGAACAATAGCAGTAAGGAAATATTACATAATTTTGATTCACCCATCTGATAGGATATATTGCACAGCCAGTAAAAATCATGTTTTTAAAGGTTATTTAATGATAAAGGGAAACTTTTTCCAAATTATATAATACACAATGAAAAAGCAACATAAAGCTGTAAATAAACTGAGATTTAAATTAGTTATAAAGCATGTGTACATGTGTACCTATTTACACATGCGTGAGAAAAGACAAACAGGAAATATACTGAAATATGACTAGTGGTTGGGTGGTAAGCTTCTCAATGTTTTTTTTATACTTCCCTATTGTCGTCTTACTGTAGCATGGATTACTTCCCAAATCAAGGGGGAAAGTAGATGCTATCTTTAAGACAGTCATTCCCTGTCTTTTCCGTCCTCTGCTGCCACCATACCTAACTCCCCCTAACTCCCCTTCACTTGGTACCACCTTGAGCTGAGCTCTAGGTATCTTCCAAGCATGGGCCTTTAGAAAGATCCTTTTCCTTGTACCTCTTGTACTTTCATGGTAATCGGGGCCATCTGTGACCTTGAAAAGACAGGTTTACCCCCTGGTTATTATGAAATTCAAGAAGGGTAATTAATGCCAGGGACTACTCACCTGCCCTGGGCCCCCCCCTTGGCCTGACTGCTGACTCTATGCTCAGTTTCCCTAGAGGCTGCCCAGCAAGCCCCTTCCCAGGATTGAGAGAAAGGACACCAAAACTCACTAGAAATTACCTTACCCTGTATGACCTGGTTAAAAAGATGTTTCCCACTGGCTGGCATAAATGTTTCAGTTCTGCAAACTGACAGGTTTTATGGTGATAGAAAAGAAGCCTTTTAAAATAATTCAAATTAAAAGTCTCATTCGGTTTTGTTACTCTACAATTTTTAGGCCAAAGGAAAAACACAAAAAGGAGAAAAAAGAAAAATCAACCAAGAGCAGACAACCACTGGGCACATTACTACTTAACACTTGTGGAAGAAGTAGTTACCTTGTTTATAGTGTTCTTTCCTTGTGTTGCACTGGGTACAAAAGGGTTTACAGACTTGCTCTCATGTGGTCCTCAAATGAGCCCCAGGAGACAAGTAGGATTATATTGTTAATTGGTACAGGAAGTTGAGGTGTAGGGAGGGTAGCAGCCTGCTAAGGGCACAGAGCTTGGATTTGAACTGAGATCTGTGGACCCCAGAGCTCACCCTCTTAAAGAACCTTCGTATTTTGCCTTCCACCCAGTTTGTATTCTGGCAGGACTTCTTTGATTGAAGGGTTATATAGAAACAGAAGGCCTTTTATATGTATGCTCCTTTCTATTTGTATTTGTCTACAAATCTCTCATCTCTGTTCTGATCTTGCTTCATCACAGCATTTCCCTTTAATACCACCTCATCTTTTCTATAGAGTGGGAATAAGGTGTCAATCACTACTACCCCATTTGAAAACACATCCATCAAAACTGGACCAGCCAGGAGAAACAGCTATAAGAGCCGGATGGTGAGGCGGAGCAAGAAATCCAAGAAGAAAGAAAGTCTCGAAAGGTTAGTAAAATCAGTATTCTTTTTAAGTTTGGTGTATACCTATGTTGGGGAAAAGTTACCTCTTAATTAAATGCTTACATATGAAGAAGATCTATTTTTCTGTGAGAAATTTTATGTTATGGTTCACATATATGTATACATTAAAGTCCATATTAATAATAGCATTAATTTCCATGGTAAAAGGATTTACATATTTACATTGTAGAAGGATTCAGATTGTTTTTTATCATGTGTGAATGTCAGGAAAAGCCCTTTGCTGTTTTTTAAGCCTCTTCACTTGATTTCAGTTGAGTTGGATTGAGGAACTGGATCTTCAGGTGGTTTTTAACATGAAATCTACATTTAAAATGTCCTTTACATTATCAAAAAACAAACAGTTGCTATTTTTAAAATGCCACATATTCTAAAATAACCATATCTTTAAAGATTCCAAATAAGCCTAGAAATAAAAGGGCTTTGTTTTACTCACTGAAAAACGAACTAGCTTATATACTTCTGTAGCCTGGGAAGCACCGATCAGTATCTTTTTGTGCTGCTTGCAGACACTAGCAAGATGTATGTGTTTCTGGCAGGGCTGTTTCTTTCTAGGCAGCTCTCTGGATGTGCCTCCTTTGCAATGCCACAGCATTTCTTCTTTACCCAATTGGACCTGATGAGTCACATCATATTAAAAAGATTTTTGATGATAGAAATGTAGAAAAACAAGCAAACGAAAAACCATGTATTAACTCTGGGGGGAAACAATAATGTTATACAAGAAAGGAACAGAATTATGTTTCATATGGCCCAGCTGTGAACAATATTTATAACTTAAAATGCAATATTGGCTATTTTTCTAACCAAAAATTTTGCTTTCACTATATTGGGAAGAGTAGAAAAGGGGAAATATATTTGGTTGCAAGGTAGAAGGGTGTTGTGTAAGAGCTTACTTATCATCTTTTCATAGTAGGAAATCAACAGATAATTTCTAAAACTGAAAAACTAAAAAATAGCAGTGTACAAACATTTAGCAATATGTAGACAAATGGGAGAAAAAACAGGTAAAAGAGTACAAAGCGACTTCTTTGGGGAGTAGAGAAAAACTCCAGTGGAGCAGTTGCTGTTTTTCGTTGTACATTTATAGAACTATTTGACTTTTTCACCCAAGTACATTTATTACTTTGATTAAAATTACACACACACCAGTTCTTCTCTTTATCATTATGCTTTACATTTTGGCTGTGCTTTACATCATTTAGAAAAGATTGTTTCAAAGGCTGGCAACCAGAAACTTTCTGTTTTAAGCTCACGTGGAGTGGGTTAGATCTTACCATATGTAGACTTATATGGTAAAAGAACTCTGCACAGCCCGATGCCCTACTAAGCTGTCAGAAGCTGTGCTTTTTGCCTTAAGATGTGCTCGTTGAGTACCAAGTCTACATTTACTTCTGCTGCAGTACAGTGTCTGCTGCCCTGCTGATACGATACGCTTCAACTTCGCCTTTCTCGGTTTTTCTATGTCATTGTACAGCCTGCATTGTTGTTAGGAATATTCAAGAGCCCACAATGGAATAAGCACAGCAAATAGCCCTTCATTGGCCTCTGCCTAGCCTATCACCATTAAATAATTTGATTTCCAGTACAATGGTTTTGCTTCCAGAGGTTTACTTTGTATTATCTCTTAGTTAAATGGTGTCCATATATTTAGGGGTAGGTACTCAGAAGCTTTCAAGCAAAGAACATCCTCCTCATAAACCTAACAAGTAAATGAATGTATTTTAAATACATTTTATATCTTTCCTATTTTCCCAACTCTTCTTAAGTGTTTGGAATTGAGAGAGCCTCCACTGTCTACTATCAAATGCTCTTCCTTTACATGCTGTAAGAAAGTTTCTAATAGGAAAGTGGTGTTCCGCTCTTTAACAGAATCTACTGTTGTATGCCTGTCCCTCACACGGAGTTATTGAACTAAGCACACTGGTATTTTGGGGAGGCAGGAGTAGTTCTGAAAGAAGACTCTGAACAATTTTTTCCTGTTTTTGCTCTAGGAGGAGATCTCTTTTCAAAAAGCTAGCCAAGCAGCCTTCTCCTTTACTCCACACCAGCCGAAGTTTCTCCTGCTTGAACAGATCCCTGTCGTCGGGCGAGAGCCTCCCAGGTTCCCCCACTCATAGCTTGTCTCCCCGGTCTCCAACACCAAGCTACCGCTCCACCCCTGACTTCCCATCTGGTGAGTGAGTCTCCTGGTCTAAACAGCAGAGGGGAGGAGGTAAAGTCATGTGAGGTCCCAAAAAACATGAAGCTTGTTCCAGCTGAAAGAAAGCAGGTTGAAGGTATAAATTATAAAGACAGATTTAAAGAGAGGTCATAAGATGTGGCTATTCTGACCAATCAAATAAGAAGTTGGGGACTAAACCTTGGTGTGGAGGGGTTTATCTGAAAAGTGTTTATTCCACTAGTTAAATGCTGAGACAATTTGCTGACCTTACCTGGCCTTACCTAATACAGTCTGGGCTACAACCGTGGAAAAAAGGGGAAAATGACCATGGATATTCACAGCCTTCTGTTTTCCACCCACAGGTACTAATTCCTCCCAGAGCAGCTCCCCTAGTTCTAGTGCCCCTAATTCTCCGGCAGGGTCCGGGCACATCCGGCCCAGCACTCTCCACGGTCTGGCACCCAAACTGGGCGGGCAGCGGTACCGGTCCGGAAGGCGAAAGTCGGCCGGCAACATCCCACTGTCCCCGCTGGCCCGGACGCCCTCTCCAACCCCGCAACCCACCTCCCCGCAGCGGTCACCATCCCCTCTTCTGGGACACTCACTGGGCAATTCCAAGATTGCGCAAGCCTTTCCCAGCAAGATGCACTCCCCGCCCACCATCGTCAGACACATCGTGAGGCCCAAGAGTGCGGAGCCGCCCAGGTCCCCGCTGCTCAAGCGCGTGCAGTCCGAGGAGAAGCTGTCGCCCTCTTACGGCAGTGACAAGAAGCACCTGTGCTCCCGCAAGCACAGCCTGGAGGTGACCCAAGAGGAGGTACAGCGGGAGCAGTCCCAGCGGGAGGCGCAGCTGCAGAGCCTGGATGAGAACGTGTGCGACGCGCCACCACTGAGCCGCGCCCGGCCCGTGGAGCAAGGCTGCCTGAAACGCCCGGTCTCCCGGAAGCTGGGCCGCCAGGAGTCTGTGGATGACCTGGACCGCGACAAGCTGAAGGCCAAGGTGGTGGTGAAGAAGCCAGATGGCTTCCCAGAGAAACAGGAATCCCACCAGAAATCCCATGGACCCGGGAGTGATTTGGAAAACCTTGCTCTGTTTAAGCTGGAAGAGAGAGAGAAGAAAATCTATCCGAAGGCTGTGGAAAGGTCAAGTCTCTTTGAAAACAAAGCGGCTATGCAGGAGGCGCCACCGCTGGGCAGTCTGCTGAAGGACGCTCTTCACAAGCAGGCCAGCGTGCGTGCCAGCGAGGGTGCGACCTCGGATGGCCCGGTGCCTGTGGAGCACGGCCAGGGTGGCGGGGACTTCAGACGGGCCCCTGCTCCTGGCACCCTCCAGGATGGTCTTTGCCACTCCCTCGACAGGGGCATCTCCGGGAAGGGGGAAGGCACGGAGAAGGCCCCCCAGGCCAAGGAGCTTCTCCGATGTGAAAAGTTAGACAGCAAGCTGGCCAACATCGATTACCTCCGAAAGAAAATGTCACTTGAGGACAAAGAGGACAACCTCTGCCCTGTGCTGAAGCCCAAGATGACAGCTAGCACCCACGAATGCCTGCCGGGGAACCCCGTCCGACCCATGGGTGGGCAGCAGGAGCCCCCACCAGCTTCTGAGAGCCGAGCTTTTGTTGGCAGCACCCATGCAGCTCAGATGAGCGCCGTCTCTTTCGTTCCCCTCAAGGCCTTAACAGGCCGGGTGGACAGTGGAACGGAGAAGCCTGGCTTGGTTGCTCCTGAGTCCCCTGTTAGGAAGAGCCCCTCCGAGTATAAGCTGGAAGGTAGGTCTGTCTCATGCCTGAAGCCGATTGAGGGCACTCTGGACATTGCTCTCCTGTCGGGACCTCAGGCCTCCAAGACAGAACTGCTTTCCCCGGAGTCTGCACAGAGCCCTAGCCCAAGTGGTGATGTGAGGCCCTCTGTGCCACCAGCTCTCCCCAACAGCAGTGGGAAAAGGAGTGATACCACCAGTGCGAGAGAGCTTTCTCCTTCCAGCCTAAAGATGAATAAATCCTACCTGCTCGAGCCTCGGTTCCTGCCCCCCAGCCGGGGTCTCCAGAATTCACCAGCAGTTTCCCTGCCTGACCCAGAGTTAAAGAGGGACAGGAAAGGTCCCCATCCTACTGCCAGGAGCCCCGCAACAGTCATGGAAAGCAATCCCCAACAGAGAGAGAGCAGCTCCCCCAGATGCCAAGACCACACCACCGACCCCAAGCTTCTGACCTGCCTGGGGCAGAACCTCCACAGCGTTGACTTGGCCAGGCCACGCTGCCCGCTCCCACCTGAAGCTTCCCCCTCAAGGGAGAAGCCAGGCCTTAGGGAATCGTCTGAAAGAGGCCCTTCCACAGTCAGAAGCGAGCGCTCTGCTGCGAGGACTGACATACGCAGAGAGCCCTCCATGGAACTGTGCTCTTCAGAAACTGTGAAAACCAGTGACAACTCCAAAAACAACCTCTCTCTGGGCAGGACCCACCCAGATTTCTATACACAGACCCAGGCCATGGAGAAAGCATGGGCGCCGGATGGGAAAACGAACCACAAAGATGGCCCAGATGAAGCGAGGCCCCCGCTCAGAGATGACAACTCTGTGCACTCAGCTGGAATTTCCTGTGAGAAGGAGCTAGGCAAGGTGAGGCGTGGCGTGGAACCCAAGCCCGAAGCCCTTCCTGCCAGGCGGTCTCTGCAGCCACCTGGCATTGAGAGTGAGAAGAGTGAAAAGCTCTCCAGTTTCCCATCTTTGCAGAAAGATGGTGCCAAGGAACCTGAAAGGAAGGAGCAGCCTCTACAAAGGCATCCCAGCAGTATCCCTCCGCCCCCTCTGACCTCCAAAGACCTGCCCAGCCCGGCTGCCAGGCAGCATTGCAGTTCCCCAAGCCACGCTTCTGGCAGAGAGCCGGGGGCCAAGCCCAGCACTGCAGAGCCCAGCCCGAGCCCCCAGGACCCTCCCAAGCCTGTTGCTGCGCCCAGTGAAAATAGCAGCCACAAGCCCCGGCCTGGCCCTGACCCGGGCCCTCCAAAGTCTAAGATCCCCGACCGGTCCCTCTCCTCTCAGAAGCCAAGTGTTGGGGCCACAAAGGGCAAAGAGCCTGCCACTCAGTCCCTCGGCGGCGGTAGCAGAGAAGGGAAGGCCCACAGTAAGAGTGGGCTGGATGTGTTTCCTGTCACCCCAGGCTCCCAGAACAAAGCCAGCGATGGAATTGGCCAGGGACAAAGTGGGCCCTCTGTCCCGCTGCGCACTGACAGGGGTCCTCTAGACACCAAGCCACAGTCCACCAGTGGTGGGCGGCCCCTCGAGGTGCTGGAGAAGCCCGTGCATTTGCCAAGGTCGGGACACCCAGGGCCTAGTGAGACAGGGGACCAGAAACTGTCCACTGTCGGTGAAAAGCAAACCCTGTCCCCAAAGCACCCCAAACCATCCACTGTGAAAGACTGCCCCACCCTGTGCAAACAGACAGACAACAGACAGACAGACAAAAGCCTGAGTCAGCCGGCCGCCACCACCACCGACAGAAGGGCGGAAGGGAAGAAATGCACCGAAGCACTTTATGCTCCCGCAGAGGGCGACAAGGTCAAGGCCGACATTTCCTTTGCGCAAAGCGAGGCCCGGTTGAAAGGCGCGGAGCGGCCAGCCGCGGGGTTGGGGAAGGGTTTCCCTGAGGCCAGAGGGAAAGGGCCCGGTCCCCAGAAGCCACCGACGGAGGCAGACAAGCCCAGCGGCATGAAACGCTCCCCCTCAGCCACCGGGCAGAGTTCTTTCCGATCCACGGCCCTCCCTGAAAAGTCTCTGAGCTGCTCCTCCAGCTTCCCTGAAACCAGGACCGGAGTTAGAGAGGCCTCTACAGCCAGCAGCGACACCTCTTCTGCCAAGGCTGCCGGGGGCGCGCTGGAGCCTCCAGCCCCCAGCAACAGGGACCATAGGAAGGCTCAGCCTGCGGGGGAGGGCCGAACCCACATGACAAAGAGTGACTCCCTGCCCTCCTTCCGGGTCTCCACCCTGGCTCTAGAGTCACACCACCCCGACCCAAACACCGTGGGCGGAGCCAGCCACCGGGACAGGGCGCTCTCGGTGACTGCCACCGTAGGGGAAACCAAAGGGAAGGACCCTGCCCCAGCCCAGCCTCCCCCAACTAGGAAACAGAACGTGGGCAGAGACGTGACCAAGCCATCCCCAGCCCCAAACACTGACCGCCCCATCTCCCTTTCTAATGAGAAGGACTTTGTGGTACGGCAGAGGCGGGGGAAAGAGAGTTTGCGTAGCAGCCCTCACAAAAAGGCCTTGTAACGGGGCAGGCCCCGGGGCAGGACTGTGGAGACCCGTCCTGAACGGGCGACTGTCTTGACTACCTTTCAAAACCAGCACTGTGTGGGAATGTCCGCCAGGCAGAGCTCGGAGCCTCATTGAGAAAGGGGAGAGAGAAAGACAAAGAGAGGACCTTCTTCCAGATGCCTTCCCAGTTGTAACCGGTAAAACTGTTACCAGATAGTGTTTGTACAAAAGCAACAACAAAAAAAATTACCTTTACAGTTGAGGGTTGTTGAGGAAAAAGATTTTCTCTGTAAATATATACACCGTGTTTGGTTTGGGATGTAGAGTCTATACCTGGCTGCTGATTACGTCGTTTACTACAGCATTTTTTAAATAAGATTTTTGATTTACCATTTATCATAATGTAGTAATGAAGCAAAGTGGTCAAAACTGGGTGTGTGTGACCAGAGATACACCCATATTCGTGTATATACACATCCACCTACATGTTTTGGTCTGTGGTTTAAGAGACTATTTCAAGGTTCCATTTTTGTAAGCTAAAACATTCTAAGTAAAGATGGAAGAAAGCCCTAAACACAGTAGATTGTGAGTTTTTACGTGTATTTTAACCGGAGTTTCTGATAGTACTGTATCTGGCTACCTATATTTCCAGATCTAAAGCAAGAACTACTCTAAGTACTGCATTTGGAATCCTCCTCCATTAGGAATGGCCAGGACAAGTGGAGCTAGCCATTTTCATTACATGGCCATCCCAATGGACACTGGATCCCTGGTCCAACTGTCTTAACAGGCCGGTTGTGCCTGTCTGTGGATGTGGATGTCTGGCCTTCACCTGAGGTAGAGCGGGGACTATAAACACACATCAACTTTCTTTCTATTTGCTTTCTTTTCCTTCTTTTCAAACTCTTAAACTTAGGCCTTTATGCTGTAAGTGACTAGTCCAAGAAGCACACATTTAGTAGTAGTCCTGCACCAGCTCTGCTCTTGAATAAAAAGGAATATTACTGGCTGCACCCAAATCTTCTAGTACTTAAGTCAAGTAATAAGCATCAGGCATTGGAAGAGGTTTTAAATTTGCTTTTTTGAGGAAAAGAACTGGGGGTAGATTTTGGCATCGTAGCATATCGATTAAGGAATAATCAGGACATCAGATACATTTTAATACATAGCTGGGGCCTTACGTTGTAGATGAAGCTTGCTGTTTTTAGCAAGTTCCTGGGTTTCACATTCATTTCTGATGCATCTAGTAGCTCCATACATTTCATAACCTGATCTCTTTATTTGTATGCAAAAAATACTGTCTTAATACGGAGCAGCATTTTTGTAACAAAGAGACTGGCTGGAGCTATTTGGTGCTTGAATGTGACCATCCTTTTTACTTTTGCTAAGCCTTATTTAAATTTTGTATACCGTGGAATACGTAGAATTTGTCAAATCATTTTAGTGCTGAAGGTTTTTGATTTTTGTTTTTGTTGTTGCAGTTTCTTTGGTGGCTTGTTTTGTATTGTAAGATGGCACTTGCTGATATAAGTACTAAGGCACTAAGAGAAAATACAGATAAGTATTTATAAGATGCTTGGGAACCATAGCAGAATTTTTTGTTTGGTTTTGCAAGAGAAAAAAATTACCAATAAATAACTAATTTACCACCCAAACTCTCTTGGGGATGTCTTAGTATCTTCAGACTATAAAATTGTTCATCTAAGCACAGCATCATCTTACGGCCCTATGGATTGTAAATCTTCTAGTGAGGCTGTAAACTCCACTCTGAAAACAAAGGCATAACTTAACCGACTGCTCAGTTGTCCTTCATTGTAAAATGAATTGGCATTGGGAAAAAGGAAAAAAACAACAAAAGAAAAAAGAAAAAAGCCTCCTCCTTGCCCCTAATTTTTTTTTCCATATGGTTTTAGCCATTCCCCATCACTACATTGTGAAGCTATAAAAAATACATATATATACTTTACAAGAGTTTAAATGAATTTCAAAACTGGTCTCAACGTTTATAATACGTATCTGTGTTTGACAGTTGTCATAACCCAATCCTACACTCAGCCATCGGGACAGGTCTATTGGGGAGATAGTTCATGGTTTACAAGCCTTTACTTTTTAACTGTCCAATTTCCTTTAAAGCACAACTAGCTATTTGTTTACAAATGATATTTTTATGTATATTTTGTATAGCGTATCATCATTTTGCCAAATACGTTTTTCATTATGAATGAGTAAAGAGTACTTAAGGTTGCATTCATGTATTACATGTTTGTTGTTGTAAACCTCTCCAATCAGCTGGTAGGAATTCTCCTCATTGTGTTCTATTTGGTCGGTCTCTGTATGATTGTAGGATGTGCTCCTTGGTAGTACTCCCAGCTGTAGATTTACCAGCTTAAAAGTTTGTTAGGATCTGTGCAATAAAGTGTTTGCAGTCTTATTTTCTCTAAGAAATTCCTTATGGATGTCATAATTGTTGTATATGGAACAAAGTATTTATACTTATGCAGTTGCATAACATTGAAATAAAAATTTAGCATGAAAGATAATGACTCGTAAGTTTTTTTCTAATATATACATTCCACCTCCAAAAAAGATTACTGATTATTACTCTGGTATTATGGAAAGGATGGGCTTTTGCAGATTACTTTTTGCTGAGTGGAACAGTTTGCCTTCTTTTCTTTTTAAATGTACACAAATATTCTTCAGCATTAAGTCCTTTAACTGGGCATAGTGGTGCTTACCTGTAGTCCTAGCTACTTGGGAGTCTTAAGGCAGGAAGATGGCTTCAGCTGAGGAGCTGGAGACCAACTTGGGCAACATAGACCCTATCTCTACAAAAACTTGAAAAATTAGCTGGGTGTGGTGGTATGCACCTATTGTCCCAGCTACTCAGGATGCTGATGTAGGAGGATTACTTGAACCCAGAAGTTCAAGGTTGCAATGAACAAGCTGTAATTGTGCCATTGCACTCCAGCCTAGGCAACAGAGCGAGACCCTATCTCTAAAAAAAAAAAAAAAAAAAATAGATTAAGTCCTCCTTTAACTTATTCTTATTTTTTTCTACCAACCTTCTTCCTTTCCTGCAGAACTTACCAACTTCTACACCCACACTCGCCATCTTCCCACACTCAGAGGGTCTTAATTCTCCTTTCTCTGTGACACCACCACCACCTCCTCTCATTCTCTCATGAACTTGCTCCATCTATTACCATAGTCTGCCTCAGCTTTCTCGTTTTCCTCCCCACCTGTCTCTTTCCTTTCAGAAAACCCCTTTCTTTGCCTGGCCTTTTCCCTCTGTCCTTTCTCAGGTGACGTTCTACAAGAGGAGTCTGCACTTAGTATTTTTGGGTCTTCACCCCTTTTAAACCTGGCTCTGTCCCCCATGCTATCAACATTGCTGTGGCAGAGGTCACCAGTGACAGCTGACTCTAAAGCCCTCTTGTCAAGACATCACTTCAGTAGACCATCTTGAGAACCAGTCTGTCCCTGACAGCCCTCTCTCCTAGTTGTCTTCAACCTGTTCTTTTTCTCTCTTTACATAATTTCTTCCTTGTCCTCTTGTCCCTTTAAATACTGGTGTTCCCTGGGTTCATCCTTGGTCTCTGAGCATTTCAACTTGGCTCAGGCACCTCACACTCAAAATGTCCAAAAATGTGCTTATTCTGTGCCCCTTCTCTCAAAGCTCACTGTATTCTCTATCTTTTCTCCAAGTCAGATCCTAGATTTCTACCTAAACTCTTTTTTCTTTCCTTACATCTTAAAAAAAAAAAAAAAAAAAAAAAAAAGTTTCACTGATTTCACAATATACTCTTCCGTGCAATCCATGTCCCATCTCTATTGTGCTACTGGCAGCCTTAGTTTGGTCTCTATCATAGTCTCTCTCCAGATGACCTCAGCAGCCACCTAACTGGTTTTCTTGCCTTCGCTCTTACCCCTTCTAGTCTGTTCTTTACAATGTCCCTAGCACGATGTTGCTCAAGTGTAAGCACACCATGTTACTATCCTGCTTTAAACTTTTAAAATAGCAGCCATATTCTTTGGGTAAAGGCCAATTCCTTAAGTGTATCCTTACTCTACAGAACTCCACCTTAGCATGTATGCTGGACTCAGACATCTGGAGGAAGCCTTTTGGAAAGGCCTGGACTGACCTGTGGACCCTCTTTGCTTCACTGTGTATCTGCCTCATGGCACTCACTGCATTATTTTGGACTTATCTTTCTACACGTGTATCTTCTTTGCTAGACTTCAAGCTCCCTGGTTCTCTGTCTTGTTTTTTACTTCTAGGACAAAGCACATAGGAGACATCAATAAATATTTGCTGATATGGTTAGGCTTTGTGTCTCCACCCAAATTTCATCTTGAATTGTAACCCCCATAATTCCCACGTGTCAAGGGAGAGACGAGGTAGAGTAACTGAATCATGGGGGTGGTTTCCTTCATGCTGTTCTCATGATAGTAAGTTCTCATGAGCACTGATGGTTTTATAAGGGGCTCTTCCCCACCCTTCGCTCAGCACTTCTCCTTCCTGCCGCCGTGTGAAGAAGGTGCTTGCTTCCCCTTTGCCTTCCACCATAATTGTCAGTTTCCTGAGGCCTCCCCAGCCATGCTGAACTATGAGTCAATTAAACCTCTCTCCTTTATAAATTACCCAGTGTTGAGCAGTTCCTTATAGCAGTGTGGGAATGGACTAATACATTTGCTGAACTGAATTGAACAGGAAAGGAAGTATTAGTAGTTGCTATTGTTTGTAGCACATTTACTAGGAGCCAAGTAACACACTAAATACTTTATTTGCATCTTCTCATTTAATTTCCGTGCCATTTGAACTATACATTGCTTCATTTTATAAATTAGGAAGCCAAAACTCGCAAGTGACTAACCCTCGTGATTGGCAGGACTGAGGCTTGAACTCAAGCAATCTGACTAGACAGCCCATACATTTAACCTCTACCATTAGACAAGACCTGCCTCCTCCCACACACTCTTCTACTACAATATAAATTGCAAGATGAAATGGGACAGAATCATGACACAATGTTTTTCACTGCCTGCATGATGTAGTTTTCCCTGCTTAGAGGAACCCACTCTGCTAAGATTCACAGTTTTTAAAAGTAAGTATGGAAATTGTTATTTTAATCGGACTGTGTATCATGCTATGCAGAAAAGTCAGTCTTCATCATAAAAGAAAAAACCCACAAAGGATATTAGGTACACACATCACAGAGCCAATAATGGCCATAGCAAGAGCTGTTAAATGAGCAACCAGGTTAGAGCGAATACATAAACTAAATGAAAAGCAAGAGAATGAAATTTTAAAGGTATTTACCTTGAGCTAGACCAGGTAAAACTAATGAGGGTCATTAAAGGGCAAACAATTAGACATGCTCTTGCGGGTCTGGCCAGTCTGGGGCACAATTTCTTGTACTGTATTTTCAGCATCCACATAGTGTTATTTTATTTGGGATTTAAAAAATTTGAAATGTAGCTAAATATGTGTTTGGGTGTATAATATTTCCCTAATAAACTGAGGGCTACCTCTTTTAAGCCCAAGGCATTTTTTTTTTAAAGAGACATCGGTTGCTCATGCTGGCCTCAAACCCCTGGGCTCAAGGGATCCTCCCCGCTCAGCCTCTCAAGTACCTGGGACTACAGGGGTGCCCAGCTCTTCAAGGCATTATTTTTCCTTCTTTATAACAATGTAAGCAGAATGTGATGCAGCCTACAAAAATTACAAGTTCTCCCTTTTGGAGGAGGCATGATGTGGGGACATGGCACAAGACTATCAAGAGGACCAGATCATTCATGAACTAGAGATAGGAATTAAGGAGAAATCACTTCAAAAAAATCGTACCAACCCTCCCACAGGGGGCAATGGCAGCTTCCCTTGGCTGTTGAGCACTGAACTGCCAAGCATTTACAAGAGGAAAAGGGGCTGGCTTGAAGACTTCAGGTGAGGTAGCACATCTCAGCTCTAACGTGCATGTGATTCATGTGGGGATCTTGCGAATTCCGCCTCAGAAGGCCCATGGTAGGGTAGAAAATTCTAACAAGCTCTTCTCAAATGACTCAGATGCTGCCTGCCTGTTGACCACATGAATGCCCTGCCTGGCCACACCAGGGAGTTAGAATCTCTGAAGATTGGGCCTAGGCATCTGTAATTTAAAAATAATAAAATAACTTCCACAGGTGGTTCTAATGTGCATTCCAGGTTGAAAAGCAAAAACAAATTTCCCAGCTAGAGGATGACACTTGACTCATTCTACCACAACATGAAATCATCATGATCAGAGCTTGAAGACATTTCCCATATAACTGCTGGTCCAGTTGAGCCCTAAGGACCCTTTCCACTCAAAGTGTGGTCCTCAGACCAGCAACATTGGTGTGATGTGGGAGTGTGTTACGAATGCAGAATCTCAGTCCCCTGACCCCCTGGCCTTCCCCACCCTTGGACCTGCTGATTTTCTGCATTTCCGTGATAGCCATGTAATTTGCTTGCCCTTCAAAATTTGAGGAGCATTGTTATCACTACTCCCCAAACTGCCTAGAAGATGAGAATTACTTGGAATATTTGTTAAAAATACAAGTTTCTAGACCTCATCGCTGATCCACTCACTCAATCTCTAGGGCAAGGCATGAGAAACTGGGTTTATAATCAGTGGACATGAGGGGTAGGTGATTCTTCTCAGGGAGGCATGGGAAATAGTAATATAAGAGTATATTTACCATCTGTGCTCAAATTTGTCTCCAGCTAAAGTCTACTATGATGATTATTAGTGGTTTTTAAGCCTTTGGGCATAGAAAACTCAAAAACCATTGAAACCATCAGGAAGGCAGCAACCTAAACACTTATTGTCCACCTACTGTGTGTGTGTGTGTGTGTGTGTGTGTGTGTGTGTGTATACATATATACATACTCAGTACTAAGCATGTGTGTATACACACACACATATATATATGCTTAGTACTGAGCAAGATGCTTTTCATCTGCCGACTTAAACATCAACACAATTCTCAAACCCGGTGGTGCCATTCCCGTTTTATAGATGAGAAATCAGGCCCAGCCAGGATACGCCGTTTGCTTAACATACACCCTGGAAAGAGCTTGGATTAGAATCTGAATTTTTCTGGTTCCGAAGCTCTTAACCTTTCTAAGTATTACCAGATGCCATGTAACTGAATTCAGGTTCAGGCCCCTCTATGAATAATCTAAGCTATCTTATTTCCTCTTTGCATGTAGAAAAATCATATGGTGCTAAATTATGAATTTGATGATTGGTGGGAAACGGTAAGTGAAGGAAGCTAATAATTCTCTGTAATAGGGCTTCTTTATCCGTTCTAATTAATCAGTAGACAATTTCTCATCTAGCATTTTCGGTTCACAATGCAAATGTAACATGAAAAAGTGTAGCTATCGTAACTACAGAAATTTGCTTCCTTCATTGTAGGCCAGGCATTAAGAAAATCTATGGTGGGGCAGTTCTCTAAATTTCATTTCCCTCCTGCCAGGATGCTTTTATTCCTCAAAGCAATCATTTTGTGTTATTCCTTTCTTTCTCTACCCCCTATATGTCTCATATATCTAGAAAATTTGGAAATGACCAAGGCTTTGCCAAACCTTGGTTTGATTACGTTTCGTGATGCTGAAAGCCAATCCCCCAACCCATGTTCAAGTTATCTGGCAGTTGAGACACCTCAGACCCTGAACTGAAGTCATTAGTGCTATTCCTTATAGGAAAACACTCAGCAACATCTCACTGATTTCTGAGACCCAGCATTTCAAAAGACAAGATCACTATCTCTTACAATATCACTGGCTGATGGTGGGGCTGTCAATTCCAATACTTGTATGCAGGCAAGCACTTGAAAAAGGGGATGGGTCCCAAGACTGAAGTTCTCTGTACACTCTGTGAAATGCCAGTTTAGTATGTCCAGACGTGGGAAAAAGATCTGTTGCATATGGTTACAAGTTATCACCCCACACAGCTTGATGAAATGTCTATTGCTCTTGTAAAGCTGAAAGCCTCTAACAAATAGTCATCTGCCATTTCATTAAGCGCTGCCAGGAGATGGCTGTCAGCATCTGGGAAAGGAAGAATGAAAAGTTGTTTGCAAGGCCTGCAGCAAGTATGTTGCAGCTACAAAGTCTGCATATGTCAGGCTGGCATCACCATATCCTCCAGCCTTAACCTGTCTAAATAAAAGTCATTTGCCTAAAAGTTCTGTCTCTTTGAAATATGTATGCTGTGTTAAGCAGTGCTGTACTGAAATAATTTTCCTGAGTTGGAGACATATCTACTTCTGTTGGGGCTGGAGGCAGTTCTGTGGACATTCCCTATAATGCATGTCCTACTGCCCCATTCAAATGGGGATCCTTAGAACAGCTATGGCTCCCTCTGTTCCCTCAGGAAGAGGTAAGAGCAACACACAAAGCTTGGGCTTTACCATTTGCATTTGAAAACACAAAGGCTTAGAAAAACATTGCCTCCTTTTCAGTATCTGTACATTCTCACAACCAATGGATGATCTCTTTGTTTTTTATCTTTTTAAAAGCAAAAGTCTTCCTTAAAAAAATAATTCCTTTTTCTCCTTATTGCCCAGACCTGGTCATTGAAGGCATGTTGGAAATATAAAGGAGAAGAAAGCATTTGAATCCCTGAAATCCTACCAGTCACTCTGTTTCTTTAACTTATAGGTATTTTTTTGTTTTGCTGAATAATGAAATAACAGTGGGCATGCTCTTTAGCCCACTCTTCTACTCTTCCACTTGTGTCACCAAAACACCAGGGATTTGGTCTAGGTCCTACTGCTCACTGCACAAAAAGCCAACCACTGAGATGACAGGTATCACCAAGGAAGAAGCCATTAATTGGGTGATGCAGCAGAGGAGAGGAAAGCTCAGTCTCAAATCTATCTCCCTGACCAACTAAAACCAACGGTTTATATAGCACGCAAAAAAAAAAAAAAATGTAACAATGTGTAAGAAAACAGGAACTTGGGAGGGGCAAGGAAGCAGTCATAGTGAATGAGGGGTGCAGCATCTGGTGTGGCAATGTAGTTTCAGTTCTTCCATACTTTTTGTGGGAGTCCTGAAGGTCATTTCCTGAGAAAGGAACTCAGATAAAACAGAAGTTTCAAGCTTTAACAGCAGAAGGGTCCATATCTATGTTTATCCAAAAGCAGCTGTCTGTGAAACTCTTGGGCCAGTTTCACTTGAATATTAAAACAAATATATTTCAATGTTTATAAGCAAAGTTCTGCAATGTATATAATGACTGCATGGTGTTTCATTATACGTTTGAGCCACACCACTTTCTTTCCTGTGGTATGGCTTTCTTTCAATAAATGTTTTTCCTTTCTTTCAATAAATGTGTTAGAGAGCCTCAGGTACAGACCATGGAGGCCATCTTACTCTTCTGTTCCTGGCACATCAACCTTGGCCTATTCTAAGGTTCATTTAATTATTCCAACAGTCCCTTCCATTCTCCACCACCACCCCATAAGCAATTATGTTAATGGTTTATCTTTTTGTTTTTGTTCCTGAAAAATGTATGTATCATTGTTTTTATGCATGCTTTTTTTAAGTTATGTGGATGACCATGTTAATATATTATTTTGTTGGCCAGGTACAGTGGCTCATGCTGTAATCCCAACACTTTGGGAGGCTGAGGCAGGTATTACAAGGTCAAGAGATCAAGAACATCCTAGCCAACATGGTGAAACCCCGTCTCTACTAAAAATACAAAAATTAACTGGGCATGGTGGTGTATGCCTATAGTCCCAGCTACTTGGGAGGCTGAGGCAGGAGAATCGCTTGAACCTGGGAGGCAGAGGTTGCAGTGAGCCAAGATGGTGTCACTGAACTCCAGCCTGATGACAGAGTGAGCCTCTGTCTAAAAAAAAAAAAAAAAAAAAAAAGTGTGTATATATATATATATATAAAATTTTGTTTTTTCCCATTAAGTTCTATATGCTTATTACTCAACTACATTGCTATGGCTACATCTAATACACTGCTTCTAACTACTGTCTAGTGCTCCCTGTCTTGAGCATCTTCCCCATTTTACTCACCTACCTCTTAGTGCAGAACACTCAAATTGCTGTGAACTTTCCCCTCCACAAATAATGTTGCAATGAATATCTTTGTGGACATATGATGCTTTCTTGGGAAAAAACCCCAGAGCAGTTGGTGGGTAATACATTTAATTTGATTAATTGTTGCCAGATGGTCCTAGAATGGCTGTACCAGTCTACATCCCCATAATCAGGGCATGTAGTTCCTAAAACCCCACAGCCCCAACTAGACTATCATCTGGCTTTCTCTTTTTGCCAGTCCAATAGATATAAACATTTATCTCATTTTAACTTGTATTTCTCTGGCTGCTAATAGAATCAACATGTTTTTAATGTTAAGATGTTCCAACTAAGAGCATGGAGTATCTCCTCATTTATTCAGATCATCTAATATCCGTAATCATTTATCTATTGTTGCACATTTAGGTTCCCTCCAAGGAAGAGAGAAAGAGAAAAAGGGAGACCCAATTTATTTAGAAAGCCCATTAATCACCATGGAGGGCAGAGGAGGAGATGGAATGGATGCTCTGGTGGCCACTTGTCCTCTGCTTACCTTTGCAGGATCCAGCCAAGTGCTCAGAGAACATTAACAAAAGATGGGGAGGATTGGAGGATGGTGTTCAATGAACTTCACTGCTTAATCGTTCATGAGCAATAACAGCTTTTAAATAGAATATGTAGATTAATTCTTACCTTTATCAAGTTCCAAAGTATTCAACAAATGATTTCAAATTGTCAGTAGCTAGGATAAAGTAGAGTGGGTGGGAGTCGGTGGGAGAGCAGGGTGGCTTTAGGAGCAGGGTCTTGGAGTATGGCAGTGACGGCCCGAAGGGACTAACAAGCTGCCAGACCAGGATGTTTCACCCTTGGATTTGAGGGTTCCTTAGCGCTTTTTCCCCATTTTGTTAAGAAATGTCCTCTTATGGGATAAGGAGCAATTCTCCAGCTCATTTGACTTATGGGGCCTAACATATACTTGTGCTATTGGTTGATAACATTAAGATAAGGGAAGGATTTTACATGGCCAAGAGTCCAAGACCAATCCCAGTCTAACAGAATCCCAATATCTAGGGATGAAGCACAGGAATCTGTTTTGTAAAGAAGTCCCCCGATTATTCTGGTGTTAAACTAGAAAAGCCCACTGGGCTCATCCATTCCTCCACAGCCTTCAAGCTAACTCCCACCATGTTACACCTTCATACTCAGCATGTCACGTAATCAGCTCCAGCCCAACACTTGGGACCCCCCAGTCATGACTTGCTAAGAAACAACCACATCCCCTCTTGCTATAATTCAAGCTTCTATTCAGCATTCAGGGCCAATGTCAGCTACCCGTCTTGCACACTATACTAATATAGGAAAACATACAAGAGCCATTTGTTTCATACTTTTATAAACATCAAAATTGCAAACAACCCTGATTGGAGAGTTGGACAAATAAGAATGGCATGACAGTTTTCTGTCTTGGAATTTTACAGATAATGCCTGTGTTCAAGGACTGTGCTGTACTAAGCAGTGGCTGCTGGCACAGGGAAAGGTGTAATTCTCTCCTGGATTGTAGGAGTTGCAGCTCACACAGAGAGACCTTTATGATGTAGGCCAGTCAGCTTTTATGGACTTCGATGCTATTTGCTTCAGTACCCTTTGAAATGCAGGGTCAGCTCACTGAGCTACATCATGCAATAATAACACATTTTTATAGGAGTAGCTTGTCAGAGCAGCAACAACATGCAATACATAAAACCAATAAACACACCGTGTTACAGATTCTATCCTAGTAAACAGGATAAAGCAATAAAATTGACAGCAGCCATCAAAAAGCTCCCTTTCTGACTTTGTGGGGTGAATTTACTGTTGCTTAAAACAGAGCAGCTGTCACAAAGACTTAGATCAGTTATGGAGCAGCAAGCTGCATCGCATGGAAGGGAACGGGCCTGAGAAGGGAAAGCAGGATGGGCAATTATGCTTTGCTAAGGCTTGGGCCCCTTTCACTGTTAGTGTGATGCAATTCACATCAGAGATTTTCTACAGAATTATTTCGTTTTTCCAAGTTACATATTAAATATTATGGAGGGCAGTATGTCTACGGGTTGGTAAATCAGCAATTAGTATTTCCCATCTGCAGCTTAAGTCCCTCAGGCAAGAAAGGGCTTACCTGTGACAGAATATGCAGGGACTCAATGGGTTGGTGCTATCTAAGACTGAATTCTTACAGTATGGACCTTCCACATTTTACATGGAATCATTTGACTGGGAACCCAGAGTCAACCTTAGTCCAACAGCATCTCAGAATCTGGGGGTGAGGCCTGGGAATCCATTTTGTAAAAACTTCCCTATGAGATGCCAGTAAAAAACATGTGGGAGGCCCAGGAAACTGTGGAGAGGTCCGGAGCTAAGAGTCAGCGGCATGGGCATCGTGGCAGAACTAGGAGCTAATAAAGTCTCAGGGATCAGCACATATTAAAAACATATTGAGTCTTGGTTGGGCACAATGGCTCACACCTGTAATCCCAGCGCTTTGGGAGGCCAAGGCGGGCAGATCACTTGAGGTCAGGAGTTCAAGACTACCCTGACCAACATGGTGAAACCCCATCTCTACTAAAAATACAAAAATTAGCCAGGTGTGGTGGTGGGTGCCTGTAATCCCAGTTACTCAGGAGGCTGAGGCAGGAGAATCGCTGGAACCTGGGAGGCAGAGGTTAGAGTGAGCCGAGATCTCACCATAGCACTCCAGCCTGGGTGACAGAGCAAGACTCGGTTTCATATATCTATATATCTATATATATATATATATATATAGAGAGAGAGAGAGAGAGAGAGAGAGAGTGTGTCATTACTATGTCCCCAGCATGTTCTAGGGTATCCTTGGGCAAAGACCCTCTCATAGAGCTTGTATTTGGGAGAAACAAGACAGGACAGACTAATTAAAACAAATGAAGAAGATAATTCCAAACACGGATAAGCATTATAAAGATAATAAAACCAGGTGAGGCATAGAGGTTACTTTGGATTAGCTAGGTCAGAGAAGAACTCCCTGAGAGGAGAAAATATTAGCACTAAAATCTCAAGGAGATGAAGGAACAAGCCATTTGGAGGCCAATGGCAGCATCTTCCAGGCAAAGGAAAGAGCAAGTGTGAAGGCCTGAAATCCCTGAGCAGGGAAGAGTTTCACCCACTGCTGTTCCCTGCCTGTCCTGCTTTTCCTGGGGGTGAAAAGACAAAAAGGATGACCCCCAAGTTTCCACTCTATTATGATGTCCCACTAGTATGCCCTCAACTTAAGGGCTAATGTATTCTGATTGGTTTGATACATTTTTACTTTGTTAGCCTATCAGAATTTTATAACTACAAGTTACCATCTCTATCTCTACCCTAAAACTGGTTATGGAACAGAATCCAGGCCTTGTTAACGCACCACTTGAGTCCAGGAGCTCCCGCCCAGCTTGTCTGGCAATCAACTTCAGAAGATAGAAGCCTGTGTGACTATGGCCCTTTAGGTCTAAGTCATGACATTGCTCTTTGTCTATCTGCATCCAGTGGTCCAGGCCGCTGTCCATTGCTGGTGTGACCTTTACTGACATCCCCAGCCTCAACAGAAACCACTTCTCACTAATCCAACTTTACTGTGTTCCCAACAGCTAGCATGCAGGGATGTCTTCTTCCTCATTTTCATGTAAATATGCTATTTCAAATGCTCTCCAAAACAAATAGGCTTTTAAGGGCTAGTCTGAGAACCAAACCACTATTTATTTCACAGATCTTCTGGGAAAGAGGCTTCTAAGAACCAGATGAGAAGAGCGTTTTGGATCACAGCCCACCTGCAAGTTAGGATCTGTAACGTAAGAGCCAGGGCACCAGATAGGCAGAGAGAGCCTGCCTGGTTTCTGAACTGAGTGAGACAAACATGGAAGAAATTCTAAAGCTTGGGGATGGGTTCTTTTCTTTATAGCCATTCACACCCTAGGAGCATTACAGAGCCCTTACAGACCTAAGGATTAAGAAGATTAATGGAGTCTATTTGATACCAAGTTTCATTTCTCAGGCTTTTCTGTTAAATTCATTATGCTTTTCTTTTTTCATTTAAAATAAGCATTGAGACTTTGCCCCCAACTAAGTTTCCCAAATGGCTACATGACTGAGAACCCAGACCCAAGCACAATGCTGTGGCTGAGGTGGGTAGCGGGCTGGCTTCAGTTCTGCCAAATTGTGGGGGCTGGTGATCCCCTTTCGGGGTGGGATGTGGGGTGCTGGGAGGGATGTCGGTGAGTAGAAGGGGAACGGCCTCCCTGTGGGTGACTCTGGAGCTGGCAGTCCTTGCCCAGCCCCTCCCGCTGCTTCCTCCCACTCTTCCACATGCGGAAAGGGTTCTGTGCCTCTCACAGCAGCATCTGGCCCTCTGGCCTGAGTCGGTTCGGTGTACTTGCCTAGAAGGTTATTTAGCTCTGGAACTCACAGGAGTAAGAAGCTCGGAAAAGCACAGTGAGTCCCTGCCCAGCTCCAGGACCAATCTGAAAATTCTGGTCTGGTCACCAGTAGATGACAGTTCCTTCACTTACAGCAATTTAGCTAAGCACATTTATTTGCTTTCTCTGGAAACCTTCAGCACTAAATGTGTTGGTATTTCCACCTGAGAAGGGTTTTAACTGCAAAAAAGAGCAGAATGGTGAACAATAATAAAAATACTGTGAGAAAGAAAATGCCTATGGCTGTAATCCCACAGGACAGCTTGACATCAGATAGCTTAACTCCCCTTAGAGACGGCGGGTTTGCACACGTGGTCTCCTCCAAGCCTTCAAGTTTGTGCAGGTTTTCTTTGTACCATGTTAAGAAATGAATATTCGAGCAAGTGCAGTCCAGGGGATTGTGACTGAAATTAATGGTGCTCTGCTGGGACAAGATGGGGAGGAGATGGGGTGGGATGATGTTAATGCTGTTGGCGGCCAGATTGAGGTAAATTCCCTTAAAATGACTAACAGAAGCAATGCTGTCACATGTCAGGCTGTTGTGGCTTAAGTCTACATGGCTCATTTTCCCCAAGCCGTGGAATGCTTGCTGGTCTATAGAGAGGAGACCACAGGAGGATAAAATCAGAATCTCCAAGCTGCCCACGGTCTGAAGTAGGTTGGTCTTCATGATAGTCCCATCTTGAAAGTGATTGCCTTTTAAGTTGAGATGCCGGAGATCTGGTAGGCCTGCTAGAAGATGCTGATTGCTGGTATCAAGGAAGCAGTAAGTGAGATTCAGAACCTGCAGGAAATGGAGGTTTTGGAAGGGACTTTGTGGAGCATTAATGTGTAAGCGGGTAAACGCCAAATCCAGGAGTTCTAGCCGAGGACATTCTTTGAATGCCTGACTCTGGAGACCAAGAAGTTCATTGTGGCTCAGGTTTAAGGTTTGCAAGTGGGACAGGTTTCTGAGTTGCAGATTGCAGCAGTCAGAAGCCTCTATGTCATTATGGCTTAAATCAAGTGTCTGAAGGTTTCCTAGTTTCTCCAAACAGCCAACACCGAGGTGAAGTTTCTTCACGTTGCCTCTGACGTAGAGGTGTGTAAGGGAGGGGAAATTGGCAGCACTGATCTGACACAATTGGTCAAAATGATTTACACTGAGAACTAATTTCTTGAGCAAGTTCAGACCCTTAATCCCAGAGGGTAACCCTTCCAAGTGAGTTGCTGTCAGATCCAATTCCTGGATTTGGGTGAAGCACTGAAATGTGGTGGATGAGAAGTCAGAGAAGTGGTGTTTCTGCAGGTTGAGGCTCTCAACAGACATTTCACAGAGTCCCTTGAGCATGGCTGAACTAATGTCTTCGTCATCAATGTCCTCAAATGTTCCCAGCCAGAGAGACTGAGTAGTAGAGTTCTGCAGACCATTGAATATAACAGACAAATTTAGAGTCCCTCCAAAGTTCAAACTTTGGAAGACTATTGAACCAAAAGCCCCGAGCTCAATACCTTTAACATTATTGCCATTGAAGTTCAGGCTTAAATTGGTGGCCTGCTCCAGAAACCTCATGTCTTCTCTAGAGAGGTAGTGTATAGCATTATTCTGAAAATCCAGTACTTTTAGATTCCGTGCTGGGAAGTCTTTGGGGAACTTAATGGAGGAAATATGGTTGCTTCCAAGATACAAGCTTTCCAAGTTTTCCAGATTGTGCACTGGAATAAACTCGAGATTGGATATTCCCGTTTGGATTAAGAAAAGATGCTTCAGTGACTTGGGCCCATTAAGCGATGTTTCTGCCATGAATATCAAGGGATTTCCAGTTAACACAAGTGTGTTCAATTGATGATGGCTTTGAAAAGTGTCTTCATGTATCCAATTAATCTGGCACCTTGAAAAGATAATTGCATTTAACAGTAATTCATTTGCAAAAAGGAAAAATAAAAACCTATACAGTGTCACACATTAACAAAGTCATCTTTTGTATCATTCAAAATCAAACATAAGAACTTTCTTCAGTATCAACAGATGGCCTATTGAAGAAATTAATGAGTAGCCTCACTTCTGAACACTCCAATCTAGATTTTTTTCCGGGTATCTCACCCCTTAGATTGAACCCTCAGAGGTTTGTGCCTATATTCTAATGAACCACGCATCATTTGATTGTGGGCAAAAATCAAACTATTATTTACTGTTTTAAGTAATACAAAATATGTCATATAGAATGCATAATAGATAATATATACTATAAAATACGTATATATATATATATATATATATATATATATATACACAAAAATCTGTGTCATCCCGGGCAAGTTACAACTTTTCTCAACCTCTGTATTTTCATCTGAGAAAACCATCCTGGTATTGCACCTAAAAATACTGGATTACACACACACACACACACACACAGAGATGGTCTCCTCCTCTAACCATAAGTTGGATGATAATATGCACCATGGAACCTCACAGTGCTGGTTTTAAAGATGAAGCGGTACTATGGATGTGGACATTCTGTCCACAGAAGCTGAAGTTGAAGGACAAAATAGAAGAAGCAGAACTGCCACAAGGGGTGCAGACTGAAGGTACACACAGAGCCTGTCCCCTCTCTCTTACACACACACACACACACACACACACACACACACACACTGTACAGTCCTTTCATTTTCTTCCCTTATTTTCTTGTAATACTTCTGTCCACTGGTTCTCAAACACTGGCTCAGCATGTGGAATCCCAATTCCACCACTATAACAAAATAATGGAACTCATTTTCCAATTTGTTGGGGCAGGGGGGAAGTAGATGATGTGCTTTTCTCCTAGAAATTTTTCTTAAATGTCATTACCCAAAAATAAACTATGCCAAAGTTCAGCATAGTTTGGCATCTGATTTAATACAAGATTATTTTCATTGTTGCTATCAGTATTCTTTAGAACTGCTCAAACAGTACTGTTGTTGCAACTAGTTTGAGAGCAATCCACTTTCCTCTCCATTGGTTGATGTTTATTTAAATTATATTTCACCCACACAGAAGTATTTCATAGGGAGGTGTAAACATGTAGTATAAGCAGATTGTCCCTGGGCCCCCAAAAAAGGTCCTGCAAATAAATTGAGCACATACTGTACTTTAACTTAAGTAAAATATCAAGAGCACACATATAACTCAGATACATACCTAGTTAAATCCAAAAAGGTAAGATTCACGAGTCTGTTGAAGGTTCCATTGTGAATTGTAGGCAAAAAATTAAAGCTGAATTCCAAAAATTCTGTTGTGTTTGGTAGAGTGTCAGGGATTTCACTGAGACCTAAATTTTCACAGTTATATGTTTTGTTGACTTCTTTCTGATTGGAGAAACAAGGTAAATTAATATTAGACTTAATTTGATTGGCTAGCAAAATTTTATATGTTTTACCTTCCGAGCAGCAATTGTACTTCCAGTAATCTTTACCAAATATACACTTGCCAAAAACAAGATGATGAATGCATATTATTAACTGTAGTAATTTTTTTGTAATAGCAAGATTGACAATAACCAGACTGTTCATCAATATAGGACTACTTGAACAAAACATGGTACATTCACAAAATGGAATCCTTTAAAACTGAAAAAAAAAAAACCTCCATATATTGATATGGAGTCATACCCAGGATATATTTCAAGGTGAAAAAAGCAAACTGCAGAACAATATATATAGTGTATATAGTATACAGTATGTAGTGTAATGTACAGAGTATGCCTTTTGTGTAAGAAAGGTATGTGTGAATTTTCTTATATTTGTTAAAACAAACCATGCAAAAAAACCCAACGACTGATTGCCTTTAAGAAGAGGGAAGAGACCAGACAGAAGAGCAGGGATAGATGTGAGACTTCTCTGAATTCACTTTGTTGTACAGTTTTGATTTTGGTTGAATGGAAATGTTTAATTTCAGTTTGAAACAAACAAATCAACCTTAGATAAGTATCACCAAAACGAGACAATCAAACATTACATACTTTCGCATGTGAGACAATGTGAGGTACACAGCATTGTCTATGAAGTATTCTTGCCAAGAAAAAAATTAAACTTGAAACTCATTAAGATTTTAGGTTTAACTTCACATCTCAAAGTGATATGTTGGGTTTAAGTGGGACATTCTATAGAACAACTGACTTTGTTTTCTCTTTCTGTGTCTGTGTGTGTGTGTGTGTGTGTGTGTGTGTGAGAGAGAGAGAGAGAGAGAGAGAGAGAGAATGAGAGAGGAGATAGTGCTTGTTAAAAGACACGGAGATATAAAATTTACTTAAGAGACATAACCATCAAATAATAGAGTAGCCCTCATTTAGAACCTGATCCAAATAAAGCAGTTCAAAAAGGCATTTTATAGACTGTTAGGGAACTTTGAATGAGGACAGAATTTGATGATATTAAGGAATTCTGGATTTTGTTAATGACAGTAGACTTGTGGTTATGTAAAATAAATGTTCTTAGTCTTTTGAGATGCATATTTAAATATTTAGGAGTAAAACGGCATGATGTTGGAATTGACTTTACAATACTCTGGCAAAAAAGGATGAGAGGAATGTAGAGATGAAGTGAGTAGGCCAAATGCTTATGATTGTTGCATTTTTAGGTTCTTTGTTACTATTTTTGTATACGCTTAACATGTTTTCTTAACTCAATGCTTAAAAAAACTAGCAGGGAGGCATAGACCTGAGGCCTTGCAATCTTGAAGTATGAATTAATTTTAGATCTCTGGATTTGTAGGCTGCTGATACCAGACGGTAGGCTTTTGGGCACGACCCTATACATAAGTTCCTACACATGAGGTTGTTCCTCATCCCGTCCCCCAGGGTAGTCATGGATTCTGAAGCCTGCCAATCATGTCCTAACACAAGTTATGTGTTGAACTAAGTAGGTAAAAAATGGGAAGTGGTTGTTTAGAAGCCTGTAGAACTGTGGGGTCATTATTTATCTGGCTAATGCTTTAAGACAAAGGGTAGTAGGGCAAATAGAAAGGTCTGACAGGGCAGGTATGAAAGTCTGATGGAGTATATTTTGCCTGTGGAGTCTCCTTGGAAAGGTATAAATGATCTCTAGGGAAAGTTCCTGCTCTGCTTTGAATATGTCCTTCAAAGTTCATGTGTCGAAAACTCAATTGCCATTGTAATACTAACAGGTGAGGCCTTTGGGAGGTGATTGGATCATGAAGTTTCCACACTCCTGAATGAATTAATGCTATTATTGCCGAGTGGGTTAATTATCACGGGACTGGACTCCTGATAAAGGGAGTAAGTTATTGGGAGGCCAAGGCGGGCAGATCACAAGGTCAGGAGTTCGAGACCATCCTGGCCAACATGGTGAAACCCGTCTCTACCAAAAACACAAAAATTAGCTGGGCATGGTGGCGCATGCCTGTAATCCCAGTTTCTCAGGAGGCTGAGGCAGGAAAATCACTTGAACCAGGGAGTTGAAAGTTGCAGTGAGCCAAGATCGCACCACTGCACTCCAGCCTGGCCGCAAAGTGAGAGCCTCCATTTGCTCTGTCCACATGCTTGCTTTCACCTTCCTCCATGGAATCATGCAGCAAGAAGGCCCTCACCAGATACCAGAGCCAGGCTCTTGGGCTTCCCAGCTCCCAGCTATGAGAAATAAATTACTTTTCTATACAAATTACCCAGGCTGTGGCATTCTGTGATAGCAGCAGGAAACCGACTAAGACAGTGACCTTGGGGGCACAAGAACAAGGACATCCCAGGACCTTGGGCCAGCTCTCAGATCATCTCAGGCTCCAGGTGAGTTAATCCAACCTTCCAGCCCCTGCCTTTCCCTGACACATAATGGCTCACTAGAAGCCCCACTGAGACTTCCTTGGCCTGGAAAAGATCTACTCTGGTACGGACTCCAGATCAGTGGCTTTTCTCATGCTGAGTTACAAACAGATCTGCTTAGCGGGGAACAGAACTGCACACATCCTACTTTGCTCTGAAGCAGGAGGCTCTTGAGATGTCACCATTATAACCTCATTTTCTTTCATTCCAATTTCTGTTTAGTGATGCACTTTTTTGTAGCCACAGAACATGCTCATCACAGAAAGTCACCAGTTGTCTTCGATATTGTGACAACATTATGACTGTCACTGATGAAAATGCTTTATTTATATGTCCTTGTAATTTATTCTTCGTTTTATAGACCGAAAGTCCTCCAGGCACTGCCACAAATCCACATAATGTCCTTGAAATGCACACTTTGCATTTAAAACTTAGATTTAGCTGACTGGTGGGGAAAAAAACCACGTGTTGCCAGACCTATCCTCGGTGCCCATGAATATGGACGACCCAGAGAGAATATGCATGTGCAGCTGCTGCCCCAATAGTTGCAAAGGTGCTGATCAGCTTAGAGGAGACATTTTTCTTTTCTGGTCTCCTTTGGCATAACTGATGTCACATACGGTTGGACAAAAGGGAGTTCCTCAGTTTGTCTCACTCTATTCTGGCCCTACAGCAAAAGGCTCAATGCTGTCATTTCCCTCCTTCTCCTGAATATGTAAGTGCCCATGATACCTAAATTATTCTGTGCCTCAGCCTTTTGTGTGCTTTACTAAGCACTTTACTGCACTAATGTGATGCAGAAGATTGAGAATCCAGGAGGAGTTCTACTAAACCAGTGGCCTGAGTGAGCTCCTTGAAAATAGAAAGCAGGTAAATGAAGCAGCTTGGTTTCAATCCAGTGAAAAACTGATAATGAGTGGATGACGCTACCAAGAGGATCAAGAAGGCCACCATGAGCCTGTGCCATAATATTGAACCATCTCTGGTTAGGTGGAAATGGCAATAGATCCTGTGCCTTTGATTTTTAGGAGAAAGAGGCAAGTGACAAGAAATACAACTGATAAGAGAATTTAGAAACCAAACACATTTTAGAGAATGTCTAGGGCTCAGCATACATGTAGCCCTTCCCTTATAGCTTTTATAATCACAATTGTATCATCAAAATGGCCACGATGATAGAGGCACCAAAGCACCACATGCTCTAGAATTATCTAGGAAGCATTAGATTGTTTTCAGACTATTGTAAGACAGAAAGTACACACACATGCATGCACACACACACACTATTATTCACATTCTTTTTGATTGAGAGTACACTACTGCCATCATGACCCTTAAACCCTAAACACCAAGGTTTATATATCCTAAAATCAAGGATATTATATGACTACAGTGCCATTATGAAATTCAGGATATTTAACATTCATGCAATGTTATTATCCAACGTATTGTCTATATCCAAATTTTGACAATTGTCCCATTATTATTCTTTATAGTAATTTTTGTTTTTCCAATCCAGGATCACACATTGCATTTAGTTGTTGTATCTCCTTAGACTCCTTTAATCTGAGACAGTTCCTCAGCCTTTGTCTTTCATGACATGAATGCCTTTTGAAGAATGCAGGCTCATATTTTACAGAATGTCCCACTTATAGGTTTGTATGTTCCTCATGATTTGACCCTGGTTGTACATTTTTGGTAGAAATATTGCATTAGTAAGGGTGTGTCATTCTCCCTATCAATATTCAAATGAAACTTTTTGAGCATAAGTTCTGATAGCCAGGGTCCCAGAACAGTAGAATGGTAATGCAACAGAGAGTCAAAGGACAAGATGCAGAGAAGGAACACTGGGCCCCAGCAGACAGCATGGCCACCGCCAGGACCATGTGCTTCTGTTACTTTTTCTGGGCAGACACCCACTACCATTGCAGTTGCTCTGCTCTCCACATGACCATTTCCTGTAAATCCAGCCTTTTCTTCCTAGAGAAGTCTAGAAATGTGGTCAATTTCCAAAGTCCCTTTCTCACCTCTCTGCTTCTGCTGGCTCCACTGCAGAGGGGACTTCTTGATGTGAATTCACACAGTGAGCAGAGCTGTGGCAAGGCCACGTGGTATTCATGACAATTGCCTCATGTCCATCACTATTCTAAGTCAAGGGGCATTCGCTTGGGACCCACTGTGCACTGGGACCTGTGTCATCTGCTTTGTCTCCAGCTCTGTCTCAGAGCTGTGCTCCCAGAGCTATATCTGTATTTGCAATCCCTTTTCCCGCTAGGTATTCATTTGCATTTTTTCAATCAGGCTCTTATTTTCCTCCCTTCTGCTGTATATCTAACTCCCTCTCATCCCGCTGTATTTTCTTTCCTTGCAAGTGCTGAAACATTTTCTAGTTTGGAACTCTTTGAATTTCACTCAAGTGTTTATTCTCACCTTTACAAATTTCTCATCTGCACTTGACACACACAGCAGCCAGCCCCCCATGCATGAGAAGTCTGGGACATTGACCTCTAACCCTTGCTCATTAATCATGCC